GAACCCTTAGAAACCCTAAAACTACATAGAAACGGGGCCGTGACTTCAGTTTTTATACAGAAGAAGAAGATAGTTTTTCATCTTCCTCAATCTTTAATCTACTAGGCCTAAAATGGCCTACGTTTTTCCGGTGTAAATAAGATAAATAAACGTTTTTTGAGTCTGTACTGAGCCAACTTGCCACTTGGCGACCAGTCCGCGGGCCTAACCAAACAGTGTCATCCATCTTCACATGCCACAGTTTCGCCTATGTCATTAATTATCAGGATTTCTGATTAGTCTCGGCTATTCCAGAATGTTCTGCTTCGGCAAGTCATCCGTGTCATACCTGATACAACATTGATTCCATTGGGCCAGAGTAGGTAATTATGGATATTGTGATACACAAAATCCTCAAGGAAACTATAAGTTAAAGTTAATATACGCATAGAAAGCGATATTTTTAATATCAAAAATAGCTCTCGCTCAAAACAAAAGACCCCGTATCATGAAAGCCACTTAAAATAACTCTATAAGAACAAGAAGGCAAAACAATTTGGTAAAAGGCTGAATAATACCAGTTTAGCTTATAAGGGGCCATATTTGAGGGTGCTTGTAATTCATATTACAGTTTCATATGTAAATAGTACGAAGGTGAAAGAAGGCAGAATGTCGCCTTGCGTGTGTGTTTAATGGCTTCTACTAAATTTGTTCTAACGGTCCTCTAACACGAAAAACTTGACTGCGATTAATTATACATACGGATATTCAACAGAGCCGAATATAATATTGATAGGCGGCAGGTGGGTGCTTGCTAAAATATTGAAACTTTGTTCTGCATACGTAACTACGTGCCAATTGTAAGGTATTGTATTGCTCCTTATTGTATTGGGCGTTCATGGTTATAATATGAACCTCTATCCTTAGAAAGTTACAGGATTTGAAGGAGCTTAATAATGGTTTTGTGTGATTGTATGTCTCAATGTCACAACTCGCCAATTATCTTTGTGTCTCATAAAGTAATAAAAACAAAATTAGCTGTCAATTAGTGTTATGTCAACCTGTTGACGAGGGTACCAATTGGTACCTACCTAATTAGGTAAGTAGGTACGGAAAGCACGGAAGACGTCTCGTGTGCGCTACAAATCGCGCGAGACATTACAAAGTCGTGCACTGAGGTTGACAGGAACTAGATATCGAAAGAGCCTAGAAAATATCAACGTCAAAAGGTTATGACACGACATGAACTCTCAAAGAGAGTTCCTGCGGGAATGTAAGCTACGATATCGAGATCACTCGTGCATTTCCAAGTTGCTAAGATGAAATGCAAATAAATTATGTTACATCTAGTCAAATACAAAAGTACCTAACTGTTTTCTGTACAAATTATAACCCAGATAATCTAATTATAGACCGTGTCTGAAACAGACACTCAAATTGTAAGTTTAGAATCAATCTTAGTCGGCCTTATTGATTTATAGGTAAACTTTAGTAAATTCTAGTAATTCTACCAGTCTTATTATAGAACAATTAAAAATATTAACTCTACCATCGTGTAGTAGAAAGAAAGTTTTTTGAAACTAAATCATCCAAATCATTAAAATATTATTTTACAGCTTTGATTCATTTTTTCCATACATATTTGTTATTTCATTACTTAATGGAACTTATCCATTAGGGGGAGATCCTACACGTAGGTACAACACAAAATATACAAAGCAACATCATAACATCATCAATGTAAATAACAAAGGCTTTTTAGCTGTATTTGAAATAAAATGTTACTTTCGACCACTAACGAATAACGAATCGAATTTTCATGTTAACCTCGTAAACGTTTATCGGTAAATTGAAAGCTAGTGAAATAATTTGGTAAAATACGAGGTCTTTAACATCATTAACGTATTTAACTAGGCATGATGAATCACGAACTCGCTCTATGATTATACAAAAGCTCAAATAATGTTTACTATACCCTGAAATGGAGCTCAGTTCATTCAAGTCGCCCTAAGCTGTAATTAAGTCCGTGCTTAAAGTTAAGACTCGGTACGCGCCCGAGAGCGTCAGCGTACTTACTAACTAGGTACTTAGTGCAATTTTTATGCAAACACACCGACTGATAAGACTTAAAAAAAAGTATTTATCTTAAAACGTCGTTCGTTCTTTTCATTAGGGCCATGCCACACAGCAAAAGAAACCCAGAACCTTCGAGAGTCGTCTACAATGAATAGGTAATAATATATAATATAATATAATAATATAATACTACATAATATTTTTTTTAAAAACCTATTTCGTCAAGTAATAATAGGCTGAAAATCGAAAAAGCGCGGAGCTTACCTATTCCTACTATTGTGATTTGTATAATGGGAGTCACATTCATGTATGTATTCTAATTCCTACGAACACACTGATTACCTAAGCGTAGCTCAATAGGTATGAATTGAACCTATCTTCAATCTAGAGATTAGCTAGTGCTAGATTAAAGCTAATCCACAATTTCTCTACCACTTAATAAATAATCAAATCTCATCTCAGCATTTAGCTGAAATGGTTGCGGAAATAATCTATCGAATGTAGATGGCTTAGATTTGCAGCAATTAAAAAGACAACTTCAGGCCCCAGCTGTATATTGCTTCCTCAGATTAACACCGAGCTTCCAGTTAATTTCCCGTGTTCCATTCCGGGGCGCTGAAACATCCTACCGAATATCTTAGCCGACGGGATCAGCAACTACACGAATGTATAGGCAATAAAAAGAGGACATTGCCATAGGGACCACTCCAACATACAGTAATATTCTTCATCTCTTTAAGGCGTGTTTGATATTTTGTGGGCAGCTCGCGCTCCTAATGGAAATATGAGGGTATCTCGCTCCCCTGTATTAATGGCCGCTCTTTCATTTGTATGCTTTTGTCTCCGAGGCCCATTTACATACAATTGTTTATATGCTTTATGTTTGTATAACTGTGATTAATGTGGCAAGCATTTAAGTTGTTTAAATTATTGTTATCAGTGCACGAACCGCGTTGGAAAATCCTGCTAAAGACGTGGAGAGTTGTTAATGACGTCTTAATGACGACGCTGGTTCCCATTCCCTTAAATACATTTACACAAGTCGAAGTGTTCTAAGCACTCTTGGATGTCGAGTTAAACCAATTTACGCAAGTCCTTAGGCGGATTATAATCGTACATATAATTTACATGAGCATATGTTAGCTAATTAGCATTAATTAATTTTCATAATCCATATCTGTAGCATAATGGATTAAGTAAGCGAGCTTTTGAGAAGAGTCACGTCTCGGCATACCTACGTAACGTAGGACTCCCCGTTTGATGGACAGACGACTTCAAGAAGATAGCTTGTACTTGTGACTGATAGGTAGTAAAGACAAAAAAATGTACTAGGGTCAAGAACAATCAAGATAAAAATGTAATGTACTCGAATGATACCGTCCATTTCTGATTTTCTGTCTATTGCTCATGTACTCTTATATGTATACGAGCTCTTAGTATTCATATTATAGGGTCTTTCGCATAGCTACGTTTTCATGTTGTCTAGTCTATAATATGCCGTATAAATAGCATTATCTATTCATGCCTAATGTAGATCAATTGATACAATAAGATATAACAATGTTCAATTTGTAGTAATCCGATATTAACGGCATTAGGCCTCGGATTGTGATCTCGGTCCTAAGTCAACAACCTCACTCAACTGCAAACGGTAAGCGCCTTTAATTAATTACAATCCTTTGTGCTATATCTATTAGAGAATTATAATGCACGAAGGTTCAATTTATTATGAACTGTACCACGGTCTAGCTACCCTCAAACAATAAGGTGTATAATTAATTTGTCTTTGGTGAAGTTTAGAGCTCAGTACCTCTAGTAGGAAAAACTTTCGAGTTCGTTTCGTTGCGTATTCAAAGTGTCATCGAAAAATTTTGTATGAAAAATTAAACAGCGCCTCCTATATTATAGCCGCCCTAGGGGGCGCTGTTTAATTTTTCATACAAAATTTTTCGATGACACTTTGAATACGCAACGAAACGAACTCGAAAGTTTTTCCTACTAGAGGTACAGTGCACACGTTAAATCTATCGAAGCAATTACGAACGAGTAATATTTTCCTGCTTGTATAAGCAACTTTAAAATAAGCTAAATACTGTGGCATCTTACAGAGCTGTTATATACAAAAAAAATGTAAATCAATATAATATCGCCGATTCGCCAACTATACAAATTCATATTTATCTACCTTATGAAATGGAGGAAGAAAATTAATTTTGAAATCAGATTCTAACGATATCCCACAAAATTAGCCCTGAAAATTCAGAATAATAAGAGTTTGCTAGTGTATTTTTATCATTTGTAACCACTATAAATCTCCTTTGTGGCTCTGCTGCGCTCACTTCAGTGTTACAATGTTACTTAGTTATAGTTATCACCTATCCTTTCTTTCAAAACAAGTAGGCGTCTGGTTTAAAAAGGGCATTCTTCATTTTAGATTTTCAGTGATAGTATAATATTTAGTGTTTAGCTTAAATAAATGTGAACTCTATAAATTATTAATTTTGCAACAAAAAGGAAACAGGTATTTTTAAAGTAAAGTCGTATTTAAAATATATTTTGCATTTTTTTAGTGATATAAAAGGAAAATTAACAACCGTATTCTTAGAAAATTTGAATTTAAAAACTGAATCAAAAATATTCTGTGCAAACTCAAGGTTGGTAACAAACGATTAGAATTTTCCTGCTTCAAAAATACTACAAATGGTTGATTCATTAAACAATAATTGTCATAATCTTAAAAGAACAGGATCTCCCGTAATATTTTTATAAGTAAACAATTTAATGAATTGCTCTATATTTTTATGAAAAACTTATTATTTCACTCTCAATATTAATTCGTTTAGGGACCAACTACAAAATAAGTTTCTACAATAAAAGACAGATATTCATATTCGTACAAAAGTTTATTAATAGATATAAAAAATGACAAATATCAATTTTATTTTATTTTAGAAGTTTATAATTAAAATATTCTTATTAATCTTGCAAAGACTCGTATTGACTAAAATATATAATAAAAAGTAAAATGTAAAGGTATTATAAAAACTTATGGATTATTATTTTTGGGAATTCTTCAATTAATTTTGTTATTAACGTTCGGGTGCCATCAACATGTCGTCATAACCATGTCTGGCGCCGCATCTTTCACACAGCACGATGAAATTCTGTAACAATTGAATGAACAAAATTAGGCTTATAAAAGTAGTACATTCGGCGTCAAATATTTCGTGACACCCAAAGTGGCCAAAAAGTTGATAATACAACCTTATTCCAATGTAGCAAAGACGTGTTGCGTAACTTGCGAACTTATTGGTTAGGTACTTTGGGTGTCATGAACTATTTAACGCTGACTGTACTTGCTCTCGAACACACACTACAACCCTAATTTCTTCAAAGCAAGAATGAGCAGACATCTTCTGGGCAAGCTCGCTTTTCTATTATTAGATCGCATTTGCACTCTTCGGGTGATATAAAAAAAGTTCAAGCCATCTTTTAAAGTTACTATCATGAACAAAAAAATGCCTAAAAGTTACAATTAGAAAATTTATGTCTATGGCATTTAATTAATATCATGATGATAGATCATTTAATAATGATAAGTACAGGTATCAGCGCATAGGATTAGAACGCGAGTTCGTGATTGCAGTGGTAGTTTTTCAATAGGTAGAAGTTGACTAAGCCAAACTCATGGGATTATGCAAGGAACTGATTTGAATTTTATCGAACAAATCTGTAATGATGTGATCCACAATAAGTATGAATCTAACAGTCATACTCTCTTATCTGTGCTAACAGCATAATGCAGTAGTTCGTAAAACACATTTCTTGAACAAAAATAAAATTTAAAATGCACGTCACACACAAAGTCTCACGAAACCCTGAAAAGTAGTAGTTACTTGGACTCTCATTAGTATCATTAGCGTAAGGATGTGACCCATTTTCGAAGAGTTTTTATTTTTGTTCCCCTTGGACTCGGATAATGAACATATTATACGTATAAAAGTGTAGAGCGCTTTTTATGAACGTTTCTTTCTCTTGCATAAAACCGGATCACTATAAGTGTAAACGCGAAATACGACATAAAGTCGTCTAGACCACATTATTGTTTTATAGCAATAGTTACGACTGTACACGTAGGTAATTAATTATAGTGATGAGCTATGCATTATTTTTGATGGTTTAATAATTGGCAACGTAATGGCAAAATTGTACCAGTGTTTTATTAGAAACTAGCGGCCGCCCGCGACTTCGTACGCGAGAATCCCGTTTTACCCCCTTCATCTAAGTAGGTATCTTACGCGATTTAGATTTTTTCATACAAATGTTTTTTCCCGCTAACTCCCGTTCCCGTAGGAATTTTGCAATATCCTGTTGTAACTAAACTTTAAGTTTACTAAGGTAGGTACCTGCATGACAAATTTCAAGCGTCTAACTTAAGCGGTTTAGATTTTTCATACAAAAGGATTTTCCCCTTAATTCCCGTTCCCGTGGGAATTCCTAAGTATACTATAACCTGCTCAGGAGTATGAAGAATAATTGTACCAAGTTTCGTTAAAATCCGTCGAGTAGTTTTTGTTTCTATAAGGAACATACAGACAGACAAAAATTTTACTGATTGCATTTTTGGCATCAGTATCGATCACTAATCACCCCCTGATAGTTATTTTGAAAATATATTTCATGTACAGAATTGACCTCTCTACAGATTTATTATAAGTATAGATATAGATTAATTCTAAATGGACAACGGTGTATTATTAATTAATATAATATACGATAAAACGCGAATTAATAATTATTATATACGAAATTACTTACCATGTTATACTGTAATCTCAAAAGTTCCATAGCGGTTTTGAAACTTTCAGCTACCGTCCTCCCTTTATTGGACTCTTGTTTTAACATTATCTCAACGGAGCGCCAGGCTAGCTCCTCGAGTTGGTGCAAGCTTGTGGGCTCGGCAATCCGCATCTCCTCGCGACGTCTCCCAAACCGGTGCCCCCACTGGCGGAAGCCCCGCTGAGCGCGCTCCCGACTCCTCTCACCCATTTCCCGTGCCGGCTGTTCATTTGGGCCTGGTAAGTTCACCATCACGAGAACACAATAAAACACCGCACCCAAAAGTTTCTTAAATATATACGAATTCAAACAAACGCTTTTCTAATTACTTAAATACTTAATAACGATGCACTTAACAATGATCTCTCATAAACTAATCGATTACTAATTCAAATAAACTACGAGGAAAGTATGTAGGTAAGTACTATCCCCTTCCGTAATTCGCGATAGAATGATTTGAGAAGCATATTTTGTTGAAAAATTTTAAGAAACCCTAAAATTACCACGTGCAAATAAAAGGGATTCAACAACGTGTTTACAATAGAAACAAGTTTCGAAAATTACCACGGGTGAAAACAAAAGAGTGGTGTAAACTCAGGTACTTACTTGAACAATTAAACAAATGACTGCAAGTGCCTAATCCTTAAAAAGGTATTTCCAGTCTGGTATTTGAGGCAGGTAGATGTTAATTTCGGAGTGTCTCGGTCATTTCGAAGATGGTGCAGTTGCCTGAGGCCGCGTCCGGCGAGGCTCGCCCGAGGGTGGTGCTATTCCAGTACGACCACCACCAGGTGTTCCTCCAATACGGGCCGATGCGACTGCTGGAGCTGGAATACCTGGCGGACATGGTGGCCTTACTCTTGTCACCCTACACTACCCATGAAACTAACTTTCGTCAGACTGCAATGAATAGGTTGCGACATGAATTCAATTTAGTAAGTGTTTATTTTATTTAAGGGCTGCTTTTTCAATAGTCGGATAAGTTTTATCTGAAGAATAAGTTTAGCATATTGACAGTTTCAGTATGGGAAAAATGTCAAGTTTATTCTTCGGTTAAAAGATATCTGACGATTAAAAAATCAGCCCTAACCCAATGAAAATAGATGCACCTTTTTTTAATTTTGTTGAATTTGTATGTCTTGGACAAATAGTTGTTAGGTATGGGTATGGCGAATGAGATTAGTCCAACTTAATTTTACAAGGATCAAACTAATTTTCTCAAATAACTTACTTATTAGTGACACTTTGAGTTTTTAGTAAATATTTAAGGTTTTTATTTCCTTACAATTACAGTAAACAACACGTATTTACTTAATTTATTTCGTTTCTTGTTAAATTCTGATATCGTTAACATAGCGCTTTAATTCCAGGAGTTCAAGTTACTCTGCGATGAGTGTAATCACTCCCACTACCAGGATGAAATATCGGCTCCAGAACGATAGGTTTTTGATAGTCCTAAATGGCTTCCAGCCAAATCTGCTCTCCTAAATATTTCCAAAAAAATATTTAAAAATATTGAAGCCGTAGTTAGAAAAACTATTCTATTATTGCAACATCCTACAGTCATATAAAACCGACTTTACATCGATAAAATAATACCTTTTAACTTTTAAAAAAAACTATAGTATCATTCTTCAATAGTTGTAATTAATAACAAATTGACCATCTAGAATTTAGGAGGTAGAAAATCAGCACCAATTATGTAAACTTAAGAACAAAATTGAGATAAACCAAAAATATACAAATTTTACCTACTTGAATGAATTTTTATTTTAACACCTTTTTGTATGGAAGTAAGGTAGGTATGTACAGTACATTAATTTCTTTCATTTCAACCCCCAATTTTTAAAAGCCTACTCGTACAATACTTGTATGAGCGCAGCATTGCTTGCATAGTAGGTATTCCTATCTTGTTGTTTTCTTTATTTTTCCCTTCAAGTTAGTCTAAGTGTCGTTGTTAAAAAATACAAAATTGATACAATGCTGCAATCGTCTATAACATTGTCTATAATAAAGATTTGCTATAATTCTTTCAATAAATTTACCTACTGTGATGAAAGAAAAGATGTCAATACCTTTTGTTTAGTTTTAGTCAAGAAATACCACAAAAAATTGAGTGAGAAAGTCAGTGTTGGGGCTCTACAATAAAGGATAAAATAAAAAAAAGTATAGGCAAATGTTAAGATTACCCGGGACGACTGACAAAGACGGATTTGAACCACAAAGAGGCGGCATTACGCCGGAGCCGCCGTAAGCCGGGCAGAGGCGGCAATTAAAATACTTATCCCGCCGGTCATAGTGATATGCTGAGTCGATTTTTCATTGAATCGACTTGGTAACTTGTGGAGAGAAGAATCTGGCTCAACGCTCCGAATACGTTCTTAGTAAAAGAGTGAGTAAGTACCTACTTATAAAAACCTTCTTGGAACTGAATCTAGAGTCCTACATTTATGGCGACCCGGCCTGGCTGCACACGGGGTAATTAAGAGAGGTGATTTTTCGTGAAAAAATGTTTAAATGGTTTGGGTCCAACAGATTTTAGTGTAGGTAATCCTACATAAGTGTACTAGTACGCATTTATTTTGTTCTGACCTAGTAATACTTATTTAACCATTAAAAAGTTACAAATTGTTAAGTAGGTATATTTCGATACAAAATTGCTAAAACCCATTAGCTAACAATTTTATTATAAGTTAGGTAGGATCATTTTATCGAATTCATGAGTCATCATCACTAAAATATCGCCGTAGAGAAGTATTTAAACCAATCCCAAATTGTGGCGCCCTTCCAGAATAAGTACAGTCGATTGCTATATTCGCTGAATATTTTGAGAGCAAAGGTAGGTAGGCTACATGTTTTTGTTTAATTTATTTCATGAATTATTTAAATACCACGGAAATCCATATTATTTGTTTAGAAACGTCTTTAAATAGTTCTTTAAACGTAAATAACATAATATTTTGAATGTTTATAAGTATTAATAATTTTTATATCTGTGAATTCATCTCTTATCGCTTCAATAAACAAATATTATGACCGGACAGAAAAACGTTCACTGAACTCATTTTTCCGTATCCCGTAACACAAAATCCTAGGGCGGNGTAAACTTGCCAAAAATCTGAGAACCTTTACAATTGTCGTATTCCATTCAGAAAGAGTGATCACAGTCCAATAAAATAAGCAATAATATACTGGTAGAGTAAGTAAAGGTTAGTTAGCTGTGCCCGCGACTTCGTATCGAAAATAGTTAGAATAATATTTCCAGTTTTTGCAAATTTATTTACTGCTCCGCATCTATTGGCTGTAGGATGAAGTCAAATGGGCTATTGGCGTAGTTATGAGATTAGTGTGTTCAAGCAAACAAACTCTTCAGCTTTTTCGGGTGGAAACGATAAATGATCTCATTCGATTAATTTCTATACTCATCTATCAAAAAAAATTAATGTTTCTAACTGAAATAGATCCAATTTATTCTGTTACGGTGTATGTTCTGTGTGTGTAAATTGATACCGTTTGATAGAGCTCGATAAGCACTTCTGGATCAGTAACCAATTTTTCGATATTTTGTATAAGTAGTTCAGAAATAATCGAATGAGATCTCAATAGGTATCGTTTCCCACCCTGTAGATGTATAAACCCCTCCCCATACAGGCTGCCCGAGATAAAGCCTGTCGTGCGGCCCCAAATTGAATGAATCTGTTTGCTTGGGAAGTTAGTTACGGGTTCAAGTAAAATATTGACATTATCCGGAAGTTCAGCAGGACACCGATACTCCGATAAGCTAATGAAATTCCCCCAAACAAGTTACTTATAGAACTGATAATGGACTTAGTTTATTATTGTATCAGTTCGGAGAGTAATTGATTAACTAATAAACGTGGTAATAACTTACCGTTGTTGTGATCTACTATAACTTTGTGTTATTTTGTGGATGAAAAAATAGTATAATTTAATGAAAATTATTCTTGTACGTATTACAGAGAGGGTCGAATAAATAAGTAGTCAATGTAAAAAATCGAATAGGTAAGTAGGTAAGGTACGGTTTTACTATTTTTACCCAATCACCGAAAAAGGTATAAGATACGTTAAAGCATAAAATATTCACAATAATTACTATTAATTACTTTAAGCATCTTCATATTAGAAGCTTGTTACATAACGACCTTGCTGGGAAATATCGTTAACGTAAATAATATTTCAATCAAAGCTTCCATGCATATTGCCGTTTGGTTCGAATCCTCTCGTTTGGCCTCGGCCTAATAAACTTTTGAATTGTTTTAATTAAACCTTCTTGCTTCGCGAAATATTAAAGCTTCCAGTTAGATTAAATTCTGCACAAGATTTCTATTATTTTGTTAAGATAAAATTGACTGACATTTATTTATAATGAGTAAAGTTAAATAATTACTTATCATAATGCATTTTTTTGCCGTAGAATTAAAACGCTGGCAGCTATTTCGATATGATTATTGATTTCGATATGATTTAATAACCTATCTTTTTGATTATTTTTCTCAATCAAAAGATATGTAATCGGTACGATGGCGATTTAGATAAATATTAGCCAATTGTAGTCATCAAAACAAACTAATTTTAGAACGTAATTAAAAAAATATTTTAATTATGAATAGTAGGTATGGCAAGAAACACGTTATCTGCAAGATTTCACGTTCCTAGATCCTAACGACTGCTCCGCAAGTGACGAAATAAATGCAAATTCTTGCCAATCCACTTATACTTACTCAAGTCTGACATCGTATAATCATATTATAATCTTTGTTACTCATAGGCATGCCCTCGGTCGATTCTGTGACGAGCATGAATATCCATATATCATCTTCTATCTTATCAACAACGTGACGCATATGTTACGAAAAACCTTAGTCACCTTATTTTCGGTTACGAATTATCTGAACATTCTTGCTTGATAAATGCATCCGCCATCCGTAGATTCATTAGTTAGCAATGTAAAAAAAAACTATACTTGATCATAAAGAAAATTAGATGAGCTTTCAAGAAAATGTTTGAGAAAAAGCATTATTTTGCTACAAAGTATGTTTCAGCATTTGCTAAGCTTGGATATTACACATAATAGAATGAATGATAATTAACTGTTTCAATCATGATAACAAACAGGTATCTACGTATTATTTCAAAATAAGTCTTAGATAAAACATCTATATATGTATATAAAAATGAAACCCGTTTTCCGTTGTCACGACATAACATGAAAACGGCTTGACCGATTTGGCTGATTTTTTTTTTGTAGTTTTCTAATACTCTGTACAAGGTTTTTACGGAAAAAAATATAAAGAAAATCTCTACGCTAAGGCGGTACGAAGTTCGCCGGGTCAGCTAGTTAGGTAATAAAAAAAGTTCTTAACTTATCAAATATCCTACTTATTATCTTATAATTCAATCATGTAATCTGAAACCTTACTGCGTCCGCCTGATAGATTGATCGATATAAATAAGTTACATAGGTACGTCCTCCTACCAACCACCTAACCTAATTTAGGTATGTAGATAAAATATGTCTTATTTAATTATGATAACAATCCATTTATTTACAATATAAATTCTAAATGTAGCATTGACGTAGAGTTAGATAGATCATCCTACTACCTAGTTACGCCTTCTTCCAGTGGCGTAGCGTGGCTTTTCGCCGCCCGGGGCCGTCCGGAAATCCGCCGCCCTTTATTTTAATTATAAATATTTTAAAGTTTAAATATTATATTGAATGGACTTCAGGTACACTATTCACCTTATTTGTTGAAAGTCAAAATAAACTACCACGCACTGCTTCAGAAGGAAAATACATTAAAGAGAAGAGAAGCAATGGCTTGAAACCCACAGGAAGTTTGATTTTCTTAAATAGCTCAGCTTTATTATGTAACACTAGGTATACAGTGTGAGTCACGTTAAAGTGTACATATGAAAATAGATTAAAATAGACCTATTTTTATCGACAAAAAAGAGGTCAAAAATTTTTTGAGACTTTTTTTGAATTTTTTATAGAATTTTTTTTCTTCCAATTACTTATTGTAAAAAAAACCTTATAACTTTTAAACTGAGCGGTATATCCTGATAAAATAAAAACAGTAATAATGCTAAATAACAGACGATACTGAAAAAATACATAAAATACCCAGAAAATGCCAACAAATAATAAAAAATGATAGTTTTTGAAAAAAATCTGCTTATAAATTCGTATTTTTTTGGTTATTTGATAAATTTCTCAAAAAAATGCTCCTATAACAGGTGGTTTTTATTACTTTGTATTATTTTCTATCGTATTATCTTTGTAAAACCAAAAATCGCATGTCTCTATCCCTATCACAACATTTGCTATGATCATTTGAACAAAGGCCTGCCACAACATTATTCTCCGCTACAGGTAGAGACAATTTTAATTGTAACTAAAATGCTTATTTTACTTCGAAATCTTTTGTTTTTATTTGAAATCTAACTTGTCTTTATCAAAATTACAAATCTAGAGCCATTTTCAGTTTCGTTGCAAACGTTGTGATAGGGATAGAGACATGCGATTTTTGGTTTTACAAAGGTAATACGATAGAGAATAATACAAAGTAATAAAAACTCCCGGTCATAGGGGCATTTTTTGGAGAAATTTATCAAATAACCAAAAAAACACGAATTTTTAAGCACATTTTTTTTCAAAATGTATAATTTTTTATTATTTGTTGGCCTTTTTTGTGTATTTTATGTATTTTTTTAGTATCGCCTGTTATTTAGCATTATTACTGTTTTTATTTTATCAGGATATAACGCTTAGTTTAAAAGTTATTACGTTTTCTTTACAATAAGTAATTGGAAGAAAAAATTTTTTATAAAAAATTAAAAAAAAAATCTCAAAAATTTTTGGACCTCTTTTTTGACGATAAAAATAGGTCTAGTTTCATCTATGTTCATATGTACACTTTAACGTGACTCACACTGTACAACAATAAACAATAATAACAAGTATTAAAGTATTTATTTGTCAATTGAGAGTAAATATTATTTTAAATTATACAGTGTGTCCGGGCATGTAGTGATCAAACTTTAAAGGCGTAATCTATGAACAATTTTATCGATGAAAATACTTCAAATTTGGGGCTTGACCCATTTCTCGAAAAATTACATCGATTTAAGTTTTTAATTTTTAGTTTACACCTCTTCTTTAAAAAAAAAGTGAAAGCGTGGGTAGCTTAACATTAATAGGCAAATTTTTTATATCATGCGATAGCCAATAAAATTATCTATTAGTAGAAGAAGAAAACAGACACAAATTTCATACATTTTATGGGAGTAAAAATGGATTGAATTAGAAAAATACATTACTTTTTTCACTTCTTTTTCAGTTATTTTCCAACACAAGAAAAACCAGGTCGTTAAGGTATGTTTTATTTGCATTGTATTATTAGTATTTGAGCTATTCTACAAAAAGAATGTAAGTTTATTAGTTTACGTCTATTAGTTTCGACGTAATTGTTGAACAAAGATACCCCTTCCCAGCGGTTTCCATAGCGCACGCGACATGCGAAAATGCACTGCCTGAAAGAATCACACAACCGATTTCGATTACTATGGAAACCACTGGAAAGGGGTATCTTTGTTCAACAGTTATGTCGAAACTAATAGACGTAGACTAATAAATTTACATTCGTTTTGTAGAATAGCTCAAACACTAAGAATACAATGCAAATAAAACATACTTTAACGACCTGGTTTTTCTTGTGTTGGAAAATAACTAAAAAAGAAGTGAAAAAAGTCATGTATTTTTCTAATTAAATCCATTCTTACTCCCATAAAATGTACAAAACTTGTGTCTGTTTTCTACTTCTACTAATACATNGCTTTTTGGTTTTTGTGAATTTTACTCAATATTTCAAATTTTTTGTATGAAAAGGCAAAAAGTTTGTTCTAGAAATGAATTCGCCATCCTTTAATTATCCGAAAATGATACCACACTTGCCCTAATACCCATAATTTTGAAGATATGGGCCTTAAAGTGAAGCGCGGCGGAAGGAAAGTTGCCCCCCCTCCCCCTGCTATCACAGGGGGGGCTCCCAATGTCTACCGACGGAAATCCACTCAGGAGCACCCAAAGAACCACTGTTGCAAAAATGAGCCTTCTATACCAAAGTGGAGGGGTTCTTGCACTAAATTCCCTACTAGTAAGGTATCCTATTATTTTATGACCGAGGTAAAATATTTAACGCTTGTCATAGCAACATGCTCTTATGTAATAAAAACTACCGATAATATTTCGGTGAAACCCTATTCACGCGCCCGGGGAATATCTAAAAAGGTCCATGTCCATATTTCAATAAGCTTCAATCCATATTTTAAGTATTCAATGCTTTTTCATTGAACATCTTATTAATTTTGAATAAGTGAATGGTTCCTATAAAATACAACTTCAAACGTGCAATTCAAATTAAAATGCCTATAGGTAGATATGATTGCAAAATTAAAAGAAAATAAATATTTTTAAACCTTTTGGAACTTTAGATTTTCATTTCAAATTCTGCACACTCAGGAAATACCTAGTGTGTATTGAGGCAAAGGTTTGTTTGAGATCATTAAACAGATCATCAATAAGTAGTCAGCAGGAAATGTTAAACCTTTTTTAAAACATGAAAGCCGCGTGTAAGTAAACTGTAAATTCAGTTAATAAGCTGCATAGACATAATGCGTATTTTCGGACAAGATTTGTATTTGATATTCAAACTTTTCTGTTCGATTCGATTCATCACTGCGCCATCGAGCCGTACAAACTTAGACTTAGTACTATTTTCAGTAAGTTAGTTACTTACTTAGTCGCTACAATTTCTCAAAGTGTCGCTAAGTAAGAGGTACTACCAGGAAGTAGGCAAGTAGGTAGGCTTAATTTAACGTCTGTTGTTCCTTTTCCGATCGTTCGGAAATAAATGATGAATAGTTAAATCGCTAAAGGCTACCTACTTGATTGTTCAAATTAACAAAAAACTTCTTTTGTTTGTTTTGTCAGTCTACCTAGTCGGGTGTGGCTTTCATAGAAAGAAATAAGTAGGTACTGTTCTTACATCATTGTTTGTGTGGTGAGAACTTTGGTAATTTACCCACAGATCGTGGAAAGAAAAGAACATAGTTATTGGATACCTACCTGTACCTACCTATGGAAATGGGACCTAGATACTTGCCTACCAGGACCGGTAATGTTTTCAATCTTAGGACCTTGGGAAGGTTATTTCTTTGGAATAGGATCTAGCAAAATCATNTTAGATTAATAGGATCTAGCAAAATCATAAATTAATGCAGTACAGTAATACTCGTAAGTACCCGGGAATTTTTTTTCGCAACCTATTTCTTGGGGGTCGATTCTTGATGGCTAGCTGAATGTTATCCTTGAACTAGAAACTGAATATAGAATCACGAGATAATATTTTCAATATTTCTTCAAAGTAAATCAATTATTTTAGTAATGATGAACAAATATTATCATTTAATAAAGGAATATTAAATGATAGAGCATAAAAATTCACATAAATTACAAAAAGTACTGTACTGTTTTCAAACGAAATTAAAATTTGTCTTTTGTATATTCCAATAAAGTAAGTGATTGACATGCATGGTATGATAAAGAAAGTCTATTGCACAATCTGTGGTCTATTGTATTTGGTACTGACTTACTGAGTGACTGACTATACAGGGTGGAATTTTGTAATGCCACCTAGAGGGAAAGTACTCTTAATACTGTAGATAGAAAATTTTACTCAAAGGAAACATTGTTTCATTTTTTAAAAGGAAAAGAACAGCATTCAAAGATTTCCGGTAATTTTTCTAAAATTCACCATCACCAATAGCATACATCTGTAAATAATTAAAATAATTTAAGATTTCATGGTTTTCCTTTCATTTAATTTGTTAAGATTGTTAGAGAGATTTCATCCTTCCATCATCACTAACGATCGATGCAATAAAAATACTGTAATTTTAACAGATTTTAGTTGGTTCGATTCCCGGGTGTGGCAAGCAAATGTTTGGAAAACTTTGAATGCAGTTCTATTTCTTTTCAAAAATAAAGGAATGTTTTCTTTGAGTAAAATTTTCTATCTAGATTATTATGAATACTTTCCCTCCAGGTGGCATTTCAAAATTCCATCCTGTATAGTGACTTGTTGAGACTCACAGAATCGGCGGCGTCTTTCATAATATTTCTTATCTGTAATGTGTACATACTCTGTATCCGTCATCGTCAACTGTCAAATTGACTTTTGTGATGGTACGACGACAGCTCATCGCTTTTATTTTTGATTCGATTGATGGTTTACATTAAAGTGCATTTTGATACCAATTCGCCTTAAAATCACAGAAAAAGTTATAGCACAATGTGGGATCCAACTCATGTTCAAGTGACTATACAAAGGGCTCGAGGACTTCTAATAAAAGGTAAAAACGGTACCAATAACTGCTTTGTGACCATCGCCCTGGGTAAAGAAAAATTCCAAACTTCCGTCAAACACAAAGCAACTGAGAACGTCGAATGGTTGGAAGAATGTGAGCTACGCATACCTACGCAAGGAAACACTGCAGAGATTGTATTGAAAGTGTATGATGAGGATTTTGTAAAGGACCATTTACTAGGTCAAGTATCGATTCCGTTAAAAGACCTCGATGTTTACGAGCGCCCCAGAAACCGTTGGTATGTCCTGCAAGGAAAATCAGGTAAAGAAAACGACAAGAAAAGAGGAGAACTTGAAGTCAAAATCGGTTTTACAGTCAAGGAAGGCAGTCTCACTGACCTCAGTAAGAAAGATAAACATCGATCATCTTTGTCGAGTATCGCTCAAAATGTCGGTGGCAGCCTCATGAGCATTGGAAGCATTGAGAAACGTAAAGGTCTGAAAAAATTCGCCAAAAATCTTGGCTCTAAAATGAACCTTAGCAAAAAGGACAAGAAGAGTGACTCATCATCTCTCAGTGGCAGCATAGGCAATCTAAAAAGTTCAGCACTTTCCACCCCTGAACATTCCACCCCTAAGAGGCTATCTGGTGATGCAGACCCTGGAGTAATCAGTGAAGATGAAGATGAGTTTGCTTTTGATGATTTGTCCCATAAAAGTTCAGGTAGTTCCTTGAATGTAAACACTTTACCTCGTGGACATAAATACACTCCATCTCCTATGAATGCTTCTCTAGAAAACCTTGGGGGTGGTGAAATTTTGAGAAGATCCACAAGCAGCAACTTGGCTAATTTAGACAAGGCCGCTCCACATAAACCTGTGCGCCTGAGCCTCAACTTGTTCACTCCACCACAATTACCCTCTCAAGTGGTCAACAAGGATGACGAGTGGTCCCAAAAATTATACTCAAAACCAAAGTCAAACAGTCAAACAACTATTGACAGAGAAAAGTCTTCAAGCCTTGAGAGAAACAACAAACTCGACAGTCCTAGCTCATTCAAAGAAAAACCCAGCCCAAAATTTTTCAAGAAGTTTGGAAATAACAATAAACAGAAGAAACTATTAGAAGAACGCATAATTGTTGGTGAAGAAAACATTGTTGAAGAAGATTCTGTAAACCCTGCCTACAGTAACATCCCTAAAAGTGTGGTTGAACAGTTTGATGGGAAATCCAGAGAAGATCTGATTGTTATGATTTACAATTTGCAAAAAGATGCTGAATCAGAGAAAAAGAAAAACAAAGACTTGGAAAACTATTTGGATGAGTTGTTACTCAGAGTAATGGAAACTACTCCAAGAATTCTACAAAATCCTTATGTAAGAAACAACAGCATGCATATTAGAAACAAATAAAATGGTCTGGTTTTGTTACCTGACAAATTCATCAAAAAATCCTTTTAGCATGTTTTACTTGTAAACTTGTTATCATTGTTATTTTTGTCTTGCATTATCTTATATCAAAAGTGTATGTATCTATACTTGTTCTATTTTCAATATTATTTTCTCATTACAGTAGACCCATGGTAATCTGACAAATGCTTTGCAAGTCGGTGACGGATTATCAAGTTTTCCGGATTATCGAGTGCTACCCCTTAAAGTCAGCAACTTATGGGAATGAAGTACCTTTTTAATCCGACAAAAATTACTAAAATGGTGAGATTGAATCATTATGTCAATACCTATTCCATCCATAATCACCACACTGAAATGACACATCATTTATTTTAGAATCATTCTATTAACATTATGACTGGCAGTTAAGGAAACTGAATACACTAACAAAATATATTTTTACTTAGTAGCTACTAAATTTATATATGGGATGTCGGATTACAAGGGTGCCAAACTAGCCGGGGGCTGGATTACTGCGGGTCTAGTTAAGAATATTATTTAATCTTGTCACATCTGAACTTAGTGCCTTAATAATGTAGTCTGTGATAAAATTGAAGTGTGTAAAAAGACAAATATAATTGATTGTAGTATCAAATACACTGAACTGTTCATCAACATTTATACAAAAAAGTCTGCCACTTATCAAAATATTTATCTATAGAGCATCTAAAGATTGTTGTTTGGAAATCACTAATAATATTAAGTGCCAAAGTTTTATCCTTTATCCAGTTAATATTTTAAGCAGTTTATTATATTTGTATTAAACTTGTATGGGGTTTATTAAGATTTGTAGAGTACGTAATTTTATAATACATATACTATCACACTGCTTTAGATAATTTTTCTTTTAATTTTAAAAGTGCTTAATTTCGGGCATTACACAAAGAACTGCATTATTAATTAGGTTAACAAAATAAAGATAATAACAGAANGTATCGCATTTTATGAAACAAAAATATATGAAAAAGCTAGGGTGGCAAACAGGTTTTTGTATGAAAGGTAAAAAAGGACTATTTTTAAAATATCTAAATATTTGGTAATAAGTAGGATTATTGCTATAATTCTTCGTTGTCTTAAAGATAAATATTCATACTTCAAAATTGTGTGTGTGTTTTTTTTGTGTGATGATTTATAAATATAAAACTTTTGAACTGTTTCAAAACACACTTTTTTTTTTCAAAATGTACATTTTTTTTGAGAAATACTCAGATAGCATGATTTCAAAATTAATTTTATTATTTAATGGATCCCTAATTAATATCACTTGGAGAGTGCTTTATTTTTAATGATGATTACATTCTCAACATTGATATTAACATCATTATTTAAATTTTGTTATTATTAAGTTAAAAAAGCTAACTACCTACCTGATTTTAGAAATTTGTTTTACCTAACAATGCCATTGTGCAATATGATAATAGTAGATAAGTCTATTGTATTCCAATTTCCATTAAAATAATCTTAGATGATATTAGGAATATAGGTAGGTACATTATAAGAATGTTATATTATAAGTGAATTGAGTAAGATATTTTCTTTGAATTTATTGAACAGGGAATGATCTGAATGATTGGATATTTAGTAATTTATGTGTCATATGAATGATTAACAAAAACAGTATAAATGTATGCCAAGATTAAAGGTATTTTGTTAATTTTCATTATAGTAAAAACTTATTCTTTAACCTAGACTAAAGCAAAGCAATGTTCAAACAGTAAATAGAAGAACAAAGTAAAGTAGGTTGTATGTTTAATGTTATTTACTGATTTACAATAAGCTTAATTTAGAAGATTTCAAGTTAACAGGTACATAAGTTAATACTTGCAATTTTAATTTAACAATTAAAAGTACCTAATGCATGCGTGTGAGCAGTAAGTCAATTGTTTAAAAATGTTTAAAACCTTATTGTTTGAATTATATGTATTCTGAAAACTATGTAACTACTCACAATGAATATAAACTACTTCCTCTTTGTAATTTAGTTTAAAATATTCTAAGGCATAAGAGAAAGTTAAGTTTATTTACATTTATATCATTTAATCATACTTGTGATGAATGATTATGTAAACAAATTATAAATAAATAAACCTTATAATTTATTGTTTTAAAGTGATTGAATTTAAATAAATATATTTTTTAAACACCTTGTTTCCTAATATAAACCTGCCCGATACATATAATAAGCATTATTCCACTGAAAAGTTAATCTGTTTGCCATTAATTAAAACAAAATATAAAAGAATGTATAAGAAATTTATTGTGACAATGATAATTTCATTTTATTCAGTACATGAAATTATTTGTGACGACGACTCTTGACGGGTGCTGCCGCTGGCACTGTAGTGCTGTAAGTTTTCTGTGATAACTTATTCATGTAATAAATAGTTATCAATGAAAATATCAAGCTGAAACAAAAGAAAAGTTTTTTATAGCTAATTTTAAATTAATATCAGGAGCATCTTGACTTCACATTATGAGTGACACGTGTTTTATGATTTACTAGCTGACCCGGCGAACTTTGTTCAGCCTTAATGGCAATAAATAAGCTGACTTTTTTTTAAATTTCGAACGGGATAAAAAGTATCCTATGTCCTTCTCCTGGCTCTAAACTACCTCCCTGACAATTTTCAGCTAAATCGGTTTAGCCGTTCTTGAGTTATAAGCGAAGTAACTAACACGACTTTCTTTTATATATGTTACAGGAAATGTATGAATTCTAGGAATTGTATACTATTCCTAGGAAATGTATACAATTCCGAAGCTATTTAGGAAATGTATAAAATATTGCTTCAGAGATTTTTTAATACGCACATATCCTAGGAAATGTATACTTTTCCTAGGAATTTTATAGAATTCCAATATTGTATTAGGAAATGTATAAAACTAAGCGGCACAAGCGCGGTCGCGTGATCGGGTGTCCCTCGGTACGCCTAAAATATCATTTAGCCAAACCACATTGGCCTATAGGTACTTTTAACTCACAATTATTATTGTTTAGCCTGACAGTTGTTTTCGCAATATTATACCTTTCTTTCGGCATCACGCATATTACGCTGAAGTATTGGAAATCCCTAATTTTAAAATCTCTTTTATTAAACTATTATTGACGTGAAGGTTTTAGTACTCCTGTAGCTGGATAACAAAGTCTCGGTTAGGTTAGGTTAGACTTGCGACCTTACACATACACAGCTGCCGCGACGCGGTAGCGCCATTTAAGTTTCGGAGAACAAAAAGTGGCGTAATAAAAATAATTTTGTGTAAAAAAAAACATCTTAATTACATTTCCGATTGCTGTTTAGGAAATGTGTAATTTTCCTAGGAAATGTGTCTAATATAATTTACATCACACATTTCCGGGTGATTTTAGGACTTATACACAATTCCTAGGAATTGTATACAATGACGGATTTCATACATTTCCTGTAACATATATATAGATATAGATTTATTCACTCCAATGATAGTCTCTGTGTTCATTCTATCGCATTCAATTTAGGAATCTGAACAAAGTTAGTGTTAATTAGTTTCGCTGCCAAGGTTTCGTGGTAGAAGTGTGCTACTGGTGTTAATGTTCACAATTAATTTGTAAAAAATGGCGCACGAGTTATTTTTGCGCAACGACGTACCTAACCAGCCGACTATACGTTTTTACAGTAGACTTAAACTAAATTGGCTCGCAAACAGCCTGAATCTGAACATTTGAATTTTAAGTAAAGACTAAATAATAATACTAAACATGCACTTGCCACCTTATTTGAACACACAAAAAATACTTTCTGGGTGGTAAAATAATTATGTTTTATTATTTAAAAGGTAAAAAGTTTTTGCATAAAAGTTAAAATAATTTTCAATCAATACCTACACATTACAGCACTAGTGAGGTAATCAGCAAAGCGCAGATGTTTAATGAGCCTCAAAATAGATGTAAAAAACTATTGCTCAATAGAATTCCCACCATTATAGTGCTAATAATTTATTATTAACTAGCTGACCCGGCGAACTTCGTACCGCCTTAGCGTAGAGATTTTCTTAATATTTTTTTCCGTAAGAACCATCCTTGGACTTCCACAAACATTTAAAAAAAAGAATTATCGAAATCGGTTCAGCCGTTCACACGTGATGCCGTGACAACGCGAAACGGGTTTCATTTTTATATATATAGATTANATTAATTGTGTATTAGCAATTATTTTAAAAACACAATGTTAGAAAAATCTTCTACTGTTGGAAACAGTAGAAGTAGAAGTGGAACTAGCAAAAACATCAATCATATTTTTTATTCAACTGCTAAAGATTATATTTATTGCTAGTTTTTACAACCTATTATTTTAACTAATTGACATTTAAAAACCAAATAAACATACATAATATTTTTAATTACTTTTTTGAGTAACAAATATTTTAGTTACAGACAATGGGAATGTTAAATTACTATGTTTTCAGAACGTACCATGTTGTGAAACAAATTCTATGCACCATACCAGCTGCAACTAATGACACTCCCATGGACAGTACGATTTCTGGAAGCTTCAATTGGAAGTTTTTGCCGAATAATGTGGCTTCTAAATTACCGACGGCCTGTGACATGCTAAGGAAATTATGTGAAACACACAATTAATTAAGTTTACATAACATAATGTTTGGTAAGATTTAATAGCATTATTACTTAAATTGTAATTGCTCAAGTGTTTTATTTTTTGTTAACTAAAAAGATTATGTAAGCATAATATGAATCAAGTCTGCTATATTACTACTAGCCAAACACCCTTAAAAATACACAGAAACATATTTTACTTGGTGGTCCATTTTATCTAATTGGACTCAAACAATTCAAAAGCCAAAAATTTAAGTTTCCTTAGGGCACATCATAAGGTATAGTTACAGAAAGTTACACAGTGTAACATTCTCTTCCAAACAAGCAAACCCCTTTTTTTACAAATTGTTTTGCTACGAATACTTTGATCAATATAATCTTGGTACAGCATTTAATTCCATCTCATTACTGATTAGCTGTTAGCTGCACCATAAGAGTAGGCGCACACTGTTGATTTTTAGTTGGCCGATAGTTGTGCCCGATTTTAATTTGTATAAAGAATCGGCCAAATCGAATCGGCGTAATGTGCGCACTCCCATACATGCCCATACTGATCAACTGCCCGACTAAACTATCGGCCGACGAAAAATCAACGGTGTGCGCCTACTCTTAGAACCAGGATTTCTTTTTAAAAAAGGATACAGTTACGAAAAACATAAACATCACCGATCCGAGGTAACCTCCAAATATAATCATTATTGGAGATTTTACAATCAGTGGTTTGTACATTTGCATTCCAGAGAATATCAGTAAAGCTAAAATAGACGATAATATGAAGGAAGTCGCACTATTCACCGCTGAAACAGAAAGTAAGGCTGGTTTAATAAATTATTATTTTTAATACAATGAAAGTTATCGATCAGCCAAGTCTCTTAGCCATAATATAAATAAGTTTTACCCATTTTTATGTAGTTTTAATTAAGGTTTTGTTTGTAAGATAAAGGTGTCAGAATATAGGATTAATCTTGGTTTTTGAGAACAGAAACAGTAAAACACAGTAAAACAGCAACACGTAAGCCGGCAACTGTAAATGTCAAAGTGACAATTTTGACAGTCTGACTGACCTTTTTTTTTAATGATGAAAGTTTTTTTTTTTTTTATGCATAACAAGGCTGAGCCCCGATTACGGTAATTTTTAACGTCAACAATCCAGACACGCTTCTCGATTCTGCGATACGATTGGTCGTTCAACAGCGTACGTCAGCTGTTTTGACCAATCGTATCGCAGAATCAGAAACGCGTCTGGATTGTACACGTTAAAAGTTACCGTAATCGGGCCTCAGGTATTTGACCACAATCGCACCTGATGTTAAGTGGGAATCAGTGGGATGCAGACATGCAGTCTAGGATGGCTGGATGGTACATAGTAATTTACTGACTGCCACTATGTTAAAGTCGGGAATCGAAAATCGAATCCGTTTGCGGATCGATTTAAAAAAAACGACGGTGCTTTATTATAAATTAAAGCCTTTCGACCGTCTATCGATATTACGAATAATCTGTGCAGCCCCCCTAGACAAGCGGCACATTTTGAGCGAATCGAAAATCGAATCCGTCAAAACTCCTTACAAAAAAAGGCTTTTCGAACATCTTTCGACAGGTCTGCGATTTTAACTCAAGATAACATTACTGACAATGACAATCCAACTGAATTCGAGTTTACTGAATGAAAATTTATTTATCAACAATTAAAAATTAATGTCCGCTTTCTATTTGTTCTTTGTCAAAATATCTACCGTTTCGATGCTCAACTCGAATTAATTTGAGCTAGCTAACCTTAATCTCAATACTCAATACGTTTATTTAATTTAATCTAAGGCTAGCCAATGCCAACGCGAGTTAACTCGATTAGTAAATCGAGTATAATACACTTAACATCACTAAATATGACTGAGGACGTTTGACGCACGCACGGGTTTTTGACGTTCGTTTCTTTGATTCGATGGCTGATAACTCGTCGTCGTCGTTATCAGTAACAATACAACTTTGAAAAACATGAAATAGTGAGATAACATCCGCGCGAATTAGACTTATTATTATCTTACCATAATTGGATGTCTCTAAGATAAAGTTACAATGAATTTCATCAGTAAGAATTCAAAATTGGCCCGGAATATTTTATTCAGCCGGAACTTGGTAAGTATATTTCAAAACTTTGTATGTTTACGTAAACTAAATTGACTTTATTAGATTTATTCAAAAGTTAAAAACTCATTACGCAATGTTATTTAAAAGAAAGAAAGCTGATTATTATTTATTAGCTGATCAGTGCTGTTTTACACTAAAGCTATAATTATTAGTCAGTCATCGCCGAAGTCGGTGTCGAAGACTTCATCGTTAAAGTAAAATATTATTAGTATTCCACAAAGCTACCGGAGTCTTATGTGCATTTCTGAATGTCTATTGAATAGTATTTTTTTAGTCTAATTAGAATTGTAAATTTTTTAGTAGTGGCACAACAAGGCATACAAAATAAATAGTATTGTGATAAATCAAATTTATTTCCTATTTCAGAGTTCTTCTACATCTCAAATAAGAATTTATGAAGTAGGCCCAAGGGACGGCCTACAAAATGAATCTAAACTTGTGCCGACAGAAGTGAAAGTGGAATTAATTCATAAGTTGGCTGAAGCTGGCCTAAAGGATATTGAGTCTGCTAGGTGAGCCTTTTGTATGTCCTCAAGATTTGGTCAACTTTATTATTTTCCTACATCCTTTACATACTTTTTTTACAGTTTGCCTTATTTTATGTGTAACCAATACTTAAATAGAGGAATTTTAAACTGCATTGCTGGTTATAAATTGTTATAGCTAAGCATAATCTTTATTTTTCATATGATTAGGTACTTTACCAAGATCACAAGCTTAATACCTATTTCAAGCTTATGGTGCAACTTCTCAACAAAAATGTAAAGTCTGATCTGCTGTTGATTTGGTAAATAATTAATTACTGTTATGTATTTTGTTAATAATATTAATTATATTTGATAAGCAGTTTCATGACTTGCTTCATTCACTTGTATGGACAATTATACAGCCTTTCTAATAGTAGTCCTACTTATTTCAATTCACACATATTGTTTTTGTTTCAGTTTCGTCAGCCCAAAATGGGTTAAGCAAATGGCTGATGGAAAAGATGTTATGAACACTATCAAAAGAGTTCCTGGAGTCAATTACCCTGTTCTTGTGCCAAACCTTAAAGGCTACAGTATAGCTGTAAGTAAAAAGGAATAAAATTTTTCATAATTAAATAATGTTATGTACTTTTGTTAATAATCAGTTCATCATATCAATACTCACTCTTTTTAACCAAGACAAGGTGAAAATGAAGTCCTATTTTGAACCCTATTCAGTGGAATTCAAATTAAGTGATGTAAATCTGTAAATATACATGTAAATAATTTGGAACTAATTTAATATAATTTTTATTTTACATTAATGCCAACTTACTGGACGTAGAATCTAAAAAACTTAGTATTGTTACCTCAATATCCATTTATTTTATTTCTTTATTCATTTCCCTTAGAGAGAATGCAATGTAGAAGAAGTGGCGATATTTCCAGCAGGATCTGAGGGATTTTCACAAAAGAACCTGAACTGTTCTGTGGAAGAAGGTCTTAAACGGTTCAAAGAAGTTGCTGTGCAGGCAGTAAAAGATGGACTGCGTGTCAGGGGATACATTTCCTGCGTGGTTGGCTGCCCTTATGATGGTCCAGTTAGTCCAAAAGCTATTGCCAAGGTAAATACATCAACACCATAAATTAAGTAATTAGCTAGAATGCCCTAAAAGAGCCTGTGGGACTGTAAAATAGATCATAATGATGTTGCTAACATAAATCAAAAGTTTTACACATACAAATAACATCATTTTTAAAAACTTACTGTAGTTAGTCCTATACTGGTTACCTGGTTAGGGTAATGGGGTAGTAAAAATATGTAATAAAAAATGTAACAAATACGTCTTCATTAATTTATTAACATAAAATAAGACAAGGCAAACGTCACTAATGACCCTGGCCTGCATACTTAGATGTTCATAAACACGTTTTAGAAAAAAAAATCATTGTGCTCTAAAGAGTTCAATTCTCTTTATTCCGAGCGTGTTCGTCACCGGACCGAATATAAACCGGCTGAACACACGCCCTTGTGATATGCTGATGAGCTTTGTTTTGTTTAGATAACCGAGGAGCTGTTATCCATGGGGTGCTATGAGGTGTCCCTGGGCGACACCATCGGCGTCGGCACCGCGGGCTCCGTGCGGCGGCTGCTGCGAGAGGTGCTGACGGTGGCGAAGCCCCAGCAGTTAGCTTTGCACTTCCACGACACATATGGCCAGGGCTTGTCCAATTTGCTCGCTGGATTGGAGGTAAGGACGACTTAGAAAGATTCCACTATTCCATTTAGGGCCCTTGCCCACGGCGACTTTTGCGACAGCATCGCTGCTAACGCGCGTTAGTCGCATTTGCAACGCACTACAGAAGTGATGCCAACGCACTACTGACAAAGTGAAAAAGTCGCCGTGGGCGAGAGCCCTTAATCTTAAGACGACAATAGCTCATCGTAGTAGTCCACGATGCTGAATGAGGATTCACTCGAGCGTCGTAGACACCTATGGGCTGCGAGGTATCCCCCCCTGTGTCTTTATCTGCCGCGCTTTAGTAAATCTAAAAATCACCGCTTGAGTCGGTGACTATTTTATATCGGTGTCAAAGTCAATGGTCGGGCTACCGATTGGAGGGTCGGTAGTTCAACAATTTCCGCCATCTGCTGGACTATTGTTGTGAATCGACTCCTAACACAAACATAATATCTAGAAAGAGTATTATTTAACGAGAATAGTACTCTTTCTAAACTCATTCAGCAAAAGATGTGCCTGTCTCATTACATGATAACACAAGTTAAATGAATTCCAAGGCTCATAAATGATACTTTCGTTTTAGTTTTGTCAATCCAATTAGTTTCCAATTATTATCTGTATTTTTAGATTTTTAGTTCCATTTAGAGTAGGCGCACACCGTTGATTTTTAGTTGGCCGATAGTTGTGCCCGATTTCAAATTGTATGAAGAATCGGCAAAATCGAATCGGCGTAGTGTGCGCATTCCCATACATGCCCATTGCCCATACTGATCAACTGCCCGACTAAACTATCCGCCGACGAAAAATCAACGGTGTGCGCCTAGTCTTAGAGTCTCCGCTAAAATTCGCGCGACTGCACGCGCGAGTTTTTGTCAATTTGACACTATTGATCAAGAGTTCTAAGATACAATTTCCTTAAAAGCACTTTATGTTAGCCTTTATGTGCTGTAAAACTTGATTTTAGTAGCTTTGAAATTAATACTAAATCTATGAGAGTAACACGTTTTAACTTACGTCAATTAACTATTGGTGTCAACAACCTTATTTCCTGGTGGTGTCAACAACCGATGCTTCCTACCACCATACCAATATAGCAATATAAAGTAAGCAAATCTTGTAGATGTGATAAATAACTATCACCGTTACCCTAAACATTATGACTGCGAGAAACATCATAAGTCACACTTATCATTTAAAACCCTACGAGATTCAAACCATAACCACGGCCATAACCGTACCCAACCGCCACTCAGCTCACATAACTTTTGTAAAACCACGAATTTAGTTTTTAATTCATTTATCTACTTACGAATGTTAAGAAAAATAAATGGTTTAAAATTATGTAATAATGGTTCGTGGGTGAACCATTATCTCATATTTTTATCAAAATAGTAGGTACCTACTGTTTGTTGACATTGCTGAAATCTCGTGTTGGTAATCCAAACATGGCTCTCAGCAAATACAGATATTACTATCGGTTGATACGGTCCCTTATCTTTCGAATAAAGTAAATTCTTCATTGTGAATATAATGAATGCCAAAAACAATCGCGCGAAAATTNGTTTCCTGCGTGGTTGGCTGCCCTTATGATGGTCCAGTTAGTCCAAAAGCTATTGCCAAGGTAAATATATTTTTAATACATCAACACCATAAATTAAGTAATTAGCTAGAATGCCCTAAAAGAGCCTGTGGGACTGTAAAATAGATCATAATGATGTTGCTAACATAAATGAAAAGTTTTACATACACATACAAATAACATAATTTTTAAAAGTTTACTTACTGTAGGGTGATCGCTATAGTAATTAGCCAATACATAGTTATTGACCAACTTGCCTAAAATAAAAAGAAACAAGCCTAATAGAAGTTATTAAGAGAGGAAAAGAGACAAATATTTTTTTGAGCAATATGCAGTCCAATGTAGTAAATATTTTTGTCTCTTACTTATTACCAATCCAATATACCAATAACTATGTATAGGCTAATTACTATAGCAATCACCCTAGTTAGTCCTTTACTGGTTAAGGTAATGGGGTAGTAAAAATATGTAATAGTATTAATTTTCTTTTTGTTTCTTACTTAATTGAGACAGGTGAGACATTCAAAAATTACCTGTAAGAAAGCTTATTTACTACAGAGGTTTAAAAATGATTATTAATGAATATTTACAACTCATTATTATTTTAATAGACTTTTAAATACATACCTAGTTACAATATTAATATTTTTATAATTAAGTAAAATAAAACAAATATGTATTACCTAATTAATTTATTAACATAAGACAAGGCAAACATCACTGATGACCCTGGCCTGCATATTTAGATTTTCATTGCACATTTTAGAAAAAAAAAACATTATGCTCTAAAGAGTTCAACTCTCTTTATTCCGAGCGGGTTCGTCACCGGACTGAATATAAACCGGCTGAACACAACGCCCTTATGATATGCTGATGAGTTTTGTTTTGTTTAGATAACCGAGGAGCTGTTATCCATGGGGTGCTATGAGGTGTCCCTGGGCGACACCATCGGCGTCGGCACCGCGGGCTCCGTGCGGCGGCTGCTGCGAGAGGTGCTGACGGTGGCGAAGCCCCAGCAGTTAGCTTTACACTTCCACGACACATATGGCCAGGGCTTGTCGAATTTGCTCGCTGGATTGGAGGTAAATACGACTTAGCATAGGCGCAGACCACCGATTTTTTGTCGGCCGAAAGTTGACTCTGGCTGTTAATCAGTATGGACATGTATGGAAGTGCGCACATTACACCGACTTGATTTTCATATAAATTAAAATCGGGCCCAACTGTCGGCCGACTAAAAGTCGGTGGTCTGCGCCTAGGCTTAGGAAGATTCCACCATTACATTTATTAATCTTAAAGCGACAAACGTCCCTCGTAGTAGGGGAGCCCACGTTGCTGAATGGGGATTTACTCGAGCGTTACGACGCTCATCATCCAACCACCATCATCACTATGGAAACCTATTATGGGTTGCAAGGTATCCTCCTGTGTCTAAATCTGCCGCGCTTTAGTAAATGAAATCACCGCTTGAGTCGGTGACTATTTTAACGGTGTCAATGGTTGGGTTACCGATTGGAGGGTCGGTAGTTCAATCCCGGCTATCCGATGGATTATTGTGGTGAATCCACTTCTAACACAAAAAACATAATATCTAGATAGAATTAATATGTAACGCGAATCTCTTTCTAAAATCATTCATCTTTGTGCCTTTCTCATTACATGATGACATAATTAAACGAATTCCAAGGCTCATAAATAATACAGTCGTTTTAGTTCTGACAATCCAATTAGTTTCCAATTGTCTGGCTGTCTAATAGTCTTATTAGATTTTTAGTTCCATTTAGAGTCTCCGCTAAAATTCGCGCGATTTTTTGTCAATTTGACACCATTGACCAAGAGTTCTAAGATACAATTACTTTAAAAGCACTTATGTTAGCCGTGAAAACCGATTTAATTTTCAGTGCCGTAAAATTTTATTTTAGTAACTTTGAAATAAATAAATAGTCATAGGTTCCTCAGCCATACCAGCCATACTAAATCTATGAGAGGGTCACGTTCTAACTTACGTCAATTAACTACTGGTGTCAACAACCCTATTTCCTGGTGGTGTCAACGACCGATACTTCCGAGCACCATACCAATTTAGCTATATAAATTAAGCAGATCTTGTAGATGCGATAAATAACTATCACCGTTACCTTAAACATTATGACTACGAGAATCATCATAATCGTCACACTTGTCATTTTAAAACCCTACAAGATTCAAACCATAACCGTACCCAACCGCCACTAAGCTCACATAACTTTTTTAAAACCACGAATTTAGTTGTTAATTCATTTATCTACTTATGAATGTTAAGAAAACTAAATGGTTTAAAATTATGTAATAATGGTTCACCCACTTATCTCATATTTTTATCAAAATACTGTTTGTTGTCATTGCTGAAATCGCGTGTTGGTAATCCAAACATGGCTCTCAGCAAATACAGATATTACTATCGGTTGATACGGTCCCTTATCTTTCGAATAAAGTAAATTCTTCATTGTGAATATAATGAATGCCAAAAACAATGCACGAAAATTGCCTGCGATACGATATATCACACGCCCATGTTGTTTTCATGACGTCATCGCTTTTTTGTACAACAAAACTTATTTTTGCAGTTCGATATTACGACTGTGGACTCGTCTATCTCCGGCTTAGGAGGATGCCCGTACGCGAGGGGAGCCAGCGGCAATCTGGCTACAGAGGACTTGGTTTATTTCCTCTACGGACTGGGCGTCAACACCCACCTGGACCTAATGAAACTCGTCGAGGCGGGCCGCTACATATCCAACTTCCTAGGCAAACCCACCGAGTCCAAAGTGAACCGAGCACTCAGCGACAAGTTCAAAAACCACAAAGACGTCGCCCGGATGGCCTCCTGCGCCGTTTGAACTTTAAACGCGTAATGAAATATGAAACATTACCGCGATAAATACGTACCTACGCAATTGATGTAAATACATGTAAATATGAAACATCTGTTGTTGTGTCTACTTAAATAAAGTTTTATACGACGCGAATGGTCCGCTTATTTGTGTTTACGAGTCGCGGGTGTGTGCGTGGTCACAGCGTCGGCCGGCATACTGGTTTTTTATCAATTATCATGCGAGCGGGTACCGCGCCTCGGCCAGCGCACTAGTGCTGCGGGCGCGCTCCCAACAGCTCGCTTTATATTGAATTGACCTTATTTACTCAATCTGATCTTGAGCGAGGTCGATAAACCCTCGTATTGCGAGTGACAGTCCCTTTATTAAGCTCGCTGCGTGTCCACGATCAGTTTCGTTTGTTTGTGTCTATGGAATACGTGCATCAGCTGTGAAGATGGTCGAAGTTACGATTAGAGGCAACATTAAAGTTGGCGGCAACAATCCCTGTTTTATAATTGCGGAAGTTGGACAAAACCACCAAGGTGACATTGAAATCGCGAAAAAGTTGATAAAAGCAGCGAAGGTGAGTACTGACTTACAATACTTTTCTTTGTTACACAGGAACGACGTTGTAGTAGGAAGCAAAACAATGAAACTGCATTTGCGAATTGCCTCACGACTCGATGTAATGAGAGAATTATGCACAGACTTGTAAATCATTGCATAGCGTCGTGGAATGCTTAAATAATAATACCGATAGGTACCTACTTATTAACATACCAAATCAATGTAGGTACCTACTTTAAACAAACATTGCTGATTAGTCTCTGTTAGTTTGGTATGTTGAAGTATTGAATGTAACACATGAATCACTTGTATCAGAGCGCAATAAAAGAGATTTGAAGGATAATCTTATCTTCAGAATATACTCAACGTCGTTAGTTTATTCTAAACTGCATAAAGAATTTTCATTGGTATCTTTCTAAAATGTGTGTAAATGTTGGATATTGTATTTCTGGTTTCAGGATGCGGGTGCTAACTGTGTCAAATTCCAAAAGACTTGCCTCAAAGATAGATTTACGAAGAAATACTTAGAGAGACCGTATGAAAACCCGAATTCATGGGGGAAAACGTACGGGGAACATAAAGACCACTTAGAATTTAATGAAAGTCAATTTAGAGAGCTGTTGAAATATGCGAATGAGGTTGGGATTCCGCTTGCGGCCTCTGCAATGGACATGGTAAGATCTTAGCTCTAACATTACAGGTTACCCCAATGATCAGTCACTTGTGTGATGATTATCATTATAATATCTACTCTTCTAGATATACCTACTTAACAAACTATAAATTTATTAAAGATTATCTAACATGTTACTAAACCAATTCATAAAACATTATTACTTTCTATTAAAAACGCGAAAGTTAGTATGGATGGATGTTTTTGTTACTTTTTATGCAAGAACTTTTTTTTACCCTTATGCAAGAACTACGTAATAATTTAAGAAAATACATATAAAAGTAAAATACTAAATACATCAAAATATACTCATTCCAAACCAGTCCACTCTCGCCTTCTACTTGGCGAATTATGACTAAATGACTTTTTGGGTTAAAAGTGTAATGAAGGTAGAAATTAACTTCTGTCAATTCTTAAAATTCCAAGTTACTTATAAATAAATTAGTTAAGCTTGAAAAACTTACATCCAGCTAACCGTTAATTTATGACGATATTAATTATTTATTTCAGGTGTCATTCGATTTCCTGGTCAACAACAAAGCGCCATTTATAAAAATAAGTTCTGGGGACTCCAACAACCCCTTATTCCTGAAGTACGCAGCATCAAAGAACGTTCCTCTCATCGTATCAACGGGGATGGTGGACAAAAAGGCCGTAAAAGCCATTTACGACATCATATCGCCTTACCACAAGCAGTTCTGTTTGCTGCACTGTATCTCAGCGTACCCTGTTCCTTACGAGGACTGCAACTTGGCGGTTTTGCAAGACTACGAGAAGACGTTTGATGTGCCCATTGGATATTCGGGTCACGAAGTCGGGACGGCAGTTGCATTGGCTGCTGTTGCTTTGGGGGCTAAGGTATGGCTTGTTTTTTTACATATTAAGAAATGGGTACCTAATCGTAGGTAGGTGTTTATGCGGTGCCGATTATGACTGTTAGGTATTGATTAAGGACTACATCAAAATTCATTTAAGATTAGTAAAATACCTCCATCTGTTGAACCATACTTTATATGCCACTATGCGCGTGCGCCTATAATGTAAGTTTAAAGAAATCAAAGTTAAGAATGTATTATTAATTTTATACAATTTTTCTGTCTGATCCGGTTATCTTCAAACACTTAAGTGTTTTATGGCCTTTTGTCTTGATAATAAATTTATATTTATCTTGGTGTCATGGCCATACCATTGCTAAGTGTCCAATCAATTTATCAGTCAATAATTTGTATTGTTATATCTTCAACTAACTGTCTCTACAGTCACATAATGGATCACTATCAATGAGGATAATAAATATTATTCCGAGAAACAGTAAAAGATAATAAATAATGTATTTACACTTGACTTTGACCACTGTACCTACTGAGCGCATCGTTATGAACTGCCACGGAATTACTTTTGCGCATCGTCTTTGCATCTTTGTGTATTTCGTACAAGTACTATATTAATTTATCCTTATTATTTCAGGTTCTAGAGAAGCACATAACGCTTGATAGGAGCCTCAAAGGCACCGACCACGTGTGCTCACTGACCCCGTCCGAATTCCAGCAGCTAGTACGAGATGTGAGGATCATAGAGACCGCGCTAGGAACGCCCGTCAAGAAAGTCGTCACGTCAGGTTTGTAGTAAACAATGAAACTTATTTTCAAAGCATGAGAATATCAATTCGTGTGCGGAAGAACACAAATAGTTTTCGATATCCTATAGGTACGATTTGTGCAATTCGTATGCAAATTGAAATTCTAATGCTCTTTACAAAATGTCGTTTAGGCTACTTCATAAGTGTTGAAATCATGGTTATTGCAACGTACAACAATATTTCAAGTACTTTAAGACCATACAGAAGGCACAGACATTCCTAGAAAAGTTCTGAAGCCGTTATCTTTTCATAAATATTTTCAGAATTGAAGTGTTTTTACAATTCTTCTTCCTCGTTCCCTCACTGATGAGGATCGCGACCACAGATAGTGTTCCTCCACAGACTGCGGTCATAAGCTGTGTGTGTTTTTACAATATCGACATTGAAAATTAACTTCATAACTTTTTCTACTCCTGTTTACAGAAATCCCTTGCATCGACAAGCTACAGAAGTCGCTAGTGATGGGCAGCACTAAAAACAAGGGTGAGATCCTCTACCCTGGAGACGTCAAAATTAAGGTCGCAGAGCCGAAAGGTCTCAACGCACTGCACTTCGAAGAAGTCATCTACAAAACCCTCATCTACGATAAGAAAGAAGATGAACCTCTTAATGAGGGCGACTTCTGCTAAAACCTCCTTTAATTTAGGTGAGGTACAGTCAATGGCGCATCAGACTAAATATGGTAGTTGCCAAATAGCTTTTATTACAACTTTTTAGAATGCCATAGTGTATTGTTTGATGCGCTATTGTCTGTACAATCAGGAAAAACTTCACACCATAATGCCATGAAGATCACTAAGACTTTTTTATAAAGACTATCACTAAGATTGTTTTGCGGCCATTACACAATGAATTAATAAGAAGAATCTGCGAATAATGAGTAAATTGGCTCCAACACAAGAAGTCGAACTAAAATGTATGTATTTTATATGTATCGTAAATGTTACAGAATATGAAATATTGTCACAAACAGCTCAGTATAATAAAATAGATTTCTGATACAAGTTTGTATGTAATATTGAGTGCTAGCCAAAATAAACAACTGTATCAGTAAATTGTGTGAACATAAACAGATACCTAATAATGTCACTTTACAATAACATTTATTTTAAAGTAGGTACTTTCTTATGTAGACACGAACACGAGCAGTTATACAGGGTGGTTTTTTGGAGTGTGATGTAGATTTTATTTACAAAAGGTCGATTCTTAGTCATACTTAGGTCTTGAGACTTGAGATTTAATAAACCTTAACATCGTTTCACATACTGAGCTACGCATAAATATTAGTTACCTACTACTCCTCTTGTCATTTTAAAGGTATGATCTGGGCCATCATACCTACATCCAGATTATCTGCCCTTTTTAATAATTTTCTTTATAAGATTTTTACTCGTATTACATAATTAATGCATAATAACATTTTGTTGAGCTCAATGACGATAGGTATTAAGAATTATTGTATAAATAAGGTATATTGTTCAAATGGTTGTTTGTAAGAAAATACTCCGTTACTTAAGATGTTTTAAAATGTACAATACACACAAATGTATCAAGCATAATATTGTTGTACTTATTTCAATCCCTTTCACGATCTGAGGTGGAATTGTGTAAAGCAATCGTAATCATTCGACAGTTCATAACGTACGATAAAGTCAGTTAAACAAAGTGTTTGACAGAATAATCGTACGTTATGAACTGTCAAATGATTACGATTGCTTTACACAATTCCACCTCTGAATCCACTGTGAATTTTAAAATTCACAGAGCAGAACCTAAGAATGTCCAGAGATCGTCCCAGCAACGTTAATATCGTCGCAGATATTCATATTTACAGAAGAATTTGCCACGTTACGCACTTCGACGTCAACGCCCATTCATAAAGATGTGATGACGCGTGCCGAATTATTTGTAGAGGTATTTCTCATCCGTCGAGCGTCACAGGAGAGCTGCGCAGCGGCATATTGTCCAACGTCGGGGCGGCAGGCTGCGCGGCCGACGCCGAGCCACCCCGACGTGGCTTATTAGACTAGGTTTTATTTTTATTGTGGATCAGGATTGTGTGCGTGGTCGCGGGCGGTGGTGTAATAGAGCACTCGTGCCAGCGGGCAGTGTTGGCGGGCTGCCCGCGTCAGTCCCCGGAGCGCCGGCCCGCAGCCGCCCGCCTGCCGCCGCCCAGAGCCGCCCGCCCGCGCTCTGTCGAGTGAGGAGCACCCGTCGCCGCCTGCGCCGGTACCCGCTTTCGCCGAGAACTAGTGTTCGCGTTTACGCGGCTAGAAAGTCCGACAACACTCCGTAACTCGGTCTGAGCTTCCGATTTAGGTCGCCCGGTTCGGTGCTAGCAGCGGGATATTTTTATTGCCACCGTTGGGTGCAGACGTCCGACGCCACGGGCGCGCCGCCGGTTAAATAAATTATTATTTATAGAGTAGAATCGTAAAGCTCATTCCATAAACGTTAACATTTGTGCATTCGATCCTAGTTTTCTCGTCGGGCGGAATGCGGTGCCAAGACGCGCGTGCACGGTAGGAGTAGGAGTGAAGGCCGTGGAATGCGTTGAGTGAAGGAGTCGGAGTCGGTGGCATTTAGGTGTAATCGTTGACATTTGTGAAGTGCATTTCGTTGTGTTAGTGTGTGAGCCCGTGAAGGATGCACCACCTGTACCCGCTGGCGAAGGGCGACCCGCTGTGCCCGCTGGGCTTCCACCCGCAGGTGCGCTGGCCGACGCGCTGCAAGCGCTGCTTCCGCGACTACAAGGAGCACGGCGGCGGCCGCAAGAAGGAGGACGACTTCACCGCCTCCACACCCAGCCTCTCTTCTTGGAACTCACCGGCGTCACGGTTAGTCACTCTGACTTGATTCTCTCTCTCTCACTTGACTCTGACAAGCCGTAGCGTGCAGGGTTAATATTTAAAACAGTTATCAAATTATGGCTTTTTCAAACCAGTTTTACGAAAGTGCCCTAATTGTTTTGCGTTGCGCCTGTACGAGCATATAAGCTAAAACTCATTCCAATCATTAGATTTGCGTTTCCTTTCCTGTGTAACATTTACTAGGTTCTTACTTGATCGGGACTATTATAACTTGAGTAAACAGACCAAAATTTACAAAAAGAAAGTAGGAGTTGGAAGCTTAAGACCGACCAGGACTTAAGATTTTGGAGGACAAAACTGATGGAATAACTAAATAACACCAACCGATTACCGGAACTTTGCTAACATCAGATATTCTTCATTGCCTAACGGGACACCTACCTACGTATCCTCGATAACCTGTTAAGCTCCTTTCACTTGATGCAAAACACAAAATTGTTCAAAATTTCTGCATAAAATTGACACAAAATAGATCAAAGGAATAGTCAGTCCTTTCTAGTTTGAAACAAGGGAAAAGTATAATTTTATGATGATACAAATATAGCCTGATATCTAAACGTTCAAATTCAAATTGTTTACAATAAAGCAACAATAATTGATTTTGAGAACCTATTAGTAAATATCAATGTATGCGTCTAGTAGGCATCAACAATAACAATCAACATCATTTGACGACATTCTTCGAAGATTTGGCCGAGTTCCTAATCCTAAGGATGATACGGTTTCGATTTGTTCAATTAACCTATATCTACCTTCGTTATGATAAGATGACTTTATTATTCTGGAATTAGTGAAACAATAATTGAATTTCAAAAATAAATTGAATTCCTCTGATGAACCGTATTAATTTTGGCCTGATTTCCATGGATGAAGCTGGGTCTTTATTGAACCAAATAAGTTGTTAGAATATGTTAAACTTGTAGAGACACATTGCATTGATAGGTCCATGGACACATTGTAGGTATATTTATTTGGTTTCCGTTTTTGTTGCTGATACATTCATTACTTATGTGGTTTCTATAGCATTGTTAGAAATCCTTTTATACCAAATATGTAATACGTCATATCAATTCCAGACTACGAATGTCCATAGCTCGGTAGTAAAGAGCAGTCATGGCAGGCGAAAGGTCGTGGATTCTATAACTAACTCAAACGAGTCTGAGTGAAAAGTCAAGTCCATAATATTCAATCATTTCCAAAACTCACACAAAAGTGTAAAACAGGAATCTGTAAAGAATCGTGGCACAATTCCAAAAATCCCAAGCGATTTAGCGAATTGTTTGTACTTCGTGATGCAGCACTGATGGATTGACGCAACCGCCTTCGTTACAGCGATACACGCCCGGCCATGTTGCCGGCACTGATTCAGTAGGTATAGCTTCAAACAACTGGCCTGCAGAGAGATTAAGAGCGAGTCTCTGATACAGAAATACAATGGAATTCAGGAATGCGCTATGTTACAATGTCAACAAAACTCACGCAACAGATTTGCTGCTGTAAATCTTGTAGGTGAAAAAACAAACATTTAGGACGGGATGATTATTGAATTAATTAAGATGATTTGACAGTGATTGGATAACATTTGAAAAATACTTCGCTACTTCGGCATCGTAATCAGCATTGCTAACTCAGCTTATCAGCTACCTTTTTAATAATTGCTACGGGTGAGCTATAATTTTGTCAGTTTTTTTTTTGCTCTCACATTGTATTAAAACTGGGAATGTTGGTGTCTCCTCCAGTTTCCTCCAAAATTATCAAACTTGGCCTTGACTGATTGTATTTTTATTGGCGGCCTGTCAAGATATCTAGAGGCTACACCAAATACACAGTAGTTACAGGGGGGTGGAAACTAGAGTTCCCATTCGGGTTGGTGTGTTGAAACTGAAAACAGGCATTAACCACTTGACTATCGTACAACCATTCCTGGTCCCTGAGGTTCAAGTGCTTAGGTACTTTGTGTTCGATTCTATGCACTATGAATAGCCGAACTTGATCACTTTGGATACGATGACAGTTATATGATTGTTACAGAAGTCGTGATGAAGATAATGGTGCAGAAGTGGAGAAGACAGGCCGCGGTTGGGCGTCCAGCACCAACCTCAGTTCCATCGACCCTTCCAAGAAAGACGCCTTCTCCACAGGTACTGCTGCACCACATCATGAGTCATTCATCATCATCACCATTTCAGTCACACCATCCACTCTAAACATAAGTAGGTGTCCAAATGATTTCCAGGTCATTCGAATAATAGTAGTCTGCATTAAGTGCCTTTCTTTATAAGATGATCTGTCCGCCTAAAAGACGGACGTCCATAAACTATTCATCATCATCATCATCAGTCATCATTAGCACACATTTTAAACATTCTGACTGAAGAAAAGGGACCTCAATTAAACCTTGAACCTCTTGCCAAATCATCACGCCCTTGTGTTAAAAAGCGGTCATGTGTTTCTTACTTGCATTTGTGGAACATGCAATTTATAAACGTGGGCGCAAACGATACGATCAGTTGATTCCAAATGGGCATAAAAATATAATCATTGGTGAATTCAAATCTATAAAATCGACCAAGTTCTATTTCTATAATTATGAATTTTCGTTAACTAACTTTTCACAAACCTACTCATCATGAGTGACTCATGAAAACATTGTTCATGTGAAAACTTTTCCAATTTGTGATTTCTTCCGAGTTTTCTTAGTTGTATTGTAATCATGTACAATTAAACTGACATTAAGACTTTCCAAATGGTTATCTATCCCTGCTTTTTAATTTTCTCATATTTTTCCTTCGTAAGTAAAAAATAGGCCACGAATCGAAAGGATAGGGACAACGACACGACGGAAACATCGTGAGGTTTTTTTAGGTAGGCTACTACTCGTCTGGTAGAATGAGCCTTACATTACCCTCTGTTCCTTGCCCTTGGAGTATTGGGTATGACTATGCAATTCAAAGCATAGACGAAAAAAAGATCTGCCTGGAAGACAATTGCTTATAAAACTCCGAACTGCAGTATGCCCTCAAACCATAATCTTCCAGCAGGGTTCAGCAGAACCAGTGCCTCGTGGACGTCGACGCCGGACTTGGGGGCCAACGACGCCGACGCCACGCACGCCGTCACCGTCAGCCTCAAGCTGCCCAAGCGCAGGCTCACCGGCCCGCTGCCGACCTTGGACACGGGGCAGAAAGATACCACCACCACCACCACTACTACAGGTAGAAAACCTCGAACGGGTCTGATGCAGAATGCAACTTCGCAAAATGCACACTTTTCTCATACTAATATTATCAATCTTTTCAGCTTTTGTATAGAAAAGTGCGCATTTTGCGAAGTGCACATTCTCTGCATCAAAGAGCCCCTCGAACTCCCTCCTATGTTCTTCTGATTAATTTCGTTGCGGGTCCAATGACAGTTATAATAACTTTCCCTCGGGACAAACTTGACCTTCACTGGTTGGGTTTTTATTGTTGGTCAAGCTGCAGATTCTCGTTCTCACTTCTGCTGCAACTCCTGCTACACAGGGGTTGGTGGGAACGGGAGGTGGAAATAGGCCCGTACTATAGGTTTGATGAGATGTTTTTCCTAGCCACATAAAATTCAGTTCAAGATCAAGCATATTTTATTTTGAGCATGGGCTATTTTATTTAAATTGATTGAAACATAGTCTGGTATCTATGTTTCATCATCATCATTCTCAGCCATAGGACGTCCACAGTCACTGCCGATCATAGGCCTCGGGGTCTCCTCCCTATCTAAGTACCTACCATTGAATTGAGTTGCATCGTTTTGAAATACACGACCTCTGCTAAGAACAAATGAGACATTTCACTGCTTTTTCCTACGTAATAGTAACATTGAATCCCCTTATGAAGAACTAGCTGACTTATTTCACGTGAAATTTCACGTTGGGGTTTAAAATACTTTGTTCTTAAGAGTTTTCTCATTATGTTACAGTAGTCCCTTGTTCCTATCGTCAAGCGTACCTAATGGGAATGTCTACTGCATTGAAAGCCCCGACATCCCATACCACCCATGTGCCAAGTCCATAAATCTTGTCTTTTCAACGAAACCGACGTCTATAATGGACGTTCGTGTAATTCATAGTCGCTGTTAGTAACAGTTGATTCACTTCAGGGAGTAGTAAACTTCATAATAAACATTAATAACGTCAATTTTTTTGATTTGCTAAAAATAAGCTTATTATTTGAGCGATAAAGTTGTATTTATAATGTGCAGACACTGTGACGCTGAGGCGGCCGTCGCCTTCGCCGCCACCGGTGTCGGCGCAGATCACCATCTCGAAGAACGACTCGCTGGCGGAGCGCGTGCGCAAGGTAAACAATCCGGGCGCACGTAAACACGCCCTATTTATTTTACGCACGGAACAGAACGGCATAACATCGATTAATTGTGTTGCGCAACACCAAAACAAATTCTGAAAGCATCTTTACTTTATAGGAACACTGACTTGTTTGTTTTCTATCCTGCATTTTTAGAAGTTGCGCGTAGAAGCAAAGTAGGTAGTCACTGGTTTTAAAATACGTGCTTATAGTAGGAACAGATACTAAGGTACTTTATGTACTTAAGTCACTTTATTATTATTATTGGTTTTTGGGCCTTTATTTGCGCCATCTCGACCAGATTTGATCTATTGTGGCAGCCCTTGTGTTTAGAGTTCACTGCTTAGTCCCGTTGAATCTATAAATTTCCAGATTCTTTGGAGCGTGATGTCTGCTATCTCATCCGGATGCATGATGTGTCGCCCGAGATGGATACTTCTTTTGCTCATAAGCGGGCCGCATGAGCAGAGAACATGCATGGCCGTTTCTTCTTCTGTATGGCAGAATCTGCACAGAGTTTCTTCGGTCATGTTCATGTTTGATTTGTGTTTGTTTAGTAAGTCACGTTAGGTATACTCGTACCTACTCACTTTCACATCAGGTTACACATCAGAGTAAAAGATTACCTAATAACAAATATTTAATTTCTTTTATATGTCCCGATACATAAAATCATTATATTATATCTAAAGTACCAACGTATGATAGCCTAATAATAGCATACACAATAGAACTACGCATTAATTACATGCCCACACGCGGCACTATTAATACGTTTACAAGGAAAGGTTTAACGCAACAGGATAGAAATATTTACACTTCTCACCTTGAATGTTTAGAAAAACATCAAGAAATAATTTAAGTGGGTCACGCCGATAGAACTGTCCGCGGATTGCTCTCGCGTTTGTGGTGCGTGGCCCGAAATAAACATAAAAGGTCGCCATCAACTTAGCTGGCAGTGCGCGAGACGTTATAATTAATTGAGGAAATGACCTGCTACTATTCCGCTTTACTTGCAGTTACGCAGACGTAATATATTACGCTAATCATACTTATGATCATTTATGAAGACAACTGCATAAACTGAAAGTTGTTTGGCCACTTAGGTGCAATGTTTTGACAAATATTTTGTAATCAATCGTACGCTTTGCGAAACGTGTTTCGCTACAGGCCAATTTGGGATTTCCTTCACAGAAATCATTTAGGGCGGTTGCTGATTTGTGCTATAAATGGCTGTGTGTAACTGAAAGCACATGGCCAGGATATTGTTACGCTTACATGGTTATATTTAGACCATACTTACGTATACATTCATTGTAGGTAATTTATTTAATGTTGCTGGAAATAAAGACTGGAAAACCATACATAGAATTGTCGGAAAAAACGTCTAACTTATCTAGATCAAGTTGTTATTAGCATTAGTAATCCACATACATTATTTAACTGTATGCTAATCTATTACCCTTCTTCATTGTGAAATTAAGCAAATCTTGTTGATTAATCGTAATAATTTAAACGTTTCAGATGAACCTAATAAAAAGTCAAAACAGTTTTGAAAAAGAATCCAGTATAGAGAAAGAAAGAGAAAAGCGAAGTGTATCTAGAAGTAGAGAAGAAAAGAGCAGAGAAGAAGAAAAACCGCCGAGACCAAAAGAAGACAGACCATCCAAGGATGACGTTAACTTTATGATGCAGGTAAGGCGATTATTTTATTAAAATTATTCATGTATGAATGTGTGAAAGTGTCAATCTCGCTATGAGTGAGAAACTTGGATAGAATACATAAAGACATATTAAACCGAAAATATGTCCTTTTCTTTGGTTAACTCATCTACACAAATCAGCAAAGTCAGTACCTTTGCAAAGTAAAAATATGTCGATGAACATTTTTTGATCGCAAGATCGGGTTGAGACCATGCTGAGGCAAGCCTTGTGTAAATTATAATATTTTCCAGATATGTAGGTAAAGTGATGTGTTGCGGAACCTCACTAGCAAAAGCTAGTTGTTGTTAGAATCCGAACATAGGGTAAAGTGGTGCCTATTGGGATCCCTCAAAAGGCAACATTTTACCACCACCTATGCATAGTAGTAGTCTCATATAAGTTAATGACATGAGATGTTCAATAAATTGTATATGAAGTACATTTAAATGCCTAAATTTAAAATTTCTGTTCCAGGTGAAAAGTTCGAGAGGGACGTCAACAAATTCCAAGCCACCGATGAGGGGCGGCCCCTCTCGGGACAAGGAGGAATCAGACGACGACACGAGTACCGCCGGCACAGTTACTACGGAGACTACGCTGGTGGACGCTAATATAAAGGATTACCAGGTAAATACATCTTGCTACTGCAACGAGAGCTAAAGATAAACCACCCAAGAATTAAAAAAAAATCTTCATAAAAATTATCTGGCGCGTTCGAAACCATAAGTTCGTTGGAAGTATCGAGAAAACACTTTGTCATACATTGCTGCTAGTAACGATCGATATACAATCAGCTAGGTACGAGTAGTTATAGTTCTTGCAACTCACGAAGGCGAGTGAGCTTTACTTGTGTGTGTACATGCACAAAACGACAGTGTAATGTCTATCAAAACTTTTGAAAAAACGAACAGTAGCGAGCCACCACACATGTAAAGCTCACTCGCCTTCGTGAATTGCAACAACTAAAACATTTCATATAGCTATAATTTATTATCGCGAATTCGCTAGTTTTACTACTGTAAAGAATGAACCACAATCTCAATAAATGTTTACTGTTTCATGTCAGTAACGGAGCCTGACGTTTTCTACATTGTTACCTAAGAATCTAAGATTGTTGTAGAACGTCAGGATCTAAGGCTTAGATCGACAGATACTACAATGGTTCAATTTATCGATGCCCGACGTTCTGATTTGCAATTATGAACACATTTTGGTAGAACCCAAAATACAACATTCTAACATAGAAAAACTGTTTTATTTCCAGGAGCAAGTCGAAAGTCTGAAGCAAGAGGTAGACACACTTAGAAAGCGTTGCGAGCGGGTCGAAAAGGAAAAGAGTGACATACTGCTAAGACGGCTGGCGAACATCGACACTGCCAATAAGTACACCTCAGGCCGCTCGTCGGAGGTCCTCAAACTGCAGCAGAAGGTCAACGAACTGACCTCCCAGAACGAAGACCTTAGGGATGAGAAGAAACACCTTTCGTTGAGGGTGAAAGAGATCGAGTGTGAATTGGAGGTGAGTATTATACTTACCCCTGGGCTACACACATCGCGATAACATTCGGGCCACAGTGGAGCGAAGTCTTGCGACTATACAAGAAAATACCTAAGTATACGCGAATACATGGCCGCACACCTCGCGTTAGTGCGAATCTTCAGGTTATCTCGTAGTGTGTGGCCCAGGGGTTACAATGATAGGTAGATAGATAGTATTCATATTATGAGAATCCGATAACTTTATGAAAACGAAATATCGTACCCAGATACATAAATAAATAAATATCCTTGGACATTTTACACTGCGCTTCTAGTCCCAAACTAGTTCAAAACATAAGAAAGATATAATAATGAAGTAATTCAGCATGTAATATCACACAAGGCAACATTATATCTGTGTACTAATCTCTTTCACTCTCTTAAATAAAATATTTCCATAGCAAATGATAACTTTAGATGCACTAATAATAATAACAATTAATGGTCGTATATTTTCTTAGTAACCACAGGTGGAATTGTGTAAAGCAATCGTTATCATTTGACAGTTCATAACGTACGATTATTCTGTCAAACGCTTTGTTTAACTGACTTTATCGTACGTTATGAACTGTCAAATGATTACGATTGCATACACAATTCCACCTCTTGTTTTGATGTAGTCTTAGTAGCATAATTGACTACCATTTTTCATAACAAACCACTTGCATTAACTGTATTTTTGTTTGTTTACATTTCAGGCACGACCGTCAGTAGAATCGCAAACGCGACAGATTGAGCAGTTACGAGCGAAGTTACTGGCAGCCGAGACTCTTTGCGAGGAGCTGATGGACGAGAATGAGGACATGAAGAAAGAACTTCGGGACCTCGAGGAAGAAATTGAGGAGATGCAGGACAATTTCAGGTCATTTTTGTAACTAATTCTCAGCAAAAAAAATCTCATACTTAAACTTAAAAGTCATATGTAAGTGCAAGTAGACTTTAATAAAGCATTTTGAACCTTAAAACCTTTATGTTTTAGAGAGGATCAAGCAGACGAATACTCGTCACTTCGAAGAGAGTTGGAACAAACAATCAAGAACTGTCGAGTTTTATCGTTTAAGTTAAAAAAGACTGAAAGGAAAGCGGACCAGCTCGAGCAGGAGAAAGCGGACCAAGAAAAGAAACTTCTAGAGGTAAATACATAGGCTTTACAAATGTTTCTTTTTATTTCTGGTTTTAAACCCATATCAACATTCATGCATACTTGTAAAGAACATGAAAGATGCGTAGAAATTAAATACAAGCCTCATACGCCTCGGACTGAGGTGCGCTTTCTCTCCGACAAACACCATAACTAAATGTATCTAATGTTTTATGTTATACACCAATTTTAATGACAAATAGTACTTACCTATAGATTACTCCAGGGACCAGCGTGTTAAATAAGAAAATGCTAGATTGTGGCTTAATTATAGATAATTTATGCTTGCATTAAAGATTATGACAAAAGTTTAAAAATCTCTGACTTAATTTAATGTGTCTTGCAGATAGTCGGCGGCAAAGATGGTCTTCAGCGAGAGAACCGCATCAAGGAGTTGGAACAAGAGTTGTCGCGCTCCAACGAGGTGGCGCTGCGGTTGCAGAGAGAACTAGCTGACGCCGTAGCCAAGTTGGGGGCGCCACCTGCCAACTTGAAGAAACAAGCGCCGCCTGCCGATGGGGTACGTAACTAACTGTTCCATTTTCCATGGTAATCATCCTGAGCGTATAGAGTTCATTGCTTAACAAATGCCTCCCCTAATACGAGACAGTTTATCCCGTCTTCGGCTTGTTGCATTGAGTTTTTTCTCCACTTTACCTATAGTCTGGTCAGCGAGAACGTAGAATTTTGTCCAATGACCCCAAGCTACCCATCCTTGTCGCTCGCGCGTAGTAATGTTGCTGTCGCGCTCGCACACTCACTGCGGGCGCCCGTCACACAGTCGCGACAGCAACATAATTACGCGCGAGCGATAAGGATGGGTAGCTTGGGGTCATTGGACAAAATTCTACGTGCTAATTGCATTCACCAATTGGCGCCACTGGCAACTTCTTCTTCTCACCTTACCCAACAGTGGCGCCAACCTGGTGGTTGAGAATGCGATAATCCTCCTAACGTTTCAACGCCCCCTTGTCTCAGCCACGAGCATGTAAAAGGACTGTGGCACCAACTGATGAGTGCAATAAAATAAAAGAAACGCTCATTGAATTGTTATTGTTAGTACCCACTCTTTAACAAATGTTAAAAAAAACGTAAAACATGTTCTGTTTGTTGATATGGTAAAACCTGTATGTATAACTCCTAAATTCAAGTCGAGGGAGAAAGTACCCCTTCTAATAAATACACATCAGAGGAGTGCAGCTGTGCACAGCCACTTGAACAAGCTTTGCTTACTTTAGAACTAGATGGCGCTGTAGGTATAATATGATATTAATCTTGTTGTGTTTTACCAAAGTAAATACAAATGAGTAGGTCATCTTCATAGAAACGCACCGAGCGCGGTTTGTATGTGAGCGCTCCAATATACGTATGCGGCGCGCACGCACACACTGACAAAATTCGGCGCAACACCCCGCTAATACACGCTAAATTTTGTCAGTGTGTGCGTGCGCGCCGCATACGCATTGGCGCGCTCACATACAAGCCGCGCTCGGTGCGTTTCTATGAAGATGGCCTACTCATTTGTATTTACTCTGACACTACAGGCTTGGCTTAGTTTAGGGCTAGATGGCGCTGTGTCCGAAGTCCAATGATATTAATCTGATAGTTATGTTGCACAGCAAAAGGTGTCCCGGTCGTCTCTAACGCGCGGTGGCAGCCAGGAGGACCCGGCGCAGTTGCTGCGGGACCTGCAGGACTCGCTGGAGCGCGAGGCCGACCTGCGCGAGCAACTGCGAAACGCCGAGGAGGAGGTAAAACAACTTCAACCTTGTTACAAGCGGATAGAGTTCAAAATCTATGTTTTACTTTACTCCTCATTCAAGTTGAACTTTGTTATTAAAGCCCGGTCTCTGAGCAGCTGCTCGCGCAGCATCTCTANTTTTTTTTAAATGCCTATTATTTTGAAAATATGCCACATAGATTTTTTTTTATATTTTTCTGATAACCAGCACAACTTGCTCCAACACCCAGTTCCGGCTTGACGTTACAATACGGGACACCCTGTATATGTGGGGGGGGGGGGTGACCGCCCGGGGTGCCAAGCCATGCTACGCCGCCACTGGCGTCAACATTTTTTCATATTTTTGGATCTTAAAAAATCCATCAGACTCCGCCCTAACGCTATTTTAGGGGTGAGCCTTAGCAGTGCTGCAGTGGGAGGCCTGACACACTACGTTTTCCGGCCTGTGATTGCTAGTCGCTACTCGAGAACTTTTATACCCCAATGGCCATCAGATCTACGAGCTACGTGTCCCGGCTACTGCCATTAAAGTTTGACAATTCCTAACAAAGCATTACCATAATAAAAACTCGTGAAAGTACTCGGGAAACTCTTTTTAAAAAGCTAATTACAAAACAAAATACTGTTAATCAACGGCTTCGTTTGCTCCCAGTCATCGAAGTCCCGCTCCCGATCCGCGACTCCCGAAAGCGCAGAGACCAGCGGTGCGGACGCGGCCGCCACCGCCGCGCGCCTGCGCCGCCTCACCGACGAGCTGCGCGCCTCGCGTATCGCGGAGCGCGCGCGCAGACATAACGCTACTGCTCGACGGTAAGAGATATCGCATCGCCGAGTCATCTTTTCAGCTTNGTCGCCGAGCACGTAGAATTGTGTCCAATGACCCCAAGCTACCCCATCCTTATCGCTCGCGCGTAATATTGCTGTCGCGACTATGCGACGGGCGCCCGCAGTGAGTGTGCGAGCGCAACAGCAACATAATTATGCGCGAGCGATAATGATGGGGTAGCTTGGGGTCATTGGACACAATTCTACGTGCTCGGCGACCAGACTATAGTGCTATCGTGCTATGGCTAATATTAATTTATGTAGAGATGCTGCGTGAGCAGCTGCGCAACGCAGAGGAGGAGATAAATAACACTTCTACTTTATTACAAGCGGATAGGCTTCAAAATCCATTTTAATGTAAACGCCTTCACACTTCACTCCTCCCTATAGTTGAACTTTGTTACAAGCGGATAGGATTTAAAAGCTTTAAAGGTCAATATTACTGCTGAGCTGAGCAGTTTTGCTAGGCCGAGGAGTAGGTAAATACACTTCACTACTCACTAAAGTTGAACTTTGTAGATATGTAGAGATGAGACGCGAGCAGCTATGCAACGCGAGGAAGCCCGTTATTGTATGTAACTCACGCCCGTTTGAGTCCTTTACTTTACAAGCACATCGTAGATGCATTGACAATTAAACTTTGCCATCGACTGTGAAAATGCGCATGACTTTGTGGATAAAAAATATGCATACATGCAGAGTTAATTCAGGATTCATTCATTAGTATTTGCATATTATTTTCGTAAAAAAAATATATTTCTCCAAAGCATAAATAAAAGAATAAAAATAATTTCCAATCATTGGCAAATACAATAATTAAATAAAACAAACAAATATATTTTTCGTTGCATGCGTTTATTTTCGATTTCTTTATCCTTATTCTAAAATAGCTCTAGTAAGCATGGTTGGCATCTTGTCAGAAAGTTCAACTGAATCTGACCCTGCACCTTACACGACGAGCGCCTATGACGTAAATAAATATGAAGGCAGACTTTTAAGTGGACGCAATTTACAACGCTACAAATAGAAGTAGTAAATCAGCACTGGTTAATAGCTTCACGACTATTACAATTATTTCTCCAATTACTTAGTTTTACTAGAGAACAATTGCATTTAATAGGGCATTAGCTCTCGGCGGCCGCCAGATGGCACTCTGCCAGCGCCCGCTGACTCATCGCGCGACACAAATATACAACCCATAAATAATGAATGATACCCAACAAGATATTATTATATTTAAAGAACACTTTATTTGCCGTCCCGCCAACCCACTGCCGAATGCAACAAGTTTATACAATATTATTTTCGAACAGGCGAACCGATATCGGCAACGCTTCGGAGGCCGCAGAATTCCTCCGCCGCCGAAACTTCCTTCACCTTTCCATCCTGACCTCATACCACCTCAGTCCGCTAACGAAAGTTACGACAAAGATAAAGAACTCGAAGAAAGTACTACTCGAAGAATTATGGAGATGCAATTAGCATTAGAAAAAGGGTTATCGTCTCTAGAAGTCAATCATATATCAATCGGAGTCAATCAAATAGCTCAGTCGCCTCAAGATCTAATACTCCGTTATGCCCAAGGTTGTCAGACTGACCTTATAATGGTCCACGACGTTGCTACAGAGACTAAAAAGATTACATTAGATTCCTCAATACAGAGCGATAATAACTCCCTAGAAATGTATACTCAGACGGAAATAGCTTTCATGAAGAACAAAAACGTGCAGACTGGTTTCATGAGAACCAACGGTTTCACGCAAACAGAGAAACCTAAACAGAGAAGTGCTAGTGTTCAAACACCTAATAAACTTTACAGCGACAAATGCCAACAAATTTTAAGATCTAGTATTGAATATATTGAAAGCAGCACACAAACAGATGTAAAATCGGATATGTATAATCAAGGAACTTGTATGGAAATCGAATTAAATGGAGAAAATGGGCAGTTTGTTGATAACCTTAGTTTAGAATCGGTAGTACGAAAAGAAAAGTCTGAGAGTCCACCACTCAGCCGCGACAGAGAAGTAGCGGGTCCCTCATCCCCGCTCATGTTCCCTTTCGTATCATTGTTCAACCCACTGGCAGTAAGATTGCCGAACATAGGTACATAATATCAATTTTCACAAATATTTTACATGTTTATCCCATAAAAAATAACGTGTCCGTAACAAAATCTTAAATAATACTGTAATTAGTTTAAAGTGTCCAATAATAATAACTAACGAATATTTTCAGGCAAATAATTTACGTAAAACTGCGTCACGGGTCGAAGATGACAATGAATCGTTGCTTCTACAGCTGAAGAAAATGGCTACCAAAGCCAGAAGTACGTCAACATAAATGTTTTTAAAATTCTTTTTAGTTATTTTATTCAAACCATGATGCATATCCGTATGTAAACATTATTAATTAAGATCATAACATTCCACATCCTTTAACATCCTACTATCTTTGCTGATGTTTTATTACCTGCCACCTTTCAAAATTACTAACCCGCTTTTTAAGTTCAGTCGCAGGAGGCGTATCAATGGTAGCCATTTTCTCCGGTTATGTTAAAATATATGTTGTACATAAACAAAAGAAATGTATTTTTACCATCACGATGCTTGATTGGGCTAAATTAAAACCCGCGATGATATGCGGCATATAATCCTACTAATATTTCCTAAATGATATAACCACTAATTACATCGTATTCTAATTTTACCCGAACGATTGTTTTGTGATTGGATTTGTTCTTGTAATAAATTAATAAGCCCACATCATGTGTAAGAATGTGGTGATTTTGTTCAGGTCGTAAACTCTCACCAACGCCTCCAACTAATAGACTGTCAATTGAAGCACCCAACGAAAAAGATGAAGGAATATCTGATGAAGAGGATCCAGCGGAATTGCGGTTGCTTCTAGAACTTAATGAACAGGTATTAAACACATAATCATTTTTATAAAGGCTAAGTTTATTGTCGTAACTAATTAATATATTTCATATTATTTGCAACAGGAGGCTGCAGTTTTACGACGAAAAGTAGAAGAACTAGAACAAGACAGAGATTCACTGAAGAAACAAGTCAAAGAACTTACCGATAAAATAGCTAACACAAATTCCAAAACTCTCACAAATTCCACTACTACTGTTAGGCGTAACACAACAAAAAGTAATAATTTAGCGGAAGAAAAAGTTAAGGTGCGTTTATTCCTTATTTAATAAAAAAAACTAAAGTTAAAAGTACCTAATGTTCCCCAAACTTATAATTTTGTTTGCTTTCAGGTATTAGAAGATGAAATAGACGAGTTGAGAAAGAAACTCATAGAAAAGGAAAGAGACTGTGAAAGATTACATGCTGAATTAAGTTTAGCACAGAAGAAACCGAAGGCATCCCTTAGCAAAAGCAAGTTAGTAAAAAAAAAACAATATTATAGTCGTAGTAATATTAAAGCAAATCATCTTTGGATTCATTGACTTTATCTAACCAAATATTCCTCTTTCATTAGATCTCTGGATAGTAATAGCGAACAACAGAATGTCGACCTTAAACGGCAACTGCAAGTAATTGAGCAAGAAGCTAGCGTACTAAGAGCTAAAACGCAAAGTCTTGAATCAGATAACGAAAAACTTCAAGCTGAAAATAAGAAATTACTGGTAAGTTAATATAATATCATTGTAATCACATTACAAATTTTACGATATTATGCTAATCTTTAAAATCTTTTGCCTAAATTTTAGTTGTTGAAGAATACCAAAACATTACGATCCGACAAAGCTGTTGAACAAAATGCTGTTAAAGTGACTCAACTAGAAAATGAATTGAAGGAAGCACTGGCCAAAATCAAAGAATATGAAAGTAATAAAGACAAAGATGAAAAAATAGAAAAGAAAGTAAGATTTGGAGGAGAACTTACCAAGAAAGATGCTGACACTCTTAAAGCAAAACAAGATGAATTAGATAGACTAAAACTAAACTTCACTAAGGTAAGCAAATTGTTTTTCAAATTTAAGATTATTCAGAAAATGTTGTACCTAATTCAAATATTTATATTCTAGCTGGAAAAAGAAAATGCAAAACTACAAGCAACATTGAAAGCATTAAAGGAAGATGCAATGAAATCATTTAAACCACGTACACCTAAAAAACTGACTGATCTCACAACTAAATTACAAATGAAAAGGATGGTAGAAGACTTAGAAAGTGAAATTGGTATTTATTACGTTTTATTTGAAATTTTAAACTGTTTCTTTAAAACTACAAAGTATTTACTTCCGTGTCTATGCTAATCTTATAATGGTCGTATCTGTTGAACAGGGGAATTATACGTGGTAATGAAAAATGCTGGATTATCTTCCAACGAAATCAACGCTAAAGCTCAACTAGAAAAAGACATTGAGGAGATTAGAGCAAAGCTGTCCAAAAATGAATCTGAATTCACCAATGAAAAGAATAAATTACAAACGGAAATCGCAAAGTTAAAAGATCTCAATAGTAAATTAGAAGGTGATAAAAGTAAAGTCACTGATAAATGCAAAAGTTTAGAAACAGAAAAGGATAAATCACTCAATGAATTGAAGGCATTGAAAGATGAAAAGAAAATCCTTGAAGCTCAAATCACGAAACTGAATGCAGATCTCAGTAAGAATTTATTATAATATTCCATTAATGTTAGTGTAATTAGTGATTAATTCAGAATCAACAGACTAAAAATATCTAACTTAATTTTCAGAAAATTCTAGCTCTCAACAGACAGCGATGGCTGATTGTATGAAGAAGATAGAAGATCTTAAAAAGGAAATGGATGCAAAGGACAAAGAAGTTGATAAGTTGAAGAAGCAAATAGAAAATATAAATAAATTGGAACAAGACAAAAACAAATTGCTCAAAGAGGTATGTAAAACAAGGATATAACTTTTACTTCATGGATGACGCAGCTTTTATATGGGTGATCAAAAGCTTAGTACAATTATTTTTTTCCAGGTTGGAGATAAAACTAAGAAAATAGGAGAGTTAGAAAAGAAATTCAAGGAATCAGAGGAAAAGTGTAAGCGCATTGAAAAGCAACTGTCAACACGAAAGGATCGGGTAGCTAAATTAGAAAAAGAAGTAAGTTTCACTTATTTTTATTTATCATGCATTTAAGTGTCATAAACAATACTAAACATTTATTCATATTAGCTCTCAGAGGAAAAGGAGCAAGCTGAAGCGCTGGCTAACTCTCATAGGCGGCTTTCTGTTGAATTTACTTCAGAGAAGGACGAAATTCATACAAAACTCATTAAATCTGAAAGCAAACTCATAACATTAGAGACAGAAATGAGAGAACTGAAGACTGATTACGAAAGTAAATTAACTAATTTGGAATCGACTATAGCAGCTAAAGACATTCATATTAAACAACTGGTACAAATAAGTTACGGTTATGGCGTGGAATTACAGACCACTGCATGCCCCCTTCATTTTACCCTTTGACTTTTATGCACCTTTGAAATAGTCACCCTTAGCGTAGGCAGTGTGTGAACTTGTTAGAAATCCACACAATATGCATGTCACATATTCCCATTGCAACTAGTAAATGTACACCAAATTTTTCAGAGTTAGCACTACTTGTATTATAAACTTTGGAACCCATTTTGCGGACATAATAGATTCATTATATTTTAGGAGGATGCTTTAAGAGAGACGTCAAATCAAAAATACGATGAAGCCATATCGTCAGTGGAAATGGCACAAATGCAAGATAAATTGGAAAAAACAATAAGAGATCTTCAAGAAAAAGAAGAAGAATTATCTACTGCTAAACAAGAACTGAGTAAAACAGAAAAAGAATTGTCTTCATTGCAAACGGAAACGTCAAGAATAAAGTCTGATCTTAGTAAGCTAGAAAATGAAAAGAAGGAGCTGGAAAACAAATTACAGACTGAGAAGAAAGAGTCAGGTTACTGGGAAAGTAAGGCGTCAGAACTTGAGACTGATCTACAGGTAAGTAGTAATAATAGGATTGTTCCATTATAACATGTATATGAAATTGAATAGAAATTGTGTGATGACAATGATAATATTTTGTATTCTTCTGTTGCACTCCTCATATCACAAATACTCATTTCCACTGTGCGATTTTCCGGTAAAAATTGTACTACTTTTCAACTAAATTTCATAAGTAATTGTGAACCAATTTTAAAACCTGTGACTTATCCCTTACCTAAACAGGCAGAGAGAAAGAAACTGGAGCGTATGCGCATTGCACACGACAAGGATGTAAAGAACAAGGAGGCTGAACTAGCCACTTTGAAGGGCAAACTGAAGGTCCTGGAACAGAGCACTGGCGCAGGGGTCAAGAGGATTGCTGACCTTAAACAGGAATACGAAGAAACTGTTAAAAGTAAGTTATATTCATTTTATCCGACTACGGCAGAAGGAAGGTGTTATTTATTGTAAAGTTTTAAGATTAGTGTTTTAATTGGGATTATTTAATTTCAGAGTTAGAACACTCGCTAGCAGTAGAAAAGGCAGAGTACGAAGAATTGACAGGCAAATATGAGATATTGGAAGAGGAACATGTAGTCACTAAAGCTCGACTGACTGTTGAGAAGGAGCAAGCTCAAGGGTTCGTAATGCAAATATTTTTATTCTTTTTAGTTTCTTAAGCCACCTTTTAAAATAAAGCAACACTATGATGAACGTTTGATTTTTCAGGGAACTAATACACGTGCAAAAAGAATTGACTGCAGCGTTAGCCGAAATAAAGAGTCACCAAGACTCCTACGAATCACAGTCTTCAGCGTGGCACAAAGAAAAAATGGAACTCCAGGTACGAAATTGACCTCCTTACTACTACACTTTTACTTTAGAATCCCGATTCTCAGGGATTAAATCACCTGAACCTCCTCCTATAAAATCACGTTAGTTAAAAATGAGTTGTGCACAATGGGGTGAATAAGTATCGTCTAGACTTATAGAATACTATATTTGTCAAAGTAATAGTGTTTTAAAGCCTTTTTGCAGTGAATTCGCTGCCTACTGCTGTCTTTCCCGATCATTATAATCCGGGCCTTTTCAAGGCGAGAGTGAAAGGCATTTACAGGGCAGATATGTACCATCCTAGACTGCATCTCAATCAACACCAGGTGCGATTGCGGTCGAATACCTGCTGTTATGCAATGAAAAATACTTTTATAACTTTTTTAACATCTGTTTATTTATTGATTACAGACCGAAATATCGTCCCTTCAAGAGCGGCTGTGCGGCGGCGGCTGGGAGGTGGAGAAGGCGCGGCTGACGGCCCGTCTGGATCAGCGCGAGAAGGAGCTCCGGTCCGCCACCGACCAGTTCAATGTGGTGACGCATCACCACGAACAGGCCAAGAAAGAGGTACTACTAAATGCTTCTTTTTTTATAGATCGTTTCATCCACGAAGACGCGCCCCACCACTCCGCGGTCGAGGGAAGCGCGGGGTGCGGGGAGCCTGATCCGACCAATCCGAGCGTCATCATTGTAGTGAGCGCCTGCACTCACGGACAACTATCCAATGAGGGCTATCGTTTTTATACTTAACAGTTGGCACCCCTGGCGATTGACAGGACCTTACTCTACAGTGGCGCCATCTCGATTAGTGCAAATACGATAGTCCTCCTACCACTTTAGCGCTCACCAGTTGGTGCCACTGTCTTCGCTACTAGCAAGTGACAGGACCTTACTCTACACTTCTACAGTGGCGCTAACTGGTGAGCGCTAAAACGATAGCCGTCATTGCAACGCTGCCAATGCCAACAATGACGCTCGGATTGGTCGGATCAAACTCCCGCACCCCGCGCTTCCCCCGACCAAAAAGTGGTGGGACGCTCCTAGAGGATGAAACGATCTATGCCTTCATCTCTATTCTAGATAGTGTCAATGAACGTGCTACTACCAGTGCAGCCCCATCAGATAAGTAGCAAAATATGACAGTTGTAATTTTGAAACCACTTCACAAAGCGAAGTACCTAACAACACACAAAAAACGCCGTAGCGAAGGGATTTCAAAATTACAACTGTCACTTTTGCCACTTGTATAAGGGGACTGATTCGGTCCCCGTTGCGTTCTTTAATAGTGTCTGAAGAAATCCTAAACCAATCTTACCATACTTCCAGGTCCGAAGTGTCAGGTTTTGTAACTCAAATTGAGCGAATCTAATTCGTGTCTGTCATACATTATTTGACTGTATTATTTAATATTCTTTAGCTGGAAGAAATAAGGCAGAAACTGGAAGACTACGAACGAGTGTCCAAGATCCAAAGGAACTTGACTTCTGAGAACGCCGAGTTGGAGCGAGAGGTGGCCGCTGTGAACGCGCGCCTCGACCAAGCAGAGAAAGCGAGAAAACTCGAGCTCACCGACACTAAGATGAGATACGAGGGACAGATGAACAGCATGCGGGATGAGCTGAAGTCTTTGCACAACCAGGTAACTGGCACGAAACGTTCACAACAGNCTGCAACAGTAATTGTTTTATAAAACAGCGCAGAGTAGGACGTCCAGTCACAAGGTAGACCGACGACCCCATAAAGGTAGCAGGAAGGTGCTTGATGCGGGCCGCTACCAAGAGGTCATTATGGGAATCATTGGGGGAAGGCTATGTTGAGCAGTGGACGTCCTATGGCTGAAATGATGATGATGACGCTTTACCAGTATTTTCTTCCACATAAAATATATTGTACACACGGCCACACTGTTAACTATCCATTTCGTTCGTTCGTTTTTGCTCTCGCTCTAATCAAATGGGGATTCTTTGCGATAGAACGAGATGACATGACTGGCAATGGGCAGTTAACACTGTTGCCGATAGTACATAGCATAGCGCTTTGTAATTATTTTCCTCTTTGACAAAAAAGAATGGAATAATAACGCTTGACATGATTGTTTTAGGTGTCCAGGTTCAGACGAGAGAGAGATAACTACAAACAAATGCTAGACGCCGCCCAAAAGACAATGGCGGAAATAAAGAACGGCGACAAAAACACCAGAACGCCGAGGACTTCCATATCGAGCACTGATGAGGTTAGATTACATGATTTCTTTATTTGATTTTCTTTTTTTTTTTAATTTGTCCCGTTAGCCCCTAGTACTAAGCTAAATATGCTTGTGTAGTGGGTTCACCACAATAGTCGAGCGGCGGCGGGATAAAAAACCCGCGTTCCCTGGATCACGAGTCAGCCAGTCCAACGCATTGAACGGTCGGCTATCGTGGCTTCGTTATTATTAATGTGACTGACTCACACACTCATCACAAAATCTCGGAAACTACAAGTGCTAGGGGTCTCAAATTTTGCATGGGGGTTCCTTTTAGAACGTAGGTGTTCACTAAGACGGGATTTTCTAAAATTTTAACCCTAAGAGGGTCAAACGGGGTCCACGCGTACGAAGTCGCATTACGGTATGTTGCGTTTTGGGGCAGAACGACTGCTCCATAAAGCAGGTTGAGGATACCGGCTCCCTTACGTAGCCATTAACCATTTCATTCAACTGTTTAAATCAAACAAAAATAGATTAGTTTAGCAAAAACTTTACCTCTTCCCAGGAGGAATACCGCAACAAAGTGGCGACATTAGAGCAGCAGACGGCGTGCCTTGAAGACGAGTTATGTGAGGCGCGGCTGCTGGCCTCCAAGCTCAAGACCGAGCTCGTCAGCGAGAAGTCCGCCGCCGAAGTGCGCATCGCTGAGATGCAGTCCCGGCTCAATGAGGTAAGGCTAGCAAGTGGCAACTACATATTATACAGGGTGTTAGGCAAATGGGTATATGCGCCGACACTAGCTAGCCCATGTTAAAATGGGCATATAAATGGTATAGTGAAGTCAGAAAATTGATATGTTCATTTTAATTATTTAAATTTTCACACAAATCGGGTTTTATAAAAATTATTTTGTAAGTATGAAAATTAAAAAAAATAAAATGATGTTATCAAATTTCTGACTTCGCCATACCATTTATATGCCCATGTTAACATGGGCTAGTGTCGCCTCATATACCCATTTACCTAACACCCTGTATATTCCACATCGAACAAAAATAGGATCACGTAAATCGGATCTCGTATCTAACGGCCGGTTCACACACGTCTCCGTTTTACTGTTCCGTTTTATCGTCTACGTTTTTTTTTCGTCGATGTATGTATTACTGTATATAGAATACTGTGTCATGTGTGAAGTCGCTCATACAACTACATACGCCATCGACGAAAAAAAACGTACACGATAAAACGGAGACATGTGTGAACCGGCCGTAATGGGTGTAAATACATTAAAAAAAACACCAATCGAATTGAGAACCTCCTCCTTTTGTTAGTCGGTTAAAAAAGAACGAGTCAGTATTAAATCTCATTTTTAATGGCATTATTTAAATCGAATATCATAATCTGGTTGCACCCGAAAATCCACATGACCAGATATTTTTAAATCAATATTTTAATTTCGTTTAAACTCGACGACGACGTAACAACCGCTCTATGACTCGAGCGGTGAGGGAAGGGATGGTGCAGGGTGGGAGGGCAAACCATAAAATTAATATTCCTCCTATGAGGCAAACTAGCACGTAGCGAGCTCAGTTTGCTTCGTGCGCCCGGACCGTTCACACGTTTAATTATTACTCTGACAAAAAAAAACAACAAATGGAATATCTGTGTAGTTAATTAATATAGTGTAAATTTTGCAAATAAAATGAGTGATTATTTTCTATGTGTTTTAATAGTGGCTTTAAAAATCCTAAATGTTCTTTACTGATTTAAAAATCTTTGTTCCACCCAGTACGAAGAGGAGCGGCTTCTGTCTTCTGGGAGGGCGCGAGTGGCAGGACTCGCCACTCGGATGGAGCTGGCGTGGCACAAGGAGCGCGACGAACAGCAACGACTGTTGCAAGAAACCTCCACGCTCGCGCGTGACTTGCGACAGACGCTCTTTGAGGTGAGTTTTTTTTAAATAAAATTGATTTTGTTTTTCACTTTTTCAATATTTGCATGACTAATTAAGTCAACATGTGGACATGACAATTGTAATCATATCTTGTAAAAAAACATGTTAAAAGCAAATAAAGAATCAGAATTAGAAAGACACCGTGTCTCGGGACAATAATGTAAGTCAGTGTTGAGAAAATCAGTCACTATTCTCATCTTCTTTTCCAATCTAATTAAATATTTTGTAATGGTACTGTTTAGAGTACTTAAGTACATAGATTAAGTTTAGTGTCCAATTTATTTATTTAATTCCCTTTTGGCACCTTTTGGGTTGGATCACTAAAAGTACACAACTATAACTTGTTTTTTTACAGGTGGAACGCGAGAGAGATAAGGAAAGGTTAGACATGAAGAGAAGAATAGAACAACTAAAGAGAACGACCGAAGAGGAGACTGAAGAAGCTAAGAAGAAGGTATGTTATCATGTTCATGCACACTGTTTTAAAGCGCATATTTGGCGGGTCTGTAAGATTTCAATTTCGATTTTAAACTTCTGCAATCTACAGCCTTATCCTATTACATTTTATGACTATTATCCCGTGCCAGGTATCCGAGCTACAGTGCGACCTGCTAGAACTTCGTGACGCGCACGCTAAACTGCGCACGGCCAACGAAAAGCTGCGGCGCGACAAAGAACGCAACGACCGCGATCGCGACCAGAACAAGTTGCTGGTTGCCTCGCTGAAGCGCGCGCAGCAGGTAACAAGCTATTTACACCTTTAAGTCAATGCCCTAGATCCTTTATTCCCGTTGTTCGCCTATAACTACGACGCGCACGGGCAACTTCGTACGGCTAACGAAAAGCTGCGGCGCGACAAGGAACGCAACGACCGCGACCAGAACAAGTTGCTGGTTGCCTCGCTGAAGCGCGCGCAACAGTTAACAAGCTATTTACACCTCTAAGTCAATGCCCATAGATCCTTTATTCCCGTTGTGTGCCTATAACTCCGTGACGCGGACGCTAAACTTCGTACGGCCAACGAGAAGCTGCGCGCGACAAGGAACGCAACGACCGCGACCGCGACCAGAACAAGTTGCTGGTTGCCTCGCTGAAGCGCGCGCGCGGGTAACAAGCTATTTACACCTTTAAGTCAATGCCCATAGATCCTTTATTCCCGTTGTATGCCTATAACTCCGTGACGCGGATGCTAAACTGCGCACGGCCAACGAGAAGCTGCGGCGCGACAAAGAACGCAACGACCGCGATCGTGACCAGGTTGCTGGTTGCCTCGCTGAAGCGCGCGCAACAGGTAACAAGCTATTTACACCTTTAAGTCAATGCCCTAGATCCTTTATTCCCGTTGTTCGCCTATAACTACGACGCGCACGGGCAACTTCGTACGGATAACGAAAAGCTGCGGCGCGACAAGGAACGCAACGACCGCGACCAGAACAAGTTGCTGGTTGCCTCGCTGAAGCGCGCGCAACAGGTAACAAGCTATTTACACCTCTAAGTCAATGCCCATAGATCCTTTATTCCCGTTGTATGCCTATAACTTCGTGACGCGCACGCTAAACTGCGCACAGCTAACGAAAAGCTGCGGCGCGACAAGGAACGCAACGACCGCGACCAGAATAAGTTGCTGGTTGCCTCGCTGAAGCGCGCGCAACAGGTAACAAGCTATTTACACCTTTAAGTCAATGCCCTAGATCCTTTATTCCCGTTGTATGCCTATAAACTCTGTGACGCGCATACTAAACTTTGCTCGGCCAACGAGAAGCTGCGGCGCGACAAGGAGCGCAACGACCGCGATCGTGACCAGAACAAGTTGCTGGTTGCCTCGCTGAAGCGCGCGCAGCAGGTAACAAGCTATTTACACCTTTAAGTCAATGCCCATAGATCCTTTATTCCCGTTGTATGCCTATAAACTCCGTGACGCGGATGCTAAACTTCGTACGGCCAACGAAAAGCTGCGGCGCGACAAGGAGCGCAACGACCCCGACCGCGACCAGAACAAGTTGCTGGTTGCCTCGCTGAAGCGCGCGCAGCAGGTAACAAGCTATTTACACCTTTAAGTCAATGCCCTAGATCCTTTATTCCCGTTGTTCGCCTATAACTACGACGCGCACGCGCAATTTCGTACGGCCAACGAAAAGCTGCGGCGCGATAAGGAACGCAACGACCGTGACCAGAACAAGTTGCTGGTTGCCTCGCTGAAGCGCGCGCAGCAGGTAACAAGCTATTTACACCTTTAAGTCAATGCCCTAGATCCTTTATTCCCGTTGTTCGCTTATTACTACGTGACGCGAATGCTAAACTTTGCTCGGCTAACGAAAAGCTGCGGGCGACAAGGAGCGCAACGACCGCGTAGGGGCAGCAGATTTCAGATGACGCTTACTCGATTTCAGAAGATAAAAGTTAAATAAAGATCCAACCCACCCTAGTCTACGGGCGGCAAAACTGTAAGAATAGGCGCACACCGTTGATTTTTCGTCGGCCGATAGTTTAGTCGGGCTGTTGATCAGTATGGGCATGTATGGGAGTGCGCACACTACGCCGATTCGATTTGGCCGATTCTTCATACAATTTGAAATCGGGCACAACTATCGGGCAACTAAAAATCAACGGTGTGCACCTACTCTAAATCCGCCAATGCAAGGAGCGCAACGATCGCGACCGCGACCAAAACACTCGTGACCTCGCTAAAGCGCGCGCAACAGGTATCCTTTCTTTACCAAGGGCAAACAGAGTGCAAAAATCTGTCTTACAAAATACTAATATCCCTGTTAATATTATTCCTAGAAAAAAAAGGAATCGTTAAGTTAACGGACATAGTTTGCATACATACTGTTTTTTTACCGAAATAACTACATCATGGATGGTATGGTAATGGTATTCATATGTAAAAATATTCACATAGGTAATAATGAAATGCATATTTCCCACTACAGGAAGACGACAGGATCATAGCGCAGCTGCTGGAGACAATAGAAGACCTGATGAAGCAGAGCCCGGAACTGTTCCGCAGCGAGCCCGCCGTCAAGCCCGAGAAGAGCTTGCTCACGCCTACTCCGCCCAGGCGAAACAGGGTATGTTATTTTATCACTTGGGATTCTATTTTAAGAGTCTCCCAATTCAAAGATTTTAGAGCGTCAACCAGTAACGGCGTAAGGGGGGGCGGTGGGGGCGGTCCGCCCCGGGTGCCAAGCATCAGGGGGTGACAAAAGTCGCGCAGATTAGTACTCACTGGCGCATCTGCATGACAAAGATCATGATACTTGGGTGCGATTGGTATCATTATAGCTGATTCGTATCTTTTTTCTTCAAGTCGGTAACCCAAAACTCCTGGGGGGTACCAGACCTGACCATTCTGGGGTGCCATAGCCCCGAGATATACAGGGTGTCCCGTAATGTAACGTCAAGCCGGAACTGGGTGTTGGGGCAAGTTGTGCTGGTTATCAGAAAAATATAAAAAAAAATCTATATGGCATATTTTCAAAATAATAGGCATTTAAAAAAAATCTAAAAATTCTACTCCAGGTGACGGTTCTTTTACTCGTGTTGCCACAAATCTTCACTTTTTCCAATTTTTTTTTTGTTATGTAACCCTGAATAATGCTTCTCTAAATCGTTATCAAAATTACAAAACCAGCTGCTCCAGCTTGGATGAAAAAAATACATTATTCCCAAAAAAAATTTCAAAATAAAAATTTTGCCTAGTTTAAACTGACTGTACTGAAAAAAAATTGTACTACGCGAGTGTGGCAAGTGACATCATAATTTGGCGCATTTAGTAAGGATCCCAAAATGGTATAACACTTGGTAAATCCATGCTGTAATTGTCGACAATTTTTGGTTTTTTGGAAATAATCCCGTTTTTAACTTTATCTACCTTGGTTAAAAATATTATTCTAATGTGCCCAAAATTCAAGTTTCTGGCTTAAGTGAGGTGGAGAAGCCATTTTAAAAGGTATGAGCGGGACGGAGAGGGCCATCTTACCAAGCAGGGATGTTATGGATATCCGTAACCGTAACCGAAACTATCGGATATCCGAAATAAAATAATATCCATAACCGTAACCGAAACTGATTCAAAAGTTACGGATAGTTTCGGATAATGGCGGAGTCTTAAGGGTACAATTCCAAACTTCAAAACTCTATGAAATCTGCAGTATACACGCCGCAGCTGCAATGCCGCGCTGCCGATTTCATAGTTTTGCAGTTTGCGGTCTGCGGCACGTCTTGGAATTGTACCTTAAATCTTAATATTTGTTACCAACTTGTCTGGCATTCCCTGGCACCATCTAATATGCCAGCCTGTTTGACCTTTATCATACATAGGTGTCGTCTTAGTTGGTACATAAAGTAGCTATGTGGGTCACGCAGCATATTGCTATTCCTATTTCTAATAACTCCGTAACCGAAATTATCCGAAACTTTCGGATAATCTGAAATGATTTCATATCCGTGACCGTAACCGGAACCGGTATAATATTATTCTGCTGACTGTACGGTTGTCAGTCACAGAAACTTGAATTTTGGGCACATTAGAATAATAATTAACCAAGGTAGATAAAGTTAAAAACGGGATTATTTCCAAAAAAACAAAAATTGTCGACAATTACAGCAAGAATTTACCAAGTGTTATACCATTTTGGAATCCTTACTAAATGCGCCAAATTATGACGTCACTTGCCACACTCGCGTAGTACAATTTTTTTTCAGTACAGTCAGTTTAAACTAGGCAAAATTTGTATTTTGAAATTTTTTTTGGGAATAATGTATTTTTTTCATCCAAGCTGGAGCAGCTGGTTTTGTAATTTTGATAACAATTTAGAGAAGCATTATTCAGGGTTACATAACAAAAAAAAAACTTGGAAAAAGTGAAGATTTGTGGCAACACGAGTAAAAGAACCGTCACCTGGAGTAGAATTTTTAGATTTTTTTTAAATGCCTATTATTTTGAAAATATGCCACATAGATTTTTTTTTATATTTTTCTGATAACCAGCACAACTTGCTCCAACACCCAGTTNCACAACAGATATTGCATCACCTTAACTTTAACCGTAACTATAAATTTTACCGGTGTTTCTGTATGGAGTTTGGCGGACTTTTGACGTTTGTTATAGTTAAAGTAAGATGGTGCAACCCAGGGTTATTGTTTCTTAAAATTAAGCTTTATTTTCTTCCACAAATTTGTTCATAGCACTTTTTTTTTCCCCTCTTTGGCAAAAAAGAATGGAATAATAACGCTTGACATGATTGTTTTAGGTGTCCAGATTCAGACGAGAGAGAGATAACTACAAACAAATGCTAGACGCCGCCCAAAAGACAATGGCGGAAATAAAGAACGGCGACAAAAACACCAGAACGCCGAGGACTTCCATATCGAGCACTGATGAGGTTAGATTACATGATTTCTTCATTTGATTTTCATTTTTTTTTAAAGAATTTGTCCAGTTAGCCCCTAGTACTAAGCTAATAATGCTTGTGTAGTGGGCTCACCACAATAGTCGAGCGGCGGCGGTATTCGAACCCGCTTTCCCCGGATCACGAGTCGGCCAGTCCGACCCCTTCATCGTTCGGCTATCGTGGCTTCATTATTTATTATTAATGTTATTTTTTTATTATTAATATTCTGCGCTCCGGGTGTTAGGGTCGCCGCACATGGGCTTCACGCCTCAGCCACAAAACGCCGCCACTGGCGTTACGGTATGTGGCGTTTTGTGGCAGAACCACTGCTAATAAAGCAGGTTGATAATACCGGATCTGTTAAGGTTGATTTACACGTATTTAACTTAATTTTAAGTGATCAAGTTGCATTGTAATTTTAAGTTTATGTTCAAACGTCAAGCTCCTGTTTACTATGAAACTGCTTGTCAAAACGTGTCAAGTGACAAGCTCCGCCCACCAAATTGACATAAAAATTAAGTGAAAATTCAGTTACCTACTTATCTACTTAATACGTGTAAATCAGCTTTTACGAAGCACTACCATTTCATATTCAACTGTTTAAATCAAACAAAAATAGATTAGTTTAGCAAAACCTTTACCTCTTCCCAGGAGGAATACCGCAACAAAGTGGCGACATTAGAGCAGCAGACGGCGTGCCTTGAAGACGAGTTGTGCGAGGCGCGGCTGCTGGCCTCCAAGCTCAAGACCGAGCTCGTCAGCGAGAAGTCCGCCGCCGAAGTGCGCATCGCTGAGATGCAGTCCCGGCTCAACGAGGTAAGGCTAGCAAATGGCAACTATTCCGCATCAAACACAAATAGGATCACGTAAATCGGATCAGAAATCTCGTATCTAATGGGTGTAAATACATAGAAAAAAACACCAATCGAATTGAGAACCTCCTCCTTTTGTTAGTCTGTTAAAAAAAGAACGAGTCAGTATTAATTGCCATTTTTATGGCCTTGACAGTTTCATCAATTAATGAGGGTTTTCGCGAATGAAAGATCCGCTAGATGGCGGGACGTGGATGTGGGGTCTGATTGCTGCGTGATTGGTGGATTTTGACATATCTGTCAATGTCATGTCAAAAATAACCAATCATGCAGCATTTGGACCTCGCGTCTACGTATTGCCATCTGGCGGATTTTTCATTCGCGAAAACCCTCATTGTCCAAAATCGAATATCATAATCTGGTTGCACCCGAAAATCCTAATGACTAGATATTTTTAAACAAGAATTTTAATTTCGTTAAAAAAATGCCGCTCTATGACTCGAGCGGTTAAAGAAGGGATGGCGAAAAGTGGGGGAAAACTATCACATAGCGAGCTCACTTTGCTTCGTGCGCCCGTACCGTTCACACGTAAAAAAAAAACAATTTAACAGTTGGTGTTGTTTATTAATATAACCAGTCACCAGTGTAAATTTGCAAATAAAATTAGTGATTATTTTCTATGTGTCTTAATAGTGGCTTTAAAAATCCTAAATGTTCTTTACTGATTTAAAAATCTTTGTTCTACCCAGTACGAAGAGGAGCGGCTTCTGTCTTCTGGGAGGGCGCGAGTGGCAGGACTCGCCACTCGGATGGAGCTGGCGTGGCATAAAGAGCGCGACGAACAGCAACGACTGTTGCAAGAAACCTCCACGCTCGCGCGTGACTTGCGACAGACGCTATTTGAGGTGAGACTGGCTAGATAAAAACCCAAAAAAAAAATAGGACATGTTTACGAATGGGATCGCGATACATGCTCTTGTCGTGCTACGAATAGAGCGACAAGCAACAACGCCTTGCAATAGACGCTCTTCGAGGCGACATTGATTTTATGTTCACTAAGTATAAAGACGGATCAAGTGGGAATCAGGCAAGCACATGAAAGGATCCTTAAAGGGCTCGCAAATGGATTTCCGTTGGCACCGTTTGGTTACTTTTAGCAACTATCGTAAAATAAGATTTTTTTGTTTTCACAGGTGGAACGCGAGAGAGATAAGGAAAGGTTAGACATGAAGAGAAGAATAGAACAACTAAAGAGAACAACCGAAGAGGAAACTGAAGAAGCTAAAAAGAAGGTATGTAATTATCTTCATGGACACTAATGTTATCTAGCTTATATTTAGCGGGTATGTAAGATTTCAATTTCGATTTTAAACTTCTACAGCCTTATCCTATTACATTTTATGACTATTATCCCGTGGCAGGTATCCGAGCTACAGTGCGACTTGTTAGAACTTCGTGACGCGCACGCTAAACTTCGTACGGCTAACGAAAAGCTGCGGCGCGACAAGGAACGCAACGACCGCGACCGCGACCAGAACAAGTTACTTGTGGCCTCGCTGAAGCGCGCGCAACAGGTAACAAGCTATTTACACCTTTAAGTCAATGCCCATAGATCCTTTATTCCACCTACAACTACGACGCGCACGCTAAACTGCGTACCGCCAACGAAAAGCTGCGGCGCGACAAAGAACGCAACGACCGCGACCGCGACCAGAACAAGTTGCTGGTTGCCTCGCTGAAGCGCGCGCAGCAGGTAACAAGCTATTTACACCTTTAAGTCAATGCCCTAGATCCTTTATTCCCGTTGTTTGCCTATAAGTCTGTGACGCACATGCTTAACTTCGTACGGCCAACGAAAAGCTGCGGCGCGACAAAGAACGCAACGACCGCGACCGCGACCAGAACAAGTTGCTGGTTGCCTCGCTGAAGCGCGCGCAGCAGGTAACAAGCTATTTATACCTTTAAGTCAATGCCCTAGATCCTTTATTCCCGTTGTTCGCCTATCACTCCGTGACGCGGAATCTAAACTTTGCTCGGCCTACGAGAAGCTGCGGCGCGACAAGGAGCGCAACGACCGCGACCGCGACCAGAACAAGCTGTTAGTGGCCTCGCTGAAGCGTGCGCAGCAGGTAACAAGCTATTTACACCTTTAAGACAATGCTCATAGAGCTGGGATCCTGTATTCCGGTTGTTAGATGTTATAACTCCGCGACAAGGAGCGCAACAACCGCGACTAAAACAAGCTACTCGTGACTTCGCTAAAGCGCGCGCAGCAGGTAACAAGCTAATTGCATCTTTACAGTGCTTATAAAGATGAAACTTCAGAGAAATACTTTATTCCTAACTAAATGCAGTACCTAGCGTATACTTAGTTGCGCATGTCGCATACGAGCATGGCACTCCAATAATGGCATAATATTATGTCTTCTTGTGTCTCTTCTGCGATCGATTTCCCGAATAGGGCACGGAAACAGCATGCAAAAACACTTGAACCTGATTTCTATATTCCTATAAAATACTCTTTGCTGACGGACACAGTTCTCATATACTCTTTACAATTTTAACTGGTATTTCCAGAGATCGCTAAATCTTGGGTAAAAATATTTAATGACATGCATATTAATTGCCACAACAGGAAGACGACAGGATCATAGCGCAGCTGCTGGAGACAATAGAAGACCTGATGAAGCAGAGCCCGGAACTGTTCCGCAGCGAGCCCGCCGTCAAGCCTGAGAAGAGCCTGCTCACACCCACTCCGCCCAGGCGAAACAGGGTAAATTTTTATCACTTGGGATTCTATTTTAAGTCTCCCAATTTAATTATTTTTTCAGCGTCAACAATTTTGCATAGTTTTGGATCTTAAGTCAACCGTCAGACCCCGCCCCATAAGGACGCTAACCCTAGACAAATGCTAGTATGGTGTGAGCCTTAGCAGTGGGAGACCTGCCAAACTACGTCTTCTGACTCATGGTCGCCGCTTGAGAACTTTTCTACCCTAATGGCCACGGCCATCAGTTCTACAACCTATATTATGGGCTCCGCCCATTTCCACTTTTAGTTTGGCAATTGGGATGTTTCCTGGGTCGAAAAGCAAGAGTTTTAATTAGTCCGTCAGTTAACTTATCAAAAAATACTCTACACGTANAGAGTGTGGATCCGCGACTCCCGAGAGCGCAGAAACCAGCGGCGCAGATGCCGCAACCACCGCCGCGCCCCTGCGCCGCCTCGCCGACCCCATAACGCTACTGCTCGACGGTAAGTGGCTCGAGGCATCATTTCATATTATAGAAGTCTATTTGCCTTCAACCATCGAAGTCCCGATCCTGCTCGGCCACACCGAGAGTAGCGGCACGAGGCCTCGTGAATTGCCGAACGCGAGCGCAGACATAAAGCAACTGCTCGTCGGCAAGTGACAATACTGAGAAATCTTTTTAGTGTGTAAAGGTCTATAGCTCCAGTCGTCTAAGTCCCGCTCCCGATCGGCCACACCCGAGAGCGCAAAGACCACGCGCCTACGCTGCCTCACCGATGAGCTGCGCGCCTCGCGTATCGCGGAGCGCGCGCGCAGGCATAACGCTACTGCTCGACGGTAAGTGGCTTCACTGAGTCATCTTTACAGCCCATGGAAGTGTTATATAGCTCCCAGTCATCGAAGTCCCGGTCCCGATCCTTGACGTCTGAGAGTGCAGACTAGCGGCGCGCGCCTGCGCCGCCTCACCGACGAGCTGCGCGCCTCGCGTATCGCGGAGCGCGCGCGCAGACATAACGCTACCGCTCGACGGTAAGTGGCTTCATTGAGTCATCTTTACAACCCATAGAAGTGTTATATTGCTCCCAGTCGTCAAATTCCCGAGATCCCGATCCGCGACGCTTGAGACCGCAGAGACAAGCGGCGCGGACGCCGCCGCCACCGCCGCGCGCCTGCGCCGCCTCGCCGACCCCATAACGCTACTGCTCGACGGTAAGTGGCTCGAGGCATCATTTCAGCTTATAGAAGTCTATTTTCCTTCAACCATCGAAGTCCCGATCCTGCTCGGCCACACCGAGAGCAGCGGCACGAGGCTTCGTGAATTGTCGAACGCGAGCGCAGACATTAAGCAACTGCTCGTTGGCTGGTGACAATACTGAGAAATCTTTTTAGTGTGTAAAGGTCTATAGCTCCAGTCGTCTAAGTCCCGCTCCCGATCGGCCACACCCGAGAGCGCAAAGACCACGCGCCTGCGCCGCCTCACCGACGAGCTGCGCGCCTCGCGTATCGCGGAGCGCGCGCGCAGGCATAACGCTACTGCTCGACGGTAAGTGGCTTCACTGAGTCATCTTTACAGCCTGTAGAAGTCTATTGCTCCCTGTCAGCACCAATCCGCGTCACACCGGAGAACAGCGGCACGAGGCCTCGTGAATTGCCGAACGCGAGCGCAGACATAAAGCAACTGCTCGTCGGCAAGTGATAATACTGAGAAATCTTTTTAGTCTATAGCTCCAGTCGTCAAAGTCCCGATCCCGCTCGGCTACGCCCGAGAGCGCAGATAATGGATGGATACTCACCGACGAGCTGCGCGCCTCGTCGTATTGCGGAGCGCGCGCGCAGACATAACGCTACCGCTCGACGGTAAGTGGCTTCATTGAGTCATCTTTACAACCCATAGAAGTGTTATATTGCTCCCAGTCGTCAAATTCCCGATACCGATCCGCGACGCTTGAGACCGCAGATACAAGCGGCGCGCGCCTGCGCCGCCTCACCGACGAGCTGCTTGCATCTCGTATTGCGGAGCGCGCGCGCAGGTGAGTGGCTTCACTGAGTCGTCTTTACAGCCCATAGTAGTGTTATATAGCACCCACTCATCGAAATCCCGCTCCCGATCCGCGACTCCCGAGAGCGCAGAGACCACGCGCCTGCGCCGCCACACCGATGAGCTGCGCGCCTCGCGTATCGCGGAGCGCGCGCGCAGGCATAACGCTACTGCTCGACGGTAAGTGGCTTCATTGAGTCATCTTTACAGCCTGTAGAAGTCTATTGCTCCCAGTCATCGAAGTCCCACTCCCGATCCGCGACGTCTGAGAGTGCAGAATAGCGGCGCGCGCCTACGCCGCCTCACCGACAAGCTGCGCGCCTCGCGTACTGCGGAGCGCGCTCGCAGGCATAACGCTACCGCTCGACGGTAAGAGATATCGCCGAATCATCTTTTCAGCTTATAGAAGTCTATTTGCCTTCAACCATCGAAGTCCCGATCCTGCTCGGCCACACCGAGAGCAGCGGCACGAGGCTTCGTGAATTGTCGAACGCGAGCGCAGACATAAAGCAACTGCTCGTCGGCAAGTGACAATATTGAGAAATCTTTTTAGTGTGTAAAAGTCTATAGCTCCAGTCGTCTAAGTCCCGCTCCCGATCCGCGACTCACGAGAGCGCAGAGACCACGCGCCTGCGCCGCCTCACCGACGAGCTGCGCGCCTCGCGTATTGCGGAGCGCGCGCGCAGGCATAACGCTACTGCTCGACGGTAAGTGGCTTTACTAAGTCATCTTTACAGCCTGTAGAAGTCTATTGCTCCCTGTCATCACCAATCCGCGTCACACCGGAGAACAGCGGCACGAGGCCTCGTGAATTGCCGAACGCGAGCGCAGACATAAAGCAACTGCTCGTCGGCAAGTGACAATACTGAGAAATCTTTTTAGTGTGTAAAGGTCTATAGCTCCAGTCGTCTAAGTCCCGCTCCCGATCAGCGACTCCCGACACTCCCGAGAGCGCAGAAACCACCGCCGCGCGCCTACGCCGCCTCACCGACGAGCTGCGCGCCTCGCGTATTGCGGAGCGCGCGCGCAGGCCTAACGCTACTGCTCGACGGTGTCACTGAGACAGCATCACTTTAAGCTACTAGAAGTCTACTATGGGACAAAAGCCTCCCAAGGAAGGGGGCTACCAGCTTTCTTATTGAGGTACACATCGGTCCATCGCGCCATCAGCACATTTTTCACGCAGACCCATACGTTAATTCAAAGCTGGAGATATTGTCGGTCTCACAATATTCATTTTCCCGATTTCAAACACTAAAGATGAAGCGTGTTACGGGACTCGCTCGATCATCTAAACGGGTTCGAAACGTTACGAGTCCAATGAGCTCTTCCCTCAAAAACTTCGGCTATGGTCTTATAGCAAATAGCTTTAGGTTGTAAAGATTACATTTGCATCTATCGGAAAACCCATCTTGATGTTATTCTAAAAATAGCATGAAAACTTTTTAAATTCTACTTAAAATACATATTCCAGCGCAATGTCGACGGAGCCGCGCGACACACTCTCAGTGGCACCAGCTAGCCGAACACCATCGCGCGCTCCTTCTCTCAAGAAACGATCCGTTTCCTTGGAACAGACTACTAAGGACCAGGTATGTACTGCATATTACTTATACTTATTAATAATGATTGCTACAGGTTATCTGAATTAAGCGAAACTAAAAAATCATTTATTGTACACACAGAGCGTAATTTGGAAGACGGTGGATGACAGCAGCGTATCTTCAATGCAATCCTTGGATGGAGACAACGACGTTCGCTTGTTCACGATGCAACGCGACACTAGTATGGACAGGTATTTACTAAATATGTACATACAAAAAAATCTATTTTGTTTTTAAGTCCAGTACGAAATAGGTCTATGATATTTATCTTGTTTCAGTCGACTTTCTGGTGGATCGGCCCAGAGTGACGTACTCCCAACAGATAAGAAGAAAAAGAAAAGCATTTTCAACAAACTGAAAAAGCTGACCAAATCGCGATCTATAGATGACCAAGTGGACTCCGATACTGTTGATTTCAGGCCTATCGGCACAGTATCACAGGTAATATACATATAACAGATCTCGTTCGGGTGTAAAATTGTTAAGTAAATGAAACTGTAACAATGTTTTTGTACCAGGGTTCGGATTCGGACATGAGTGCAGCAGGCAGCAAACGAGATTTACGTGGTCGACTGTCAGACATGTTCAGTAGGAAAGGGCAAGCGTCTCGAGGCAACAGGTAATATAGTAGTGAATGACGTTTCTTCTTCGCTGATGTATGTACTTACTAATCGAAATATTTTCGTGGTATTGTCAACATAATCATTTCTTGGATGTACTATAAAGTTTAAATATTTTCGTGAATATGTCTGGTTTATGTCAAGCTAAAAATGTATAAGATTTTAATGCTTTGTTTCTCAGCAAAGAGAAGAGCCCAGAGCGGCCGGCCAGTGCGATGGCGAGCGTGGGCTCCCGGCCCATGCTACGTAACTCCAGCAATTCGCTGTTGCCGCGCGCCTCGCCCGCTAAAGCCGTATGTATCGATCACACCTGCTAGTAGTGGCTTATTCCACTATTCCCCGTTGACAATCCCCGTTAACGCCAATTGGAGCTTATAATGGGGAATAATGAACTAAAAAGTTCATTAGTCCCCGTTATATTAGGATTTTATTTTGAACGTTCCAATAAGTTCCAATTTAACGTTAACGGGGAATAGTGAACAAAAAGTTCACATTCTATTTATTTTCACTAATTTTTGCCCACGCCCGCGTAAATTCAGTTTGTCGCAGATCGTTATAACTGCTATCTTTTTCTGATGTTTAAACAATAATACTGTATATCATCAAAATCCGTTCAGTAGTTTTTGCGTGAAATATTAACATTCTTACTTTTATGATGACATAGTCTTAATCATGTTAAACTGTAACGTGATCATATAATTACTTACGTAGTTTTCTTCTCCAGATTGAAAGTTTGTTGTATTTTGTGTGCTCCGCAGAACGAAGTGCCGAGCTCAAGGGCATCCAGTGCGACTCCCGCCGCGAAGAGAAAAGGGAAATAACTAATACTATTCGTGTTTCGCTTCATTATTGTGTATTTATCCATTCTCCTATGACTTCCACATAGCATGTAATATCACAATACATATCAATCTGTATAACTATCGACAACACGGTGCCGTAGAATTTTTCTAAATATTTTTAGCAACGCAAATTATAACTCTCTTGACATATAATGCGGTACAGTAAAATTAATTTTACTTATTCCTAAAACAGAACGATAATAATCGGCGAGTAGAATGAGGTTCTCGTCCGACCTACATCAAATAAAAGCTTGTAAAATATCAGTCGTATTTTTTTTACTAGAATCTGCAGTATTTAAACGATTATTCTACTATCTTCTAAATGCACTGGTGATAAAATTTTAATTGAACTCCAATTTTACATTAAGTACAGTCGTTAAAAGACGAACACTTTTAATAAACGTAGCCAGAACAGGTCGATAGTTATGCAAGGCTAGTCTTACATTAGTCACAATATATTTCTACAGTGACAGCCTAAATATTCCTTATTCCTACGTCCTCTCCTTAGTGAATATCGCAAGGATTCCGACGTGTCTGTACGTCGGGAAGTTCAGTAGCAACGTTTGTAGTTATGTAATTGTAATTTTTTAATAAAATTGTTGATCGAAATTTTGTCTTGTCATTTACAAAGTAAGATTTTAAACTTTCGCGTTCCATTTCAATTAAATAGGAACACATTAAGTAACTCGTATTTAAATGTCGTTTTTCTCTAATTTAATTACAAAGTGCCTCCGTAAGATAGCGTTTGTAATATCTAGAAAAAAACACCAAAACCCGCCACGACTCGATCGCCCAACTAAATAAAATGAAAATAAATGTTGTATCATCTGTCTATTTCGAATGTTTTTACAATATAAGCCAGATGAGTGAGTACCGGTTCGTATAGAAACCAAACAACGAAATAAACTAAAGTAAATGTGAGGAGGCGTAGGAGGTGCGCGCGCGGCTAGCGCTAGCTCTGGTCCATGAGGTTGGCGTCCACGCCGCCGCCGCTCGCGTCCTTCAGGATGGCCTCGAAGATGGGCTGCAGGTCCGGGAACGACTTGATCTGCGTCACGAAGTCCATCAGGTGAGGGTTCTTTTCTGTAAATTAAATTATCGTGACGTAAAATATGCCCTCTAGTCAAAGTAGGCTTTGAAGGTAATTTCAGAATTACAAGTGTCAAGTTTGTGACTTTGTCTAGGCACCCTGGTTCTAGGTTCTGGTATACCTAGGAACATAACAAGGATCACTTGAATAAACCATAAACACGTTCTTCTATTGTACTTAAAATCGAACTGAAAAGAGACTGTGCCTTACAATCCCCTAAGATCCACATTTGGAGATCCACAAGCTGGAGCAAAGCAGAGAAATGTTTTGAATAACCAATCAGATTTCATTCTATCAATTCGAATGGCTGGTTTCCCTGCATGATAGATAAGATAGATTCCCTTGCTCCTCGATATACCCATGAGTTTAAGGCTCCCCGCAATCTACAGACTTACGCCTGTATTCACAAACATTACTATGAGGTCTCACAGTGCGCATGGATGCACCAATCACAGAGCTCTATTCAACGCTGTGCGTTCGATTTGCTGCTTCACTTAAGCAAGCATCGTTTGTGAATACGGGCGTTAGTTTGGTAGGGCTGGGCTTACCGGCTTCAGGTATCTGCAGCAGCGCGGCGGCCGCCCGCAGCGCGGAGCGCTTGAGCTCGTCCTGCTTCTCGTACTCCTGCTTCACCGAGTTGGCCTTCACCTTCATCGTGCACGTCGCCCTAAGAGGCTCCACTAAGCTTTCTAGCCCTGTAAATAAATATTAATATGAATAGAACGAATAAAAAGACACGTGGCATGTTTATGTGCTTGAAAAATAGGTTCTCGAATTGATAAAATACGTCTCCTAGTGCACAAGGGTTCAAAAATGTAAAAGGAGTCCTAATTTACACGAGGGGGCAAAATGAGACGCCCAGTATGTCCCAAGGCGTAAAATATAAGTCGCCTAGTCGTGCGAAATGAGTTCCCACTAATCTCCTAGTCTTGATCTTCAAGCGTGGCGTCTACTAGAGTACCTGAGAGTGTATTCTAAGTACGGGACAGTGTATTCTAAGTACCCGAGAGTGTGTTCTAAATACCCGAGACTGTATTCTAAGTACCCGATACTGTATTCTAAATACCCGAGATTGTATTCCAAGTACCCGAGAGTGTATTCTACTCACTCTGCAGCACGACAGCGGGGCACAGCTGAGCCAGCCGCGCGCACATGAGGTAGGTGAGCATCTTGATGTCGTAGTGGTCGCGCAGGCCGTCCTCCACGTGGCGCAGGAACTCGAACACGTCGAGGCGGTCCAGGCAGCTGCCGAGCAGTGTGTACATGCACTCGAAGGCCGCCTTGCGTAAGTCCAGGCCGTCGTCGACCGAGTGCTTGAATGGACCCATTTCTACTTCGCGGATGAGCTCTTTCTGTTTTGAAAAGAGAATGGGATTATTAGACTAATCGCGGGCAATCTTTAGGTATAGTAACTTAGCACAACTGTTTTTCTTATGTCGATGTGGAAGCAACGGTGACGTGTTCACACTAATCTTTACAGGGCCCACGTCATCTGAAGACGTCAGACTAAACGTTGGCTTTTTCTGGAGCAAGCATATAGTTTCATGGCAGCAGCAGGTTGGAGATGAGCAAAGACTTCAAGGTGAGGTGGAGGGAACACGTCAGATTGAACTAATGCATAGCATACCTTGACATTGGTCTTGCTGTAGATGGTGGGCAGCTGGTCGTAGATGAGCGGATGTTGTGCGTAGCGGAGTTGAACGCCATATAAGCTTCTTCATGTCACCAACTTTGCAAATGCCTTGTCAATAATCGATAAGATACCATACCTTGACTTAGGTCTCGCTGTACCCAGGTGGGCAGCAGGACCCGGACAAGCGAGATTCCATGCTGAATATAAGGCACACATTAAAATTAACTTTCGACTTTTTCTAGAATGACGTGTTAGTTGTGGAAGAGTTCCCGTACCTTGACTTTGGTCTCGCTGTAGATGGTGGGCAGCACGCTGGGCAGCAGGTCGCGGATGAGCGAGGGCTTGTTGTGCGCGGCGGAGTTGAAGGCCACCAGCGCCACGCGCCGCACGCCCAGCGCCGGGTCGCGCAGCGGGACCAACAGCTCGGCCATGCACGCGCGGAGCAAAGGGTCGATGGCTTGTGGCTGCGTAACACGAGAATGGACTTATAATAACAGTGGACTCGACAACAGCGAGTCTGTCAGCTAATATATGAAACTAGCTTTTGCCCGTGGCTTCACCCGCGTGATGTCTAGTGTCACAGATCGGCATAAATTATAGCCTATATGTTAATCTTAGGGTTACAAACAATAATACTGTAAAGTTTCAACAAAATCCGTTCAGTTTTTGCGTGAAAGAGTAACAAACATCCAGGCATCCAAACTTTCGCATTTATAACATTAGTAGAATTGACAAGAGTAGGCGTCTAGTCGTCGCGATTGTCACCCAGTGTGCGCAGTCGCTCACTACACATATTATGTATTTACACAATATTTGACAACGTTAAAACACGCACTAAAAACGATGATGAATGAGGGCTACCGTAATTGCGATTATTACTCATGGTGCCACTTGCACTGTCTTGCCAGTAACAAGCGACAGGAGCTTACTCGCTTTGCTCCCCGAAGCGGTAGGAAGACAATCACATTTGTTGCACTCACTGGGTTGATGCAGTTGTATACTATTTGCAATGTGTATGACTTTTTAAAATATACAATTATAATGATTTGGCCAAAGCCGTGGCTAAAGTAAATAGCGTTATAACTATAGCTTTTTGTAAACTTGACAAACGCTAAGTGAATTAAATTATAGCAGAAGGCTTTAGTAAACATTCGTACAGTGTGATAGGAATAATAAACGTATGGTGATACAAAATACAAATAAAATAAATTACCTGATCCGAGATGGTGAATTTGACGGCAGTTACAGCGGTTGTTCTAGTCAGTGGCTCGGGCGATTTCAGGAACTCTTTCAAATGCGGCAATAAGTCTTGGGGTTCTAACAAGCATAATTTTCCTAAGCATTCGGCAACCTTGAAAAGAAATACATTTTGTTATTTTCTAACGAATACAACCCACAATGTTCATTATTTTATTAAATTCAAATAATACTTACAACATTACGGGATCCTTCTTCGGCACATTGACAATGTTTAGATAGTTGCACCCAGATTTCAGGGATAAATGGCCTAAGTGCTTCTACACCTTCAGGTGTGCAAGATTCACATGAAATAATCTGTAACAATAAACAGGTGAGGTTAGCAAGGTACTTACTTCTTTCTCGTATGTTAAAATTCATTGCTAAGTAATATGCGTGCTTCATTTTATGAGCCATACGGCCCAAACTCACGACAAAGCATGTTACGTGGATTATCAATAATATTTAGACTTTAAGACAAAGCAGTAAAGTTCAAAATATGTTGACAATATGTTGCCCATAAGGTGGAACAACACCTCACAAAGGTAGCACAAAGGTGCTGGATGCAGGCCGCTACCGACCAGTCAATATGAAATCATATATTGGGGGAGACCTATACTCAGCAGTGGACGTCCTGTAGCTGAAATATTATGATGATGATGTATGTATGTATGTATGTAATATGGATCAGCCTTTGAGTTAAGCTTATACATGGTGTGGTTTTTTTTTTTTTTTCATTTATTTTCATAGGACCACAAACAGATTCACAATCAGAATTTATATAAAGAAGATAGTATAAAATAATGTACATTATTATTATGAATCCAACAGCGCTGGTCTCAGTTTACTTATCAACTAGTGTTAAGGTGGAGTTCGTCTTTTACATAATTTTAACTAAGTATGCATGTAAAATAACTTATACAAAGCAATATTTTGTACCTACACAGTAGATAAATCAAAACAGTACGGAAGCTTCATACAAATGCTCGAAATCAGACTCACGCACACAGACGCACGCTTTACACGAGCTCTAAGCGAACCTCGCAGTCCATCCGTCGCGGGTGTCGCGCGCGTTGCGTTTTTAATAATAATTTTTAGGCATCCACTGTCCGCTGTATTGTTAAAAACATGCCACGAATGTATTGCGTAGTATACGGCTACTTTAACTCGGCATCTTCAAGACCAGAACTTACATTTTTTAAACTTCCTAATAATTCTGAATGGTAATAATGATTAAATATTACTTTTTAAATAAAATGCTTACATCTGATATGGTAATAGTTATTTTTAAATTACGTAATTACGCTTCTTAACAATTTGTGTGTTCTATTTGATAAAGTAATTTGCTCAGCGCGCTTTTGTACTAAGTGATGAATTGTACCTAATTTAATATTTTTTTAACTACTTAGTCAAATAATTTATTAAATTACGTATTTGATAATTAAATAACCTAAATAAACGTTTTAATAAATAAGTAAGTAAAAACCTTATCTAATATATAAAGATTAAGAGTGACAACCCTAACACTCAGTTGAAGTGTAGGTATTTAACTCGACGAAAGGGCTTAGTTTCCGTACTGCTTTAGCTCATATATTTACTGTGGTACCTACATAATTTCAACAACCCAACCGTGCATGTTGGTTGGCGATGTGCAAGAGATACCACACACCTGTCCGCCCTACGGTGATCGAAGTGAAACCTTGGGTTCAGAGGCATTTCTCGCGAGTGGGTGCATCTACAGAGCAGGCGTGTGATATCAATTATAGCCTGACCAGGNTTCTCTCCTTAGTGAACATCGCAAGGATTCCGACGTGTCTGTACGTCGGGAAGTTCAGTAGCAACGTTTGTAGTTATGTAATTGTAATTTTTTAATAAAATTGTTGATCGAAATTTTGACTTGTCATTTACAAAGTAAGATTTTAAACTTTCGCGTTCCATTTCAATTAAATAGGAACACATTAAGTAACTCGTATTTAAATGTCGTTTTTCTCTAATTTAATTACAAAGTGCCTCCGTAAGATAGCGTTTGTAATATCTAGAAAAAAACACCAAAACCTGCCACGACTCGATCGCCCAACTAAATAAAATGAAAATAAATGTTGTATCATCTGTCTATTTCGAATGTTTTTACAATATAAGCCAGATGAGTGAGTACCGGTTCGTATAGAAACCAAACAACGAAATAAACTAAAGTAAATGTGAGGAGGCGTAGGAGGTGCGCGCGCGGCTAGCGCTAGCTCTGGTCCATGAGGTTGGCGTCCACGCCGCCGCCGCTGGCGTCCTTCAGGATCGCCTCGAAGATGGGCTGCAGGTCCGGGAACGACTTGATCTGCGTCACGAAGTCCATCAGGTGAGGGTTCTTTTCTGTGAATTAAAAGATCGTTACATAAAATCTGCCCTCTAGTCAAAGTATCATTCCCGAGTCCATAAGAGATACTAAAAACGCGGAGCGAAGCGATTTATTACAACTGTACTCAAGCTTGTAACTGTCTAAAGACCGGTCGCCGAGCACCTAGAATTTCGTCCAATGACCCCAAGCTACCCATCCTTATCGCGTTATTCAAACTCATCCTTATTCTATCGGATCTAAAAAGCGACTGTGCGAGCGTGACAGCAATATAATTACGCCCGCCACAGTGCATTATTTGTATGTATGCTAAAAGTTTAAATAAATAAATAAGATTTATTATTTATTTATTATTATTAAGGATGGGTAGCTTGGGGTCATTGGACGAAATTCTGTCTGCTCGGCGACCGGACTTTAGGCACCCTGGTTTTTTAGATCCGATAGAATAAGGATGAGTTGTGAAATAAACCTTAAAATTATTATACTTTAATCGAACTGAAAAGAGCCGATGCCTTTACAATCAGATTTTTTTTAAGCTGTTTCTCTTGCATGACAGTAAAGATATTATTATACTCTCTTCTTCTCCTTCCTTCGATATACTCATAGGCTTAAACCTTTTTCTGGTGGTGACAGGAATTGATGCCACCATAATTGGAACTTTAGTTTGATAACATAACGTTCGAAACCAATGAAAAATATCTTCCTTACCGGCTTCGGGTATCTGCAGCAGCGCCGCGGCCGCCCGCAGCGCGGAGCGCTTGAGCTCGTCCTGCTTCTCGTACTCCTGCTTCACTGAGTTGGCCTTCACCTTCATCGTGCACGTCGCTCTAAGAGGCTCCACTAAGCTTTCTAGCCCTGAGAAAAGATATTATTATAAGTAGAAAGAATAAAAAGGCACGTGGCATGTTTATGTGCTTGAAGATAGCTTCTCGAATTGATAAAATACGTCTCCTAGTGCACAAGGGTTTAAAAATTAATCGCTTAGTGTATCTGGGGGGGTAAAATGAGTTTTAATCTACGCGAGGGTGTAAAATTAAACAGTGTTCCCAAAGGGGTAAAATGAGACGCCTAGTATGTCCCAGGGCATAAAATAAGTGTCATGAGTCACCTAGTCGTGCAAAATGAGTTTCCACTAATCTCCTAGTCTCGATCTTCAAGCGTGTCATCTACTAGAGTACCTGAGAGTGTATTCTAAGAACTAGAGTGTATTTTAGGTACGCGAGAGTGTATTTCTAAGTACCGGAGAGTGTATTCTAAGTACCCGAGACTGTATTCCAAGTACCCGATAGTGTATTCTAAGTACCCAAGTGTATTCTACTCACTCTGCAGCACTACAGCGGGGCACAGCTGAGCCAGCCGCGCGCACATGAGGTAGGTGAGCATCTTGATGTCGTAGTGGTCGCGCAGGCCGTCCTCCACGTGGCGCAGGAACTCGAACACGTCGAGGCGGTCCAGGCAGCTGCCGAGCAGTGTGTACATGCACTCGAAGGCCGCCTTGCGTAGGTCCAGGCCGTCGTCGACCGAGTGCTTGAATGGACCCATTTCTACTTCGCGGATGAGCTCTTTCTGTTATGAATAGAGAATGGGATTATTAGACTAATCGCGGGCAATCTTTAGGTATAGTAACTTAGCACAACTGTTTTTCTTATGTCGATGTGGAAACAACGGTGACGTGTTTACACTAATCTTTACAGGGCCCACGTCATCTGAAGACGTCAGACTAAACGTTGGCTTTTTCTAGAGCAAGCATAAAGCTTCATGGCAGCAGCAGGTTGCAGATGAGCAAAGACTTCAAGGTGAGGTGGAGGGAACACGTCAGATTGAACGAATGCTTCAGTAGGTACCACTTTGGACTCTTTCTGACGTTTTCTAAATGAGATAGCATACCTTGACTTTGGTCTTGCTGTAGATGGTGGGCAGCTGGTCGTAGATGAGCGGATGTTGTGCGTAGCGGAGTTGAACGCCATAAGCTTCTTCATGTCACCAACTTTGCAAATGCCTTGTCAGCAATCGATAAGATACCATACCTTGACTTAGGTCTCGCTGTACCCAGGAGGTGGGCAGCAGGACCCGGACAAGCGAGATTCCATGCTGAATATAAGGCACACATTAAAATTAACTTTCGACTTTTTCTAGAATGACGTGTTAGTTGTGGAAGAGTTCCCGTACCTTGACTTTGGTCTCGCTGTAGATGGTGGGCAGCACGCTGGGCAGCAGGTCGCGGATGAGCGAGGGCTTGTTGTGCGCGGCCGAGTTGAAGGCCACCAGCGCCACGCGCCGCACGCCCAGCGCCGGGTCGCGCAGCGGGACTAACAGCTCGGCCATGCACGCGCGGAGAAGCGGGTCGATGGCTTGCGGCTGCGTGACACGAGAACGGACGTATAACGTCATTGAACGTTTACTCTACTCATATTTATATAAGGGTATTTGATAACGTTAAGGCACGCACTAGAAATCGATGATCAAAAATGAATGAGAGTTGCCGTATTTGCGATGTTTTTTTTATTATCATTAATCATGACGTGACGGGGGCTTACTCGCCTTGCTCCCAAAGGAAAATCACATTTGCACTTACTGGGTAGATGCAGTTATGTGTGTGTAAAAAATGTAATTGAAATACACAATGATAATGATTTGGCAAATATAAATAGATATAGCGTTTTAACTTTAACTAAAGCTTTTTGTAAACTTGACAAACGCTAAGTGAATTAAATCATAGCAGAAGGCTTTAGTAAACATTGGTACAGTGTGATAGGCACAATAAACGTATGGTGGTTATTGGTGGTGCAAAATATTTAAATAAAATTTATCAGTTTTAAGTATTTCTATGTAGTTTAAACCACAAATAATACAACCCAGTCACAGTTCCCTTACCTGATCCGAGATGGTGAATTTGACGGCAGTTACAGCAGTTGTTCTAGTCAGTGGCTCGGGCGATTTCAGGAACTCTTTCAAATGCGGCAATAAGTCTTGGGGTTCTAACAAGCATAATTTTCCTAAGCATTCGGCAACCTTGAAAAGAAATACATTTAGTTATTTTATGACCCACAGTATTCATTTTATTTTACTAAATTGAAATAATACTTACAACATTACGGGATCCTTCTTCGGCACATTGACAATGTTTAGATAGTTGCACCCAGATTTCAGGGATAAATGGCCTAAGCGCTTCTACGCCTTCAGGTGTGCAAGATTCACATGAAATAATCTGTAACAATAAACAGGCAAGCTTAGCAAGATACAATTTTAATCATAGTACTTTTTTCTCATATGTTACATTATAATATTGCTAAGTAATATGCATGCTTCATTTTATAAGCCATACGGCCCAAGCTCACGACAAAGTATGTCACGTAGATTATCAAGAATATTTAGACTAAGAAAAAGCAGTAAAGTTCAAAATATGTTGCCCACAAGTTGGAACGACACCTAATAAAGGTGGCAGGAAGGTGCTGGATGCAGGTCGCTACCAACCGGTCAATATGGAAATTAATTAATAAATTTTCGCGGGGGTGGAGCGGGCGGTAACAAGCGCCGTCTCGAAAGTTTTAGGAGACGTTCAAACAAGATGTTTTACTAATAATTTTCTTGTAATGACTTTCATGTGTACTACCACCTAGATGGGCGCGGTTTTATAAAACCACACCCTGTATTATTACAACCTACTTCTCTTCCACGTTACCTCTCTCAGCGAGTGCAGCAGGAGGTACTGCCGCTTGGGCTGCGCCTCGATCTCGCGCAGGATGAAGGGCAGGAACTCGGGCAGGTTGCCCACCGCCACCGAGCCCAGCGCGTAGCTCGCGGCGGACTTCACCTCCTCGGAGGAGGGAGTGAACGAGTTCAGCAGCACCTCCTTCAGGTTCGGGATCGAGCTTAGATCTCTGGGGGAGGGAAAGCAACGTGTTAGGGTATGTTAACGTTGCTACGTAACGTGCACAGGTCATGCGTAGTTTACGAGACAGCAAATTAATATATGCACCGGTTGTTTTGAAATTTTCTGTACGTAACGCCGCTTACATAGTTTCTATTCTATCTGTCACTGTCGCTCATGCTGGCATCTGGGTTTGAGTGAGAGGGATGGATTAGAAATTTTAGATAACGTTTTTGGGACAAAGCCTTGCTGCATTTTGAGAACAAGTTCTTACTTGTCGAGTTAACTTGAAGAAATACAGCTCATAAGAGCTTAGCTAGCCTTTATAAGCACGTGAGCAAGATTATTTCACCTGTCTTATACCTCCGTAACTGTCATAGAAAATAGAAGATACAAGAATGGGATCATGATGCAGAGATATTCTAACTTGTTAATTATTATTATCTATGGGAAATACTCACAGATGGCGCCCTGTCTCAGCGAGTGCGAGCAGCGCGAAGATATAGGAGTGGGAACATGAGGCAGGAATACTCTAACTCGTTGGATATCTGTGGAAGGTACTCACAGATGGCGCCCTATCTCAGCCAGCGCCAGCAGCGCGAACATATGCGTGGGGTCGCTGGGCGGGTGCGCGGCGTCGCGCAGGAAGCCGCGCACCACCTCCAGCGCCTCCGCCTGCCCGCCCGCCACCACCACGGCCGCCACGCACTTGCCAGCGAGTGTAGGTACTCACAAGTGGCGCCCTATCTCAGCGAGTGCGAGCAGCGCGAACATATGCGTGGGGTCGCTGGGCGGGTGCGCGGCGTCGCGCAGGAAGCCGCGCACCACCTCCAGCGCCTCCGCCTGCCCGCCCGCCACCACCACGGCCGCCACGCACTTGGCCAGCGAGTGGAACGCCTGGAATAAACACACGTTTTTAAATACTGTAAGGAATTCAAGTAAGCGAATCAAGATGCGTGACTGTAAACTTATGATCGCTTCAATGAGGGTTTTCGCGAATGAGAGATCCGCTAGATGGCGGGACGTGGATGTGGGGTCTGACTGCTGCGTGATTGGTGGATTTTGACATATCTGTCAATGTCATGTCAAAAATAACCAATCACGCAGCATTTGGACCTCGCGTCTACGTATTGCCATCTGGCGGATTTTTCATTCGCGAAAACCCTCATTGAATCTGTCACATGCTACTTTATCTACCTGCATGCTTTTATCGCCGGTGGTGAAGTAGAGCTTCTAAAACTCTACGTCACCTGAGAGACAATATATCCCACCACACTTCCACCGCTGTAACTCCTATGTAGCCAGGATCTACATCTTGGCCTACAATAAAACCCAACCACTGCAGTTCCTCCACCAGCACGCTCAGCATCGCCTGCGCTACTGTGCGTCTCCTGCTTGATGTGGAGGGCGCCGCCTGAATAAATTAACAAAATGGCTAATCTCAATATCAAATGACGAACGACGGAGGAACGAAATTGACGGTTTTCAAAAACCCTCAAAACTTGCGTAACTTCATAACCTTCGTTGTAAAACTTACTTTCATCATTATTTATAAATGGACCTTGAAAATGGTTATTTTCAGATAGAAATGAACTTCAGAAATCAACGAACCAATATACATTTGTCATGGATAAAGTTGTCTGCAAATCAAAACTATGTTTTTAAGGTTTGTTAGTGCCCCTTAGCAAAAGACACATAAAATATCTGTTCATATCTGAACAAAAATTTGTGTATATCTTGATGACATCATAACTGTGTGTCAAGCTCTTGGTGAGCATTTTGTTTAGCATAGCTTTCTGGAAACGGTTTGAAATCAGCTTTAAAATAATAACTTATTTATTAAATTTTTTACTTGACGTATTATAAAATACCATAAATTAGCAAGAGCTATCATTGCCTAAGACTAGACTAGAGAAGGACTGGCTGCGATATAAAACTCGCGCTTCGAAGATTTACAGTGGGACCTGTAAGTGAATAAAACATACCTTGCAGCAGCGGTGACTTGGCTAGCGCGAGGATATTAGGCGTGAGCGCCTGGCGGGCGTCAGCCGTAAGCGCGGCAGGACAACGCACGCATGCGCCTCGAACTAAAGCGAGCGCTGTCTGCGCGCAGTGTAGATCCGACTCGCACACAAGCGGCGGGACCTCCATTAGCACCTGTATACAAATACAATTACATTTTAGAGATGTTTATAGCCATAGTAATATGGAATATTTTTGCTAACCTCTCGAGTAGCCACCGGATTATAATAATAATGGTCCTCATAATTCGTTTAGATCGCTCTATGTTGATCCAAGGCAGCAGGGCGCCTAAATGAGCTACATTATGCATGTTCCATGACGCTCATTGTTCTATGGTTCTAATCAGTGCTAGGTGCACATATAGTTAAACATCATAATATGAGAAAAATGAAAAAGTAAACAATGTTAGACATACCTTACTTAGTAATTCTATACTGATATCATTACTGTAATTTTGGACTAGTGTGTCCAACAACACCAAGGTAGATAATTTCAGAGCTCGTTGGTTCTTTCTCAGGAAAGAGCCAAGGATTGGCACCACATCAGACTAAAACAAACAAGTTATTATTAAAATTAATACCTATACAAGACATACATAGATATGTTAAGTAAAAGATGTGATATCATAATACGTACCAAAATAGGTCGTAAATCGATGCGTAAAGGTGATGAAGCTATTTTAGTAAGAGCCTTAACAGTAGTTAGGCGTGTGATTTCGTTTCGCAGTCGCTCTAAGAATATTGGAAGGCACACTGGAAGTTCGTTCTGTAAACAAAGAAAGATATTTTAATAATTTAAACATAAGTGTCCTATAAATTGACGAAGTGCTAAATAAGGTCTAATTTTGAATCATAACACCAACACTTCACGGGTGATATCACGATTGTATTTCATAATCTCAAGGTTATTTAAATGCTGAATTGGGTCAACTAACAAAATAAATCAGTTAATGCAAGTCACGAAATAATGCAGTCCTAAAAACCCTATTCAATTACCTGTATTTGTTTTTTAGTTGCAAATCATTAATAGTTGGTCAATGAGTCAAATGAGTGGTCAAACGATTTTTTTAATAGTTCGAACTCCATCGCCGCTGGACTATTAAACGATGGAGTTACTTCACTCCTAACACAAGCACATGTATATTTTCGCTTCGCTGGAGAGTTAATGGGACTTCTAGCCGCGCAGACCTGCAAATAGTCGCCGAAGTGGCAGATGAGCTGTCCGCAAGTAGCGATGGCGCGTTCCTTGACCTCTTGGTCCATGTCGGTGGCGCGCAGCCGCACTAAAGTACACTCGTACATCGCCGGGATGAACTGCTGCAGCTCTTCGGGCGGCGGCTCCACGTGGACCTCGTCGGAGCCCTCGATCATTTCGATGTTATCTGTGGAATACAGAGTTGTGAAGATCCATATCTCAGACTAGCTTCAGAGATTAATACTGAGAGGGACTGAGCGGAGCGGGAACGAAGAAATCTCTCACATCTCTATTCCTTTTTGCTTTGGTGGAGATATCTACCCACTATGTCGAGCGACATAATCTAAGTCCTCCTCCTTCTCGATGCTCATCTGCAGCACGATCCTTAACCAGAGGTGCGATTGTGTAAAGTTGTTCATGGATGGACAATGAATACAATTGATCATCGANCACAATACTGTATGATATTATTACCGTGCCAGCACCGCCGGCGTCAGCGCCGCCACGTGCGCCCGCAGCAGGCACACCACGAACACCAGAGTATCTTCATGGAGGATGCTGTGCGTTTGTCGCTCACTCACCCAGCGGCCGGATGACCTTGACGAGTGTCTGCAGCACGCGCAGCGCCTCGGCCGTGACCTTGTAGAAGGGGTCGTGCACGCACGCCAGCANAAGGCGCCGCCTGAATAAATTAACAAAATGGCTAATCTCAATATCAAATGACATGACAATACTAACCGATTTGTCAGATACGGAACGAAATTGTCGGTTTTCAAAAACCCTCAAAACTTGCGTAACTTCAGAACCTTCGTTGTAAAACTTACTTTCATCATTTATAAAGGATCTTGAAAATGGTTCTTTTCAGATAGAAATGAATTTCAGAAATCGACGAACCAATATGAATTAGAACCAAGATAAAATTGTCTGCAAACCAAGACTATGCTTTTAGGATTTGTTAGTGCCCCTTAGCAAAAGACACATAAAATATCTGTTTATATCTCAACAAAACGATTATGTATATCTTGATGACATTATAAAAGCGTGTCAAGCTCTTTGTGAGCATTTTGTTTAGAATAGCTTTCTGGAAACGGTTTGAAATCAGCTTTAAAACAATAAGTTATAAAATACCATAAATTAGCAAGAGCTATCATTGCCTAAGACTAGACTAGAGAAGGACTGGCTGCGACATCAAACTCGCGCTTCGAAGATTTACAGTGGGACCCGTAAGTGAATAAAACATACCTTGCAGCAGCGGTGACTTGGCTAGCGCGAGGATATTAGGCGTGAGCGCCTGGCGGGCATCAGCCGTAAGCGCGGCAGGACAGCGGACACATGCGCCTCGAACTAAAGCGAGCGCTGTTTGCGCGCAGTGTAGATCCGACTCGCACACAAGCGGCGGGACCTCCATTAGCACCTGTATACAAATACAATTACATTTTAGACATGCTTATAGCCTTAATCATAAGTAATATATTTGCTAACCTCATAATTCGTTTAGAAAGCTCTATGTTGATCCAAGACAGCAGGGCGCCTAAATGAGCTACATTATGCATAATTCCTGCCACTCTTTGTTCTATGGTTATCTTCAGTGCTAAGTGCACACAGTTAAACATCATTATTATGAGAAAATAGTAATAGTATACAATGTTCGACATACCTTACTAAGTAATTCTATACTGATATCATTACTGTAATTTTGGACTAGCGTGTCCAACAACACCAAGGTAGATAATTTCAGAGCTCGTTGGTTCTTTCTCAGGAAAGACCCAAGGATTGGCACCACATCAGACTAAAACAAACAAGTTATTATTAAAATTAATACCTATACAAGACATACATAGATATGTTAAGTAAAAGACGTGATATCATAATACGTACCAAAATAGGTCGTAAATCGATGCGTAAAGGTGATGAAGCTATTTTAGTAAGAGCCTTAACAGTAGTCAGGCGTGTGATTTCGTTGCGCAGTCGCTCTAAGAATATTGGAAGGCACACTGGAAGTTCGTTCTGTAAACAAAGAAAGATATTTTAATAATTTAAACATAAGTGTCCTATAAATTCACGAAGTGCTAAATAAGGTCTAATTTTGAATCATAACACCAACACTTCACGGGTGATATCACGATTGTATTTCATAATCTCAAGGTTATTTAAATGCTGAATTGGGTCAACTAACAAAATAAATCAATTAATGCAAGTCACGAAATAATGCAGTCCTAAAAAAACCCTTTTCAATTACCTGTAAAATTTGTTTTTAGTTGCAAGTCATTAATATAGTTGGTCAAATGAGTTGAGGCTTGGGGTCGCGTATTGGCCGAGCGGCCGATTCGATTTTTTGAATAGTTCGCACTCCATCGCCGCTGGACTATTAAACACGACGGCGATGGAGTTACTCCACTCACACAAGCACATGTATATTTTAGCTTCACTGGAAATGGAAAGTTAATGGGACTTCTACCCGCACTAACCTGCAAATAGTCCCCGAAGTGGCAGATGAGCTGTCCACACGTGGCGATGGCGCGTTCCTTGACCTCTTGGTCCATGTCGGTGGCGCGCAGTCGCACTAGCGTACACTCGTACATCGCCGGGATGAACTGCTGCAGCTCTTCGGGCGGCGGCTCCACGTGGACCTCGTCGGAGCCCTCGATCATTTCGATGTTATCTGTGGAATACAGAGACTTGTGAAGATCCATATCTAAGACTAGCTTCAGTGGAATCATTTGAGCAGAGATTTGTACTGAGAGGGACGGAGCGGAGCGGGAACGAAGAAATCTCTCACATCTCTATTCCTTTTTGCTTTGGTGGAGATACTCTATTCCCTTTTCCTTTGGTGGAGATACTCTATTCCCTTTTCCTTTGGTGGAGATATCTACCCACTATGTCGAGCGACATAATCTAAGTCCTCCTCCTTCTCGATGCTCATCTGCAGCACGATCCTTAACCAGAGGTGGAATTGTGTAAAGCAATCGTAATCATTTGACAGTTCATAACGTATAATAAAGTCAGTTAAACAAAGCGTTTGACAGAATAATCGTACGTTATGAACTGTCAAATGATTACGATTGCTTTACACAATTCCACCTCTGGACTTCGTACTAGACGATTTAGTTTCCCTGAAGTGTAATCTCCCATTTTCCTCTTGGTTTTCCTGGGTTTAGTTAGTATTTTATCATGATTTCGGGTGTGAATAATCTGACTTTAAAAACATAAGTGATAGGCGGGAATATATTTGACACACCAGCAGCGCGCTAGGTAAGCTGCATTATCTTCACTCACCCAGCGGCCGGATGACCTTGACGAGTGTCTGCAGCACGCGCAGCGCCTCGGCCGTGACCTTGTAGAAGGGGTCGTGCACGCACGCCAGCACCGCCGGCGTCAGCGCCGCCACGTGCGCCCGCATGGCGCCCGCCGCGTGCCCGCGGAGCAGGCACACCACGAACACTAGAGTCTCGATCTTCATGGACGATGCTGTGCTTTTGTCGCTGTAATAGACATTTAAAGATCACTCTTTATATTGGGAGCCACAATTTTACCGCCAAGCCCAGCCTGTCAAGAAAATTATCGACGATGATCAATCTGGAGCAGTGAACATCTATCATCCTGGCTAGCTACCACCATCTTACCTAAGTCTGCCGCCATAACAACAATGTTAACAGAATTGTTGTATACCGGCAGTAAAGAGGTAATATAGCCAATTCCCCTGTGGTTGAGGATTCCGAGTGAAATTCGTTTCTACCTTCGGCCTGCAGCCTTATTCGCGTAACAAAACTTCAACGACAACAAATAGCTGAGTTGCGATCCTATCGAGTAATCGTTATAACGATATGACCCTTGTGAATACGATTTAGAATTATTTTTCAATAGAAAGACTTCGAAACGTCAACGAGATTTTGACTGTGTCAAAATACGTGAATTGGGCCACTGATCATCACTTACCATCAGGTGAGATACAGGCCAAGAGCTTCCTCGTCGTGGTTAAAAAAAATCTTACGGCCGATAATGATAATGATGAATTCCAAAGATAAATACATTCCAAACTCGTAAGCGCCGCCGCACAAAGCTTGGTTTGATTTCCTCTTGCGCTTACGCTACGAATCAACGGCAAGAATCGCACCGGTGGCTGACGATGGCTTCGCAATGCATTAGATTCTTTTCATAACGCTCGGCTGACGTAACGTCACACTAAAAGGAACGCCTTACACTAGTTTGATGCAGTACGTACGTAAGAGCAGGTGTCAAAGCGCGAACGACGCGAGCGGCGTGGTCGGCAAGACATCCAGGCGCGGCAGTGAGTAGTTCACGCAGCAAGGCTAGCGCGCAGCCTCGAGCGCGCACGCTGCGCCCGCGAATCACGCGAAGGGCGCCACGCACTACTCCCGGGACCTAAAGAAGTAAACAAGTAACCAACTTATGTTGTACAAGTGAGTAGTTGTTGACACCAAGACACAACTTCCATAAAGTTCAATCTTCCTCAGAAAAACAAAGTTAGTTTTCAGCTGTAAAATTAGATTTTTAGCAGCTTTGAAACCAGTAAACCAAATATTTTTTTTTTTTATTTGAAAGAAATACAAGCAGGAAAAACATAGATACGCAATGAAGGAGATACACAAATTAATGTACAGATAGCTGCTTGCTGCTGCTGCTTAAATCTATACAATCACATTTTGATAGCTCATAAACAGTATGTCAATTTACTAGGGCAGGGCTTCCTAAACGGTTCCCGACGATTACTCGCGATGCACAGAATTGGCAGGGACACAGGTGCCCTTGGGATTCCCAAGGGCGTCACGGTAAAATCAAGTTTGGAAAGTCCTGGACTAAAAAGAAAGAAAAGTCTGTGAACTTAAATCTTTTAAACTACGTCGAAATCAAGAGTGATTCAAGAGAAAGGTGTATACTACATTGTAAGCGTGCGAAGCCGGGAGCTAATAAAGTACATAGAAAGTAGATCTCACCCTCTGGATCAACAGTGCTTGCGGGGAGTCGGCAGCAGGCGCCATGTTCAACTGCAGCGCGGGCGGGGGCCGCGTGGCGCGCAGCAAAGCGGTGTAAGCGCTCAGGATGTCGCATTTCACGTTCTCCTCACGCTCTAATAAAACATACGTACATAAATTAAGTGTTTTAAATGTGTCAATGTACTGATAGGTTCTCTTGTCTTTGCTAGGGATTTATATGAGCATTTTGTCGTCAAAATTTTACACTTCCACATATAAAGCTAACTAAAACATTAGATTAAACTTGTATCACTTATATTAAATAATCTTCACATGGAAGATAGTAGGACAAATGGACAAACAATCTTCTTACCTTTGAATCTCGCAATCAAAGCTGGGGATACAGATTGATACATTTCCGCTAAAAGCTCATGGCGCGTTGCAATGACAGACTCTAAACACTTGGCAGCCGCGCGTCTCACCTGTTGGGTAGATTTTTCTTTGATAAATAAAAAAAATTGCAGACTATTTATTAACATTATCAACCATGCTTTTTAGCTTCAAGCAAAGGTACCATTTTATTCTGATAAGATATAAAACTTATCTGTAGTCTTAGCAAACCAAAACATTTTTATCTAAAAAGTTTTTTTTTAGAATATTTAGACACATTTTTTTTAATTGTGACATATCCATAAAGAAATAAAATCTATTTTGTTTCGTTACCTTCCAAGACATGTCATCGTCATCAGAATATTCCTCAGAATCGGACTCGGGTTCAGCATCTGGAGCAAAAGATTCATCCTCCATCTCCTCATCCTCACCACCACCGTCTTCTTCCTCATCCTCATAGTTGTAGTTTGGATCATATGTGATCATTTTCAAGCATAGGTCAATAATCTGCATAATGAAATCTAGAGTTAGTAACATAAAACAGTAAAATAATAACAAAAAACATATAACAATGTTTCCATAAGTTCATGACTCATTACCGTTGGAATATGAGGTTGCACTTCTTTGGGGCATTTCAAAACAAACGCCTCCAGGGCTTGAAGACAGTGCTCACGCAGCTCCTCATCAGCATCGTTAGAATGTTCCAGAACTTGAGGCGCGACACGCCACAGTTGCTCTCCAAATCTATGACCTGCTTGACGACTACAAAACAAATTTGGATAAACATTTTGTAGACCATAATAAAAAATATACCAATAAAATTTCAGACAATTTTCACATAAATGGTTATTAGATATTTCTTACCATACTGAAGCAATGCATTGTATGTGTGTACGACTGACACTGGAAGACGTAGAGGATCCCAGTCCTTCCAGAAGATGATCAATGAGTTTATTGTACAGAGATGCATTACAGGACATGACCAAGTGGGACAATGCAACTATTGTGCGTTTACGTACAGCCTGAGGAGGACACATTGATTATTGCTTTATACATCATTCTATAATTAATAATAATTTTAGTTATGGTTAGGGTTAAACATAATAGGTAGTAAAATGGGTTACTTGAGAGTTAATCTCTTGCAATGAGGGTTCTCACAAACTTAATGCTACACATAATTAAAATACGACAAGTTCTCTCACACTATCCAAATACCAGTTTAAGTTTGTAAGAAAAAATAAAATTCACATAACTCAGGGTTTCACTGTATATCATATAACAACAAAAACAATGTAGGTGATGGTTTTTTATAGACAGGAACAGAAAAATCTAATGTTTCTAGTTACTATACATACTTGGCGAGGAGAAGCAAGTTGAGGCAGTAGGGAGTTTAGCAACAATGGATGGAAAGATATGAGCAGTCCACCAAATCTGCTCAACAGGTCAGCTAGGATGTCTAATGCTTCCAGTTGGACCGACACATCCTCTTGCTGAAATAAAAGGAGTACCTATTTACTAAATAAAATAACTTGTTACAGAAATGGTAATTAATTTTCAGCTTTTTTTTAAGAAGATTGTCTTAGCCAATTAATGAATGTGTTGCATCTAAAGTAAGTGCACTTGCACTCATAATAAAACAAATATTTAATTTGAGGAAGTCTATGCTTCGTTACAAATTCACCCAAGAAGTACTTACTATATTTTATGAGTTTAAATATTTATTTACCTTCTCAATAGCACTACTCAGTCGTCCAGTAATTTTCTTACAAACATTAGCAGCTAAAGTATTAGAGCCTAAAGGAAGCTCTGAAATTACAGTTTTTAATCCAATGCTACTGATGTCACGTAGTTGTTCCGTATCTGAGAGCATATTAGCACAGAGAGTTTCGACAATGCTTTCTACTTGATATTCCTTTACTTTGTTTACAAGAGGACCAAGGCTGTAACAAAACAACATTCAAACGCAGCAGAATTAATCATGAGAAATCACCAACATTAATACAACACTTTTGTGGATGCTGTAACTTTTAATGCATACCATTTCACTGCTAAATTTTGGACTTCACCATTCTTGTCTTCCAGTAAACGTAACAGCATCTTTACTACCTTTCTTTCAGAATCATCATCAAGTTTGATGCTGTCCTTTTGTAACTCAGTCATCAAGTCATTAGTAGCCATGAACCTGAAGTCTTTATCGCTAGATGTCATCTGCCGAAAAACAATTTTGAAAATTGCAAAGTGCTCTGAGAAGTGAAATTTCAACGAAAACAAAGAAAAAGAAAAGTTAACGCCGGCTCACCTTCTCGAGAAGATTTGCAATTTGATACGAGACACTAGCCATTTTGAGAATTGTTATGGCTATGATAACCAGTAATCAAACTATCACTGTTTTACAACACATAAAACTACACAATTTTTACAAAATGCTGGTGTCGAATGAACATCTGAATGATTACCCACTGGAATAATCAACCCAGGAGGCACCAGCACAACCATCAACGACCGAAAAAATAAATCCATCAATTTGCGACTGACATGACATGACATATGACATCACAGATATGGATATAGTTCCAAAATACTGGACTGTCCTGTCGATGACATTGACAGTGGGGCGCCACCGTCAATACCGGATCGCTGGTTCAGATTTTTGCCATGTTGGAAACCATATAGTTGAACGATGGTAGCGCCCCCCTGTCATTGAGTTTGGCGGGACAGTTCAGCGTGGGTCATCTATATGACATCCACACAATACAATTCAATGCTCTATAATCTGTGGTTTTCAACGAGCCATTGACTGTATAAATAATGAGATTGAGCAACCAATTCAGTGTTGTTCTTGATACGGCAATTGCCGTAATATACGGCATTCAGGCATCTTAGGCACCATAAATACGGTATACGGCAGCACTTTGATTACCGTATCAAAATATACGGCAATTGAGTAAAGTAGAGTTTTTAGAGTTTTTCATGAGTTTTAGTAAACAAAAAATAAATATTTCGTCTAATGGAACGCAAAAACTTGTAAGACCATAGATGAAGTAGAAGCGCCACGAAAAGAAACGCCAAAAATGCAACCATATCTCCGAGATTTTAATGTCTAAAATCGTTATTTCCTCATTTTGGTAGATTCTTCACTTTTTTTCGGGTAGGTTCTTGGACTAAATTATTCAAAACCTTAAAAAGTGAAGAATAAAATAAGTAAGTTTAAAAGTAGTATACGCATAGTACATAATACATCACTTGTATTTTTTAAAATTTAAACCTTCCAAATAAACATTTTATACAATACGGCAATTTTCTTAGTTTTCCTTAAAAATCCGGCAATTTTAGAATTAGAATACGGCAACCCTAAATTTGTCAGGAACAACACTGAACCAATTTAAATACACGCAAGTCATGGTTTTATGCATGGGCCATGTTTGATGTATACATTTTTCACTTTAAATTTCACTCACTGTACAAAAAATGAACATTAGCGAGAAATTATACATTGTAAACACGGATTGCAGAGGCATCATTTATTTCTGTATGATTGGCTGGCAATGATTATGATTTGGCCATATTAAATTTTCCAAAGCATTGCTTTTTATAAAAAAAAATACAACGTCATTCATTCATTCGTTCGACGAACTCACGTCAAAAATATAACCTACAAAAAACCACACAAAAAACACATGTAATTTGTTGTAAAACTTATTTATTCAGTTGAATAAAATTTTATTTCATTCAGCCTCAACTGAATGCCTCTGCACTATCTACAAATTTTAATTGTTTCATATAAAATATTATAAATGCGCTGTAATTGAATCACTATTACGTGCTCTGTGATTGAATCGAATAACGAAATTGGGAGTTATGGATTTATTTGTTATTAACAGGTATTATTTATGAACATTTAGTGATTATAAGACTAATTAGCGATTATTCTTACTTATAACTATTTATTTCATAATCAGATATAGAGAGGATGAGGACAATAATATTGTCAACCAGGAAACAAAACATTTGGAGAAATTGAAAAAAGATATAGAAGAAAGAAGAAAATTGTATGCCAGCACACACACTTTAGATGTAAATGTAAAGTCTAGTAAACCATCAAGCGAAACAAAACAAAGCAATGTTGTTAAAGTTGTTGAGAAAGTTTTAAAAGATGAAATTCAGGTGCAAACTTCACCTATCGAAGTTGACCTGAAACCCCATAGGCAAGATAAAATAACACATGAATTTAAAGTATTAGGGGGAAACGATTTTGAACAGAAGCCCAAGGTAAGACTATAAATTCAATTAATAATACAAGAAATTTTAGTAGTCATTTTAATAGGTAACATTTCTAATGTTGCTAACATATTTTTGTTGTATTTCCTACTGTTTTACCATATTTGTGAAAAATAAAAATAAGTAATTTTCTGTACTTTTGAGAACAATAATATTTTTTTAGGTTCATAGGATTTTACCATATTGGCTATCACATCCATACAGTGTGTCCAGGAACTTGCAAAATAAATTGCATGCCATTGCTGATCAGACTTGGTTACACAGTACCCTAAAATCAACTTTAGAAAGTGATGGTATATCCCATTTGTTTCCTGTTCAAGCCGAAGTAATTCCTTTCATTCTTCAAGAGCATGAGTTGCCACAACCTCTTTGGCCACATGATATCTGTGTTTCTGCACCTACAGGCAGTGGAAAAACATTATCTTTTGTAATCCCAATTATACAGGTAAGTGTCACATTGCCTAACATTCAATTCAATGAATAAAGTTTTATTTCAACTGCACCTTGTGATTGACTTTACTTTTCTTGGCAGGTGTTGATGAAGGATGTAGGACATCATATCAGAGCCATGGTGGTATTGCCTGTACAAGAACTAGCTGCTCAAATTTTTAAAGTGTTTAAAAAATACTGCCAGAGAACTGGGTTAAAAGTGGCTTTGCTGAGTGGTTCCATCCCACTGCATCAAGAACAGCAACAGATTGTTCGTTATAGTGAGTAATTTTTGATATATGTAGGTACATAAAAATATACTGACCCCAATTCTTAGGCATAGTTCATTTAAATTTTATTAACTTTATTGGAGCTAACTATAACTTATTTTGAACTTCTTGTTTCAGCTGAATCACATGGTTGGATCAGCGAAGTTGACATCATAGTCTGTACAGCTGGTCGCCTGGTGGAGCATATTCAAAACACCAATGGCTTCTCTCTGAAGCATTTAAAATTTTTAGTAATAGATGAAGCAGACAGAATCATGGAAAACATACAAAATGACTGGCTCTACCACATGGATAAACACATAAAATTAGAAAACGAGCTTTTGTCTGGAAAAGTACCAAACTTAAATTGGGACTGCCTCATACGACATAAAGCTCCTCCTCACAAGCTGCTATTTTCAGCTACTTTATCTCAAGATCCTGAAAAACTAGAACAGTGGGGATTATTCCAGCCCAAATTATTTTCAGCTGCACAAGTTAATAAATTTGAAGATGAAGATCACATAAGAAAGTATACAACTCCAGATGAGTTGAAAGAAAACTTTGTTGTTTGTAGTGCGGAACATAAACCCCTCTTACTTTACCATTTTCTGCTTGAAAAAGACTGGGACAAAGTGCTTTGTTTCACAAACGCAGCTCAGTCTGCTCATAGACTCACAGTACTTTTGAATACTTGGAGTAAGGGAAAAATTAAAGTTGCCGAGTTATCTGCTGCTTTAGATAGAACCACAAGAGATGATGTTTTAAGGAAATTCACCCAATCTGAAATAAATGTGTGAGTACAGTAATCATTAAAACAATTTAAAAACATCAAATAATACAATTAATATTTTAAAAAGAAAGTTATTGCGTTTTATAAAATGTTGTAATGCTGCTTTTACACTGTGCGGAAATCAGCCAAGTCAAGTCAAAAAAACAGTGGGGTGGGGATGAAAAATGAATGAATTTCGTCCCCACTTCTCTGTTTTTTTTACTTGACTCGGCTTATTTCCGCATAGTGTAAATCCAGCATTACATTGTATAGTTCCAAAATACTGGACTGTCCTGTCGATGACATTGACAGTGGGGCGCCACCGTCAATACCGGATCGCTGGTTCAGATTTTTGCCATGTTGGAAACCATATACTTGAACGATGGTAGCGCCCCCCTGTCATTGAGTTTGGCGGGACAGTTCAGCGTGGGTCATCTATATTACATACCTACCTACACAAAGCGCCATCTATATTTTATTTAGTGTGATTTGATCACCAGTGAAGAAATTAATGTGAATTTTATTTGCAGTCTAATTGGAACAGATGCTTTGGCACGAGGGATTGATATTCCTGACTGTAATTATGTGATATCATATGACCCACCAAGAAATATAAAAACATACATACATCGCGTCGGCAGGACCGGTCGTGCGGGCCGCATAGGACATGCTATCATAATGCTGTTACCCAACCAGACCAATTTATTTACGGTATTTACAGTTTTTTTAATGTATTAAACTTTTCAATTTGTGGCACTACTTTTTTGATTTGTGGAAGTAATACCTACTATTTATAAAAATAAATGGCAACAGGTTAAAGATTTGTAGTTAAGCTATATTTTTATTTTATTGCAGGAGGTATTGAAATCTGGTGGAAAGTCTGAAATACCTGCAATGAATGTACATCCTGATGTATTTAGTAGATTAAATGGAAGTTACGAGAAGGCTATTGAAGAAACTAAAAATTTAATTAATTCTGAAATCCATCTCAAAGTTGAGAAATCAATTGAATTAAAAAGAGGATTTAAATCCAGAAAACGTAAGGCACAATAAAATTGTTTTTAATATGAGATTAATTGTTTATTTGTTCATTAATCCACCACATAATTGCTGAGTGGAACCCCATCAGTAGCCGGTTGTTTCCAGTCGTCGCCACGAGCGTCATTCCCACTGGCAAGGGCTCGCGCGCTCGGGTGACTTGTCGCCGGCACTTTTTTGTCATCTTCATACATCTGTATGGAGGGTCAATAAGGCCTGGTTTCCACCAAGGCAAAGTGGAGCAGAGCGGAGAAGTGTCATGTGGACTAATTTTTTCTATAGATTTCGACGGCGGCGGCGCGCGGCGTGGCGCGGAGCGGAGCAAAGAGGAGAAGTGTAAATAATGAAATCTGGTTGGTTATTTAAAACACTTTTCCGCTCTGCTCCACCTTAGTGGAAACTCTCTTCTGCCACTGTCAAGTTGCTACGTACGGGCCAGTAAGGGCATCGGTTGCCAAAATAATGTGTTAAGTAGCCAGTTGGTGATGAATTTATATTGTTTTTCTTTATTCAGTAAACCACAGCTATTATTATTACAAACAAGTATTTTTAATGAATGAGATGAAAACATCCCATTGGAACTACCTACTGCTGAACTGATTTTGAAAATTATTTTACCAGTAGAAAGTCACCTTTGTTGCAAGTCCTATAGATTTTTATCAACCCGAAGAAAAATCAACTTTCTGTGACAACGAACGCGGGCGAAGCCGCTGCAGCGCTGGTAAAAGCTATAATAGTTAAATAGTACAAAATGAGAAGTCGGTCGTTCCCATGGAGAGGCCATGAAGCTATAGATAAAAATGGAGGCCACACTCCGAATACCTACTTGAAGCACAAACTATGTATCTATCTCGCTCTCTGTGGGCAGAGTCTCTATTTCTAAATAAACAAAAAATATAAATTTGCTCAAAGTCAATGAAACTCAATGTAAAATCTTTATTTCTTGACATAGGTATCATTAAATAATAAGTGTAAATACTGGTTGCGGGCAGGACCGTTCATTGTGGAAAACCTTGGGGGAGGCCTTTGTCCAGCAGTGGACGTCATTTGGCTGAAACGAATTTAGAAAGAGAGTCTGCCCACAGAGAGCGAGATAGTGATACATAGGTTGTGCTTCAAGTAGGTATTCGAAGTGTGGCCTCCATTTTATCTTCTTCTTCTTCTTTTATTAATGGCGATGAACTTGTGTATTTTCGCCACAAGGCACACTGAACCCCGATTACGGTAATTTTTAACGTCAACAATCCAGACACGCTTCTCGATTCTGCGATACGATTGGTCGTTCAACAGCGTACGTCAGCTGTTTTGACCAATCGTATCGCAGAACCAGAAACGCGTCTGGATTGTAGACGCTATAAAAGTTACCGTAATCGGGGCTCTGTTCCGCCAATATCACGTGCGCAGCTTTTACACAATGTATTTGAGAAATTTAAATTCGAGCTTCATGCTTAGAACTCTAGGGCTTTTGAAGAGAGCTGAGCCCCGATTACGGTAACTTTTAACGTCTACAATCCAGACGCGTTTCTGATTCTGCAATACGATTGGTCAAAACAGCTGACGTACGCTGTTGAACGACCAATCGTATCGCAGAATCGAGAAGCGTGTCTGGATTGTTGACGTTAAAAAATACCGTAATCGGGGCTCTGGAGACAATAATATAGCAGGCCAAAAAATTGCCTATATTGTGGCAATGTTCCTTTCCTAAATCGTGTATTTACCGAACACGTTTATCTTGTTATTATTATTATTCTGTCTAATGGCTTAATGTCTAATCTATCTTATGCTGCTTTTACACTATGCGGAAATTAGCCGAGTCAAGTCAAAAAAACAGAGGAGTGGGGATGAAATTCATTCATAATAATTCATCCCCACTCCACTGTTTTTTTGACTTGACTTGGCTAATTTCCGCGCAGTGTAATCGCAGCATTTAAGTTAAACCCGATCCATAGTTTAAGCGTCAATGCTCGTTCCGTTCACTCATCGGTTCATTCTATGTCAACTGTCAAAACATACACTTGTTCACACTTGTTTGTTTTTGTGACTATCATCATTCATCACTAATAAATTCTCATCTTTATTAAATAGGCACCAAAAATGTCGGATTCTGATGATTCAGATATTTATCAACACCGTGCATTTCGCGAAATCCATAGGGCTATCAGGAATTATAAAAAAGATCCGAAAACAGCGGGGATGTTTGTGTCAGGCTGGGACGATGCTGACGAGGGTGTAGATGAAGTGGAAAACCCTGAAGGCAAGTTACTTTTTTGTAATACCTCCTAATTACACCCATCGTCATTTTGGTCTTCACTGCAGGAGCGCCGTTTCTATTTGCTATGCAAGATTTCTAGCAGAGCAGTATAATATTGTATGGAAGTCATCATCTCATGATAATTTGCTATTTTAATACTTTGCTACTGTAATTTTTATAATAAGTATCACTTGTTTTTGTAGCCAAGTTCACCAAGTAGTGTTATTAATAAACTGGTATATTTTTTTAGACAATCCAACTGATCATATACTATGGGCTGCTGAAAAAGGCGATGTGAATACTATCAAAGAGTTACTGACAAAACAACCAGACTTAGTACATGTGCAAGATCCAGATGGATATACACCATTGCATCGTGCTGCATATGGAAATCATGCAGTTGCTATATCATACTTACTCAGTGGTGGAGCAAATATACACGCTGAAACAGAAGTAGGATGGACACCACTCCATTCAGCTTGCAACTGGAATAATTATAATGCAGTAGCAAGGTTACTAGCAGCAGGTGCTGATCCAAATGCTATGTCTGCAGGAGGTAAGACTTGTCTTGGTCTATTTTCGTCTAAAAACATTTTTATTTTGTGGAATGGACAGTATGTTTGTTTCAGATATTGTCCCGAGTTACATGTATTGAAAAGTAATAACCATACATTCGTTATAAAAGTGTTTTTTCTTTACAGGGCAAACACCAATGCATTTAGCTGCAGCAATTAGCCACAGTAAATCTACATTGGTGTTGTTGTTTCTTAGAGATGATGTGGTTCAGGCGGCCGAAAAAAAAAACATTTCTGGAGAGACACCCAAGCAATTAGCACTTCGTCATGGAATCTATGCTCCATTGTTTGAAATGGTTATGCCTGCTATGTCTTATATACATTCTGATGCATTTACGTTTAATCCCTTTATTCAGAAGCAGGTCATGATTGATAAATCTTAAATCATAAACTAATCATAATCATAAATAACTTTATTGAATTACCAATATTACAATGATTACAATTTCTCTTATAATATTTACTCTCTAGTTACTAATTTCTGTAATAAAATAATTTAATACTAAAAATGCTTTGCAATCTAATCATTTCTAGATACTCTCTAAACATGACGATGAAAGAAAATGTAGATTGTGTTTTGTGGTTTTATGTTGTAAATAAAGTAATTTAAACTGCTTATATTTTTTAGTTACATATTGATTTTTTTTTATGTTACAGAGTTACATCTCAAACTAAATTATTAATATTAACTTAAAAAAATGTAATTGCCATTTGCCAAAAATAAGACTTAAAATATTTTACATTTCTTATAAAATAAGTTTATCTTTGTTGACCTTTAAATGACATATTTTCTATTACATACATAGCACTTGAGACAAGATAAGTCTCAGCATGCAAGTTCTTCAAACTAGCAATCAAGTTTCTCTTATCAATTCTTTGTAACTCAGATAGTGACGACCTCGTTTTAGAAGTCATATATGGTAAAACTAAACATCCTATCCCAACACATTTACATCTTAAACAATTCTTCCAAATTTCTAATAAATCTTCATCTTTAATTATAGGACAAACAGGTAGTAAATTAATAGCAGTAAGGCAGTGAATTTTTTGGCGTTCCGTTATAGGATAATCAGCACGCTGGAATGGAGATACTATAACTGCGCGCCATGCTGCACAAATAACTTCATTAGGAGGCGAAGAAGCTCTTAGCAGTAGTGGTGTCATGACTTCATATAAACCAGCACGTAGTAGCAAAGGTATGAGTTCTCGAATAATTTGTACGTTGCCATATCTTCGTGCCAATTCAGCAGCAACTTTCAATCCTTCGACATTGGTACCAGCTTGAAGCAACTGTTCAATGGCACGTATTTTGTCTTGCATAAATGTGGAAACCACCCATGGCAAGTCCTCGTTTTCCAAATTTACAACGCTTAGTAGCTCCAAAAGGAACTTCCATAAATCTTCCCGTCCACGATTTGTAACCTTCACAGCAGTATCAGCTTCTATAACACTCATCAAACACTGAAGAGCCCGCAATTTCTTACATTTGTTGAAATCGCTTTCATCGTCAAATACGATTCGCGACAGATAAATTGCTCCCATTTTGGGACATGTTGCCTTTAATATGTACTTTGCAGTTAACAGATCTTTTCTGTTTAATCCTGAATTTTTCTTATTTTTGTTTTCTTCGTACGTTTTATCGAGAATATTCTCCAAAATTTGAAACCTAATAGAGCTTATGTTTATTCCGTTTTTATCAGCAATTTCAGTAGCAGCACGATTGATATCATGTCTAGACATTTTCTCAACAAACGAAGGATGAAGATACAATGCGCGAATAAGTTGAGCAGGCTCGGTAGAAAGGCGAACGAACTCTTCACAAACCCATTCAATTTTATGTAAAGCATGTCGCGTAGAAAGTGTTAAATGCAAACGTTCCATTTGTCGGACAGCTCGATTACCAGGCTGAACAGCGGCCCACCGCTGTGCGAACTGATAACACAATTGTGCTGCAGCGACTTGATCAGCACCACGGGCACAACCTTGAAGTACATAGAATAAACATGCACCGGCCCATTCCATATTTGCAATATGTCGCACACATCGATGCGCAGAACGAAGCAAAGGTTCTTCTCGTGTCGTTAATCGCCAGGGTTCATTTTCCGATGCCTCTATATTACAACCATCTGAATTCTTCCGTGAAGTCATTGTTTGTTTCAATGCGTTACTACAAATCATATCTCTGGCAGTTTGTAGATCAGCATCTAAAGAGAGCAAGGCAACGACAGGTATCCACCGTTCATATGTTTCTAGAGTAATTTCTGATTTTAAATTAGACCACATGTCATCACGCATAAATAGAGGAAACGGTAAACGATAATACCCAACTTCAGGAAACATACCCTTAACGGAAAATAGCTCAAATTCGTATTGTTTAGGAGGGCTTTTTCTTCGGTAATCTTTCAAAAAGTTGAGCAAAAAATATTCTTTCATGTCCCTTAAATCCGTAGATTTCCCAAATAATAAATTAAATATGCACAGATATACTTCATAGTAGTAAGGATTTATAGAGATTGTCCGACCATGTAAACAGACTTCACCATTTTTCCAAAAATCATTCAATATGTCCTTTATCAAATCTTTATCATCAATATTCTCCCAGATAATTAAACATTGAGACATTATCTCTTTTTCCGTATTTCCAAAAGATATTTGTCGACAGTTCAAGTTATCATTGAACAATTTATAGTTAAGCTCCCAAGACGATAGTAATGATACCAACTGTAAAGATAATCCATCATTTACTGAAATATTTAATGTGCGGCAAATCTGTACCAGTTTATCAAAAGAAGTATTGGGATATTGTTTTAAAACACAAAATAGTATCACTTTAACGTCCCAAGTCTCTTCAGTGTTTTCAGGAAGAGCTATATCTGCTAAATTGATGTTAAATTTTACCTTGAGTAAATGTTGTGGTTGGTAAGGAACTGTATTGCCAAAACTATCCTCCAGTGCAAATGTACGACGAATTACAGGCGAAGAAAGGAAGCGAACAAAAGCAGGTGATAAAGTTTCCCCTTGACCTTTTAATGTGTCTATTAACCACATCGAGTCGTTTACTTCTTCAAATTTACTCAAAATGAGTAATAGATTTGTTAGTAATACTTCATCAAGGTCTTGAGATAGTACTGCTTTAGTCAATACTTTTCGAGTTATTTTGTCACGCATTGCGTATAAATCTTCCGTGAAAATTTGTCCAGTAATAATTAAATCTTGAATAATGTAAGAAACCATTCGAAATGGAATAAAATCATGACCATCCAAAATGTGACAAGCATCAACCATTAAAATATTTTGAGAAATATACTTTTCAATGAAATCAATAAATTCATTCATGCTTTTGATAGACGACATTGGTAAATAAATGTATTGAAATTTCCATGCTACTGACAAATTCTTTAACTTAGTGTCCGCATTCAGTAACGCATTTAATATAGACAAGTATTTTATCAAATAGTGCATATAACTCTCTTCGCATTTGATGAGGAGTTCAACTAGAATCCTGAATGAATTCATTAATAATAACGAATTTTTGCCATTTTTGAAACTATTCAAAGCTGATATTGCATCATCACTTGATTGGCTATACAATATATTCTCCAGTAATTTTCTAACATCATGGTTAGTCGAAGTCCGCCGTAAAAGATTTGATAAAATAGAATCGCGGGACTTTTCTGTGCGTGTGAGTTGTGAAACGCATCCTCCTTGAGCAGAGCTGGCTGTATGTCCATCTTTACGCATCCAGATGGATGTGATTCCAGATATAGCTTCTTCAATGTATAGGTTATTAAGAGTTACTGTAATATCATAAGAGTTTTTCAGATAGTATAGGTTTTCAATAGTAGTTATTTGGATTTCATTCAAAAGTTGTGTACCTTTGAGGAAATCTAAATAATTCTTTTCCAGAGTTAAATTGCAAGTATCTCCACTTATAATTTGCTCATATTTATTCATGACTGTTTTAATCAGAATAGTTTTTTCTTTATTTGTTAAGTTATTGAAGTAATCTAATGCGTTTCTTGTTTCACAGCTATGAAGGCATTTGTCTATAAACAAAATGTTCCCATAATTTTTAAAATTTGTCATGACTCCAGTAATTATTTTTAAGTCATTTAAGTCAACTGGTGTTGCTCTCATTATCTTATTCAACACTAACATGTAATCAGTGCATGTTAGAGGAAAATTATACTTTTTCAATACAACTTTCACATTGGCATAGTTAAGTTCTTTCTGCACTTCCTGTGCTAATGTTCGATCAATATCAGTGACAGTAAAATCTTTAGTTGCAGAGGCAGCAGCAGCAACAGCCAATTCAAGGACGTTTGAGTCCCATGGAACATGTAACACTTTCAATACTTGCAGCAAGCATTCTAGTTTTGAAGTTGTTGAACGAAAGGCACTCAATACTACTTTTAAACGAAAACTATCAACTCCACCACCGCTAAGAGCAGCTTCACTTTCTATAAATGCCCTCAGTGTATCATCTAGTTCAAACAAATGTCGAGCAGCATAAGATGGTAAATAATCACGCAAAAATATTTCTAGATCTTCATTATAACATCTTCGTAACATTATAAGAGCAACTTCATTAGGGCTTTGAGAGCTTAACTCACTTAATAACATGTTAATTTTATATTTCTCCTTTAACTCTAATATATAGTTTATGCGATCTTTCAGTATATCCAAGTCATCCATAGACACAGGACGAACAGCGATCATTTTTAATGACAACTCCAAAACATTGATGATGTCTTCAATAAATTTTAAGCCTATTTTGGGCCAATACCCAGATTGCTCCAATTTTAGAATTCTTTCCATAGTCCATTTAACAAAAAGATCTATGAAAAATGGATTCTCATCTAAAAGCAAAGGCACGAAATTTTTAAGCCAAATTAAAAGAGAACCCATTTTTATATTGTGTGGTATTGAATATAATATTTCGAGGACATCTTCCGAATTTATAGTTAACTTGACTTCATTGTATTTCAACCAACATATAGAAGCTAAATCTAAATCATGATTTGAAATAAACATTATACAAAGTTCTGTCACATCCTTATCAAATAAATTGGTATTCTGATAATTCTTGTTATCTTTAAAACAAATATATTCCAATAAATCAACTTTTATAACAAGATCAGCCAGTTTAGTAACTAAATCAGTATTTCCTGCAGCATACACTTTATTCTGAAGTGAGTATAAAATGGATTTATATGCAAGATTATGCTGACAAAGCTTATAAGCTGCAACAATGAGGAAATTATAATCTTCTATATTATCAAAATATGACTGTAGTTGTGTTACCTGTATAGGGTTCTTTTCAGTGATGATATCTTCAGTAATTGCCGTAAGCTGTATTTTGAGTTTTTCTTGAGAAGAAATTTTGGCTATACTTCTGTCCAATACTTCATCAGCTAAATTCCTCAATGGTGACATAGATGTATTCCTTGCACAGCATATTTGGATCTGGAATAATAAATTGAAAATATCAAATAAAGGAAATTTTATTTTTCATTTGCTTCTTAGTAAAAAATAAGTAAATAAAAATATTAAATATTTTTACTGTTCAATTTAATTATTTACTAAAATTTCAGGTGTAATTAAATTAATTAGGGTGTAAAAGAATTGAACATAATAATATTACCTCTGTAGCCTTGTAAGTGATATAGTAGAGAGTGTAATCATGAATTGACACTGGATAACATTTTAAGCCATTGTTTGGGAAAGTAAATAAAGATTCCCCATTTTTCAAATCAGCGACCCACATATTTTGATCATGGGCTAAAACAATTGCCTCATCCCATGGCACCAAGTGATGTATTGGCATGTTAACAGAAATAGTTGCAGATAATTTGGTAATTGGACATTTCACAACAATATTGTTTTCATTTGTGAATTCTAGACCTAGTTGTGGATTTATTAAGTTGTTGTATTTGATTGCATTATGTTGTACTGGTGCTTTTTCTAAGACAGCTATTTCTTCTGTTGAACCAGCCTTCAATTTTAAACTCAGTTCTTGATCCTTGTAGGGCAAATTCAGACATTCACCACTTTCACTAATTAAAAATACTGTCTCGGATGTTTTTAGAAAGTGGCTTAATTTATGATTATCAACATAAACAGTAGATTTAAATCCATTATCAACATCCATAACCACAACTTTATTGGTCCTCAATATTAGCCATACGTGATTGTTATGAAAAACTTTGTCGATTATCTCGTCACCAACAAAGGAATATTCGGATTTGTCAGGTTCTTTCACATTTTTGGTCAGTAAATCCAATACATGCACAACATTTTTGTTTTCAAATAGGATTAGTTTGGGGTAAAACAGCACAGCTTCTAAGTTCACCAGATTTCGGGATAACGTAATTTCTTGTAATGGTGATGTTATTATAGACATGTTGAAGCAGCTAAAACAAAATTTTCTCACAACACAATAATTTGATCTAAGCAGCTAGCCACACAGCTAGCATCACTGCGGCAAAATGCGAATCATCAGTTTCAAGTTTGAAAATCCTTCCAACGAACTTTAACTTTTTGTCCGCCATCAACCATCGTTAAAAACACAGATGAGACGTCAATTGAAATTTTTAAATAAACCGACGGCACGACGAATCCACCAATCGTTCAATTCCAACCCAAAGAGTTTATAAGCGTTAATAGAGAGAGTAATTTTTAAAGCCTACATCCATTCGGGTTATATAGATGACCCACGCTGAACTGTCCCGCCAAACTCAATGACAGGGGGGCGCTACCATCGTTCAACTATATGGTTTCCAACATGGCAAAAATCTGAACCAGCGATCCGGTATTGACGGTGGCGCCCCACTGTCAATGTCATCGACAGGACAGTCCAGTATTTTGGAACTATACCGTCAAGAGCTACACAACTTTTTATCTGGCACATAAAGTTAATATAGGAATATTAACTTTATGATCTGGCATAACCATGGGCACCAATGGGCAGTGGGCACTGACTACTAGACTCTAGACCAGTGTTGCCAGTCGGGTCTTGTCAGAAATTACCAGAAATATAAAAAAATGTAACCTTTTTGAATAAAAAGTAACCTTCATGGGGGGGGGGGGGGCGGGGCGATGGGGTAAGGTTTTCCATGGAGGGTTAATGTTTTCTTAAATTCGAATTTTTACCCTTTCCATTAANGTTAATTCTACAATTTCTGAAAAATCACCTAAAAGTAACCTTTTCATTAGTGTAACCTAAAAGTAACCAATGCAGTTCAAAAGTAACCTAAAAGGTTACAAAAGTAACCTTCTGGCAACACTGCTCTAGACTGAAGTGGACAGCCTTTCCATTTAGAAAGAAAGAAAAAAATGTTTATTCAGTATCATAGACAATACGTATTTACGTCAGTTTTCATACTCTATAATTTGTTAGAACGTGAGTAATTAACAATACGAAAATATAGATGACCCACGCTGAACTGTCCCGCCAAACTCAATGACAGGGGGGCGCTACCATCGTTCAACTATATGGTTTCCAACATGGCAAAAATCTGAACCAGCGATCCGGTATTGACGGTGGCGCCCCNGGCGCCCCACTGTCAATGTCATCGACAGGACAGTCCAGTATTTTGGAACTATAATAAATAAGGCAAACTGGCAAACACAATGACAACCTAATGGAAGGCATTATTTATTTAGCATCGCATGAAAAAGAGCGTTCATTTTTTTTACTTCTGGCTACACTGCAACTCGGCCATGTTTGGAATTTAGAAATAATTTCAACATGGCGCCCGGTGGTTCGCAGTGTGTGTGTGTGTGAAAGTGCAGTGAAATTATGTTATTATCTAATGTTTTTAGTGATAATTTTAGTGTTTAGGTGAAAATAGTGTGCATTAATGCAGCGGTTTTTCTATCATGGCATTGGATTTACGCCTGCATTCTCCGGCAGGCGCGGAACCTATTGTTTATACATGGCCCCTCACTTCAGGTCATGGTTCGGTAAGGAAATCGTATTTATCGTTTTAGGTTGTTAAATCTCACGTTGACAGTGGCGTATTTTGTATCTATTTCGTTATGTGGTCTTGGTGAAATGATAGATAAAAATAGTTCCTTACGATTTATCTGTACTTTAGCTCTAAAAGTCATTATCGTGCCTACACAGTAAGTTTAGAAGGAATCTAATTATTTTTACAAAATTGATAAAATGCGTTGTTTATCCTACACCTATCTATCGTTTCTGATTATGAAAGTAGTCTCAATAAAATTGGTGTCAATGAATTATGCTATTCTTCATATCACATGGATCTTGTAGCAGAGTGTATTGACCTCGTGTTTTGTCAAGGTGTCGTCGGCTTTTTTTAGATATGTACACACTGTTGCGTAGTTTTCACTAATCTAAACAATCTTCGGTCCTAATAATAATAATAATATCAGCGCCTACAAAACAACTTGGTTTGTTTACACAACTTTAAACAATTTTAATGTATATTCTGCTTATGAAGATGCACACAAGCAGTACTTTTAAATTAAGTACAACACAATGAAATTTTAATTTATTTAATGTATACTTTAAGTTTTATCAAGCTGGGAGTAGAATGAAAATAAAAATCACTTAATAATCTTATGACTCTTGATCATAGTGTTATTGACCTTAATAATTAGTAATGCATAATAAGAAGGGATCAAAATAATCTTGCCAACAGCCGACCTTGTAGTAGCAGATCAAGGATAGTAAATTATAGCCGAAGCCAGTCAAATAAATGGTCAACATACTTTATAATAAACATAATTAATATTTTCACTCGTATCAAAACAAGCCCTTGCCCTACCTGTCATTGATTTTATATTATCATACACAGTCATCCCTCTTACCATCATATTTGTATAGGTCAGTTGGGTATTCATGGAGATTTCGGACATGACCCATATTTATAAAACACAATACCAATTTTATTACTACTGGTTATTAAACCAAGTAAATTAAAGACATGGTAACAGTGACATAATCCTACTTCCTACTAATATTATAAATGTGAAAGTTTGGATGTCTGGATGTTTGTTACTCTTTCACGCAAAAACCACTGAACGGATTTTGGTGAAACTTTACAGTATTATTGTTTATAACCCAGAATAACATAGGCTATAATTTATGACAATTTGTGACAAACGAAATTTCACCACTATCTTTGCACATGGTTCACTGGTGATATAATGCTAGTTTTGCTTATGGGAAATTTTCATATTTCTTTTTATTTGAATTACCTAATTGTAAATTAATAAAGTTTTTAATTGGCTATTGTGTTGTTTGGAATGTTAAAAATGTTCATAGTAGTGCTAGACCAAAGGCCCTTAAAAATTGTTAGCCATTATTACTGTTGAAGACTAGAAGAAAGAAGAAAATTTAGGCTTTTAGAAAAAGTATGAGCTAAGGTTTCCCCACAGTGATTCAGTTAGGGGAAAAAATACACATTTTTTTTTTAAATCTTTTACAAATTTCACCTTGCCTACAGCCTTGATGGACTCAAATAGTCTTGGTGGGATGGGTAATGATTTTCCCAGTTACATAGGTACATGATACCTGGGTCTAAGGTATCAATAATAATTATTATGAATAATAATAAAATTGAAAATAACACAACACTACATTAAAATAAAAAACATTTAAAAGCTATCCCTAAGGACACATAAATAACATTCTCTGGAGATTTAAATAGGTATTTAGATGTATTGTTTCTAAATAAATGTACCTACTTTAACCTAATTAGTTAAGCCTCTAGTACCAAAAAAATGTTGAGTTGATGTAAAAAAAATATAAACTTAGTTATCAGTTGTGTGTGTAATTCCCCATAAATATTTTGATGATGATGATGATGATTTCGAGAGGTGAATTTTATTATGCATCACTGAAATGGAATTTCAGTAAAACCACTTGACATAATTAGAAGTTTAAATAGGCATGTATCATAGTAGCATTTACAACACGTTGCATTTAGTGTTAACACAAACCTGTTATTTTTTCATAATTTAATTTATATGTCATCCTTTAATGACATACAAAAGGCCACAGTTACAGATACAGACTGTAGTGTATTGTTGAGCATTAGAGTATTAAACAAGCATTTCCATGAAATAATAAATTAATTAAAAATTCTCTCTAGCATTTTTAGAACCTTGGCAGTTGAAAAATTCATTCAGTTGTTATGAAAATAATATTTTACTCTTAACTTTATCTTATTCACTTGAATGTGTCATCCAGCGTTGCCAGACGTCCCGATTTTGGCGGGACGTCCCGATTTTTTAATCAAATTTAAATGTCCCGCGCGGGACAGGCTCGGTCCCGCTTTTCGGAGAGAAACACTCACTTCACCAGACTTCTTTTTTTATTCTAAAGACGAATTTAATGATAGAGTAAATCTGTACCTCTAGCATGAACAACTTTCGTCTTCGAATCGTTTGCGTGTTCAATAAAATTCGATACTCAACCTTCTAATTAAACGATAACGTGACAATTTTGATTCTCAAAATAAGTTTCGTGTAACCATTTCTTACACTAAGTTCACTTTACGACACGTCCACAAGGGTGCTGTTGTAGTTTTCGCTTTTGATGGCGATTTGAGTACGCAAACGATTTGAACTCGAAAGATTTTCGTGCTAGCCGTACTGATTTAAAATATTATTTTTTTGTTAAAATACATTTTCTATGGCTACTTTTGCTATCTATTGTCACGTAAACGTAATTTTAAGTCAAATAAAAAGATAAATATTTGAAAATCTTTGATTATAGTATACGTTTTTTTACTATGTCCCGCTTTTGACTGAAGAATCCCGCTATTTTCACTCAAAAAGTACCAAAGTCCCGACTTGGCGAAAAAAAAAACTGGCAACGCTGGTGTCATCCCTGAAAAAATGTTGAATGACCTAGCGCCCTAATAGTTGCGCGGAAGTAGGTTAACAGAGTCAGTAAAAGAAAGGTCATAATAGTTTCTTAAATTGTGAGCATAATCAGAAATTTCACTTATGAAACACGATTTGACTTAATTTTCTGGAGAAAGCCGCCTGAACTCTCAGCTATATGCTCAGTTTTTTTTATGTTTAATCAGGGTTCGAGGATATATATCAAGGGATATATATCAAGATATATATCGGATATATATCCGATATATATCAAGCCGGTTTTGATGATATATATCAACTTTAAAAATTTGTTACTGTATTTGTACTTTTTGACATAAGATTTTTATTTTTTTAGTTGATTTTGTCGTATTTCAAAGATATTTTATGTTTTTGCTTTATTTGTCTGATTTTAAGTTTTAAAAACATTAAAAACATGTTTATGTAACACATATGCAATAGTATTCATGAATAGTACAATAAAATAATACTATGGCTTTCATACAAAATTGATATATATCAAAGTTGATATATATCGGATATATATCATAAATATCCGATATTTTGATATTTATAATAAATATCGGATATTTTCGAACCCTGTGTTTAATGGACCTTAAAATGGTGAATGAATTGTGACGTGTTTGGCCCACTAATGTCCTGCGTCACATCACATTATGCCGCCCTTTTTATGTCTCCATATAAGTACAGCTATGGCTTCAACCTCGTCGTTTGGGTATTCCGAGTTCGGTGCGTGGTGAACATGACATGACCTTGAGCGAATGTTCCGAGTACAAGTTTATACGACAGTTCGAATCACTGTCGATGGTCACCAGATTGTTTGTTACTGAGAAATTGCAGACTATGATAAACCTAACACCTTCCTTGTGGGATGGGGCTATGGGGCTTGTTATTTTCGCCATGCTTGGCAGATCAATTCTTGATTCCATTTCGAGCACGCGTCGAGGCTATCTTCACGATGCACGTGTAGCGACTAAAATATGTCTGAAATAAGTACCGAACACCGTAGCAGCGGCGGTTGCACCTGCAACGACTGCGTGCACCCAATCGTATTGGAACTACTGGTTGTAAGTTACGTATTTGTACGAAACAGTCGACAGCATCTGCACACGCAACCTGCAGTTGCGGTCTGCCACGTGGTTCGGAACGGCACCTCATCACGAACTTTTTCAGATTTATAAAATATCATTTTTCCTTTGTGTAACGAGAGAACGAAAGAACGCCAAATCACGCTAAAATTAATGGGTTGCAACTCGCACGCAACGCTACATAATCATCGCAGGACAGTTTCAATACAAGTGGTCAGTGACGCGTTTCAGCAACACTAATGTGTTTATAAAAACACTGACTACTTACTTATTTAAAAAAATACCAACTGAATTGAGAACCTCCTTCTTGTTAAAGTCTGCTAAAAACCTTGTGACTCTTTCAATTTAATTGATGTATGAATGAATTTCTAGGTTTATGTGACTTGTAATACTATAGTTTGTCAATATTTTTATTTGTTTTATTTGCTTGTTACAGGAAAAACACGATGGGGCCTTGGAGATAGTAGAAACAATAAAGTATGTCAATTTTATTTGAAACATCTTTTTATTGCATAAGTTTAACACTGTGATTTCAATCGTAAGGTTACTTTGGACGTAAGAATTTCACTTTGAACTTCAAAACTGGTGTCAAACTTAATACTGATGTATTGATGATAACTAAAACAAGTAACAAACTGTTTTAAGTTACCTGTCGATTGAAAATGCGGCCTTTTTTGCAATTTCTAATAACTAATGCACAACAAAATTAACTAAGTAATTTTTTTTTTTAAGAAATTACTAGATCTAGATTCTAGATATAACAACACCATAATATACATGAACACCTTACCTACCTAATGTACAAAGCCTGCATGAGACATTTTAATTAGCTACTATTTGGTGTGGTAGTACTGGTAATAATAGATGACTATACCTACATACAGTAGGTAGGTACAGTAGTAACATCTGAAATTGTGCTAAATAATAATACTTGTAATCATGAACACTTGCAATAGTCGGTAGGTACATCTAGAAATCATGTGATATAATCTTCTATAATATAAAAATGAATCGCAAAATGTGTTGGTAAGCGCGTAACTCAACAACGCATGGACCAATTTTACCAATTCTTTTTTTTAGTAAAGAAGAAAAAAAATTCGAATAATTTCCGGGAAAACCCTAAAATCAGCCCTTTTTTACGTAGGCGAAGCCGCTGGCGGAAAGCTAGTTAAGCCATAAAAATAAACGGAACCCTTGGAATAGGGCGCGGGTATTATTAATGAAAAGTGACCAAGTTCGTCAAAAATGACCGCGGGAATATCGGGCTCATCAATTTTAACATAATGCTAATGAAACTGTTGGTTTTGTAGTAAATATCGCGGGATCTAATTTTGATTAAAAAACGAATTATTGATACATTCTACATGTTTGTTGAGTGAAGGACGCGAGAGCAACGACCGGAACAATTTCGCGCGCACTGTCGAGTAATCACAACGTCGCCCTACTGCCCGACCTGCGCAAATTAAGTTCCTCCTACCCGGTTGATGACTTGAAGTGCATTAAATACTAATAATAACACAACTTTTACGGCTTATCTGACGTCAAAAAGAAGGACAAGACAACTTTTTACACTCGGATGAATCGAGTTTTTAACTTTTTATACTATTTCATAGGTATTAGCTGTGTACCAACCATTTCCTTGTTGCGATTTTGGTGACGTATAGCTATAAATCATCAAAGAAAACGATACGACGGGCGAGTGTACTATTAGAACCATATTTTAATTTAATCTAAACACAGCATGCCACTTATCGATACATGTGGCAGGGCGTGACATTACATTTTATGTGTAACAAGTAGATTAGTAGACTAATTAATGGCGTTGTATTTATTAACGCATGCAAGTTTTGATATTATTCTACTATGTAGAGACGACATTACAACTGCGAACGTGTTGTTCATTAATTTGTTACCACTCAAAAGTACATAATTTTATTTAAATAAAGTTAATAGGATGTGTAAATAATCCTGTTTAAAGAAATAATAGAATACAATACACCTCCTGCGGTCTCACCTGTTCCCACAAGTCGGAAATAAATCCGGAACCGGTTTGACGAGTACAGGGGATTCTTGATTCGGCCGTCCCCGAACGGTTGGGATTGGGGTCGCGGGAGAATTAAATGTCTCCAGTAGACCTTACGCCGTCCGGACGTTTGTTCACGCTACCTTGATGACCTTGAAAAATCGTCCTTGGTGGTAATTACAGTGTCTAAAACAAGTTCTTGAGAAAATGATAAAGACTACATCAACTAAAAGATTTTTCGTATTGCTAGAATAATTTTTTGAAGAAAATTTTATTTATTTTCTTTGCAAAAAACTGACTATGTCCAAAACTAGGAGAATGTCTGATGATTGAAAGCTTTACCATTTGAGAGGTTATTGTCTATCTATTTCCTTCATTCCATGACATTATTATTACAGTAATAAATTATGTAAATCTAGAGTAGGTCAATCATATTCTGTAATGATAAAAGTAACAAGAACCGAAAACTTTTTGGATTTTTTTATTATTATTATTCCCATTAACGCCTCGAGCTAAGCTTAACATTATTATGCTTTTGTTACAAGTTGGTTTACATTGATGATCAACTTTCTCGATTGTCCAGATGGGTGTGCGACGATCTGCCGGAGATGAAGGCGGCGCTGGAGAACAACATCCTGTGCGACTTCGACACCCACTCGTACGAGAGCATGAGAGCTCTCTGCGACCGATTCAACCGCGCCATAGATTCCGTTGTCGCTTTGGTGAGTAGTTAAAAACTTATTACCAGGTTAAAGATGAGATTACAGCACGAAGCTCAAAATTCCATTCAGATTCAAGCTTTTATTTACCAATCACAATACAAAACCTTGATTTAATTGAGTTTTGAACGTCGTTCTGTAATACGAATCAAAATGCTTATTTTGGACTACTTACCAAAAATCGTGCTTCATGTAGGATGAATTCCTTACATTTCCATAAGACATCCCTAAAACTGTAAAAAACCCATCTAACTAGGTGTTCACAACATTATTTACCATTGACATTGCTAGCTAGAGAGCCAAAGTTCCTAGAATGTCAAAAACAGAGTTTATTTTTTTGTAAAACTAGCCCTGAATTTAAGTGGTGAGTTACATAGTTATCAAATATTTATAAACTTTATCCAAAGCATGGTATTAAAGGCGCATTGATAACACGGAGCAAAACGTGACACAATTAGGTAGACGACCGTGAATAGCGTGCGTCATTCGCGCCCTGACCTCCACGCGCAGTAGTTTACACACACTGGTCTGGTGACTAGCACTGCACTGGATCACTTCCCGCTTCATCAAAGCCGCTTTAACAAAATTACTCATCAAACTTCATAATTAGCCTGAAAGAGATATTCATTTTAGTCACTTCACAGGCAGGCATTATACGGTTTACGTATACGTATGTAATTGGCACACATCAGTCTGTAGTTAAAAAGCTGCTATTTTAGTTACATTGGAAGTAAATATTACTAATGTATGACTTCCGGAAAATATTGAATGAAGGAAGATAATTGTATTGCTACGTTGTGTGTGATTAATGCAAGCAACATTGAATCCAACTTCATATTTGTAAAGCACAAATCATTATGAAATTACACGAATATAAGTTGTAACACATTGTTTAGTTTTTGTAGATATCCATTCGAAAGTATTATTGCAGTTATGCATTTGAGTCTAGTTGTAAATTCTGCTGAAGCTGCTATTCAAGTGGCAGACCGCGAGGGGGTAGCATAGCAACCAACGAAAGTGAAAAAGCATCAAATAGGGCGGGAGTTAAAACGGGGCGCAACGCAGGGCTTGACCTGAATCTGTCGCCGCTCGTGTTGATCTGTTTCCCTAACCTACATAATTTCACGTTCACTACCTACCACGTTTTTAATGTTTTATTTTTAAATTANACTGTAGCACCAATTGTAAATAAATGGATAAATTGAAGATGATTAAACAGATAATTTCTAAAACAGAATATTGTATATTTATTATGCAATTAAATTAAGTCAACGATCGGCAAAATCTTGCAATTTATTATTGTATTATCGTCACTCGTCACGATCATCATCATAAGGTACCGGTTCTCATTAGTAAACGCTAACTAACTTGAACTAATTAACGAAGACCGAGTGGCAGGTATGATTTACAATTACGTTAAAATAAGTGAGTGTAATGGGCAGGGTTCGAGGATATATATCAAGGGATATATATCAAGATATATATCGGATATATATCCGATATATATCAAGCCGGTTTTGATGATATATATCAACTTTTAAAATTTGTTACTGTATTTGTACTTTTTGACATAAGATTTTTATTTTTTTAGTTGATTTTGCCGTATTTCAAAGATATTTTATGTTTTTGCTTTATTTGTCTGATTTTAAGTTTTAAAAACATTAAAAACATGTTCATGTAACACATATGCAATAGTACTCATGAATAATACAATAAAATAATACTATGGCTTTCATACAAAATTGATATATATCAAAGTTGATATATATCGGATATATATCATAAATATCCGATATTTTGATATTTATAATAAATATCGGATATTTTCGAACCCTGGTAATGGGTAGATGAGAGTCATACGTCACAACGTCACTGTGGCAGGGGCAACGTCGAGGGCTACGCCCCCGTGGCGCGATCAATATTGTGTGTACTATTAAAAGCCGAGGTGGCGGGCGGTCGGCCGGTGCACCGCGCCGCAACGGGCGCGGGCGACTCGGGTGCGTCGACCAGCAATACCACCCAGCCGACCCTAGCCACCCTTTCTTGTGTAGTGTTTACCTTATTATAAAACAGGTTCATCGATCGTCGCTTTAGCCTTCATTCACAATTTAATTCGGATTCAATTACAAATTAATTGAAATCAGTCGTAGTTACTAGGTTGTCTTGTTAAGCTACTTAGACTTGGACGGATTAACGGGACACTACAGTCTGTAGTTTTCGTCTAATCTTTTGTCACGCATCAAGACCTTTGGCACAGTTAATCATTTCGCATTATCATTATAAGTTGAGTTGTCAGAATTAATTACCGCCTAATATTGACGATCCATTGCACCTTTTTGTCGTGTTAAAACTAGATATTTATCTTTTTCCATTTATGGTTTTGACTTTTAGGAGTTATGAATGGACTCAATTAAAAAATACTAGTACGCCTACAATGCGATGAAGAATATTTTATGTATTTAGTCGAATTGTTCATCACATAATTGTCATTAATGAGAGATTGCCATTATCGATGCAATGATATCGATACGCATGAATGAAAGAGGTAATTAATTATGGACTTACTGATTTCACAAAATATATTATTCTCTACTTATTACTTTATTTTATTTACCACATCAATCTATAAATAAAAACAAGATAATCCGTCTGTTTCAAAAATCAAAACCTTTAATTTCTATGAATACCTGCCTAAATCGAAATCATCTGTTTGATATGGGATGGGACCAGTCCATCTTTCTTTATTTACCTATTAAATAATTTATTTGTTATAAAACTACAATATTTCCATAACGTTAATATTTACATTTGATTATTGCCATTTGCATTTGAGTTTCATAATTATTATGTACTTAGCCTTTGCCCACGGCTTCACCCGCGTGAAATTTCGTTTGTCACAGCTTGTCATAAATTATAGCCTATATGTTAATCTGGGTTATAAACAATAATACTGCAAAGTTTCAACAAAATCCGTTCAGTAGTTTTTGCGTGAAAGAGTAACAAACATCCAGACATCCAAACTTTCGCATTTATAATAATTATTAGTAAGATATCTAAAATTCCTTTTTCCTGTAATCTATAAAAGTATTTTCATTTTAATGTACTGATAACATCTTCGTCGTTCATTCAGTCAACGTTCATCGATCCATTTATGTATTTACGAATTCAGCAATTAAGTCTATCAATCAACATGAACTGCCTCTGTCACTTGAAATTACTTAAATCGGGATTCATTGAACTATTCTAGCGTTTTTTCGTCACTTTCGAATTAGTCAATTACATGTATAATTAATAAAAATAAATCATGTGTTATCTACGAGTATATTTTTATGCATTTGAACGTGTAAGAAAATGTTTCAATGAAATTAAATATGACGTGAGTTTTTTATTTTTATACAATTAAATGTCATGATGATGTCTTTTATCTGGATAAACTTTTGTATGTTCTGTTTAGAGAAACAAGTTATTGTACTTCTTAATCGCCCAAGTAAAATATAACAACCAAGAAAGTAAAATTATTACTTGAAAGTAGATAACAATAACCGGCCGTCGGAAATGAGCAGTGAACGAGATGTCGGCAATATAAAATAATATTTTTTAATTTTCCAATTTTCACATTCCGAATATTAAAAAAAAACTGCTAAAAACAAAATAGCTCCAGCTTTATTTTAAATAGAGTCCAGAAAACTAATTACATATTTTATAAATACTTTAAGGCGGAAAAGTCAGTTGTGCAATTAACTGAAAAAATACTGTAAAATCTATCATTAGCTAATAAAACTTTCCAATATCTTTTTATCGAGGAAAACGTCGCGATCACTCTTACCTGTGGCGCTGTGATGGGAATGACTTATAAAACGTAATGAAACTTTTAAAAATGTTCTCTTCTATTAATCTACAAAAATAATAGTTTCATTATTATACGTGTGTTCGATATCCAAATATGAAGAGGGCAGAAGTCAAGCGAAAAATAACAAAACATACAATTATTCATTGTTGCTACATAGCAATCACACTTGGCATACTTTCCACTTTGCGGAAACATCGTCAATGTCACCTTCATCACTAGTCTCTGCCTATTTTCTATTTATAAACTTCCTACAAGATTCTTGGGCTGCATGTGTATGTTTTGTGATATCTGCCGATGCTACACGTTTTACGTTTATCTTTATGAAAATATGTATCATGTTTAGTATTTTTATTTACTGGGCACCTAATTCTCTAAGTTCCTATTTATTTTAATGATGACAGTCACTATTTTTTCTGTGACGAGTGTTAACAAATTATTACAAAACTTGATTAAAAAAAAAACAATCAATTCCTACTTTTATAATTATTTATTCATAATAATAATCGATTAATTGCGTAAATTATAAATTAATAAAAAAGTAAAAACGGATAATTTTTAGTGCTTTTTTTTTTATAATTAGCAATTTTGGCTCGCACGAGCTTCTGCTCCATGATTGTTGACTTCATTTTACACAAACCATAGTCGCATTGTACAACATAATTTATCGGCCAAACGTGGTGATTTGAATTCATACATAATTCACGAAGAGCATACAATATTGAAAAGAAAATCGTGGTTTTTCTTGAATACTTGACTTTTAAGCAAGCACAATAAATTTTCTCGATCGTCTAGCAGTTTGCGCGTTAGTAAAGATATTAAAAGGAAGTTAAAATCCTTACTTTGGAGCTATGATGTTATACTAGTCGTCGGTAATGCGAAGCAACTAGCTGGCTAGCAGTGCAAATGCGAAACGATGCGGTGAATGTGGGGCAATTGCGGGGAGTGGGGCGTGAGCTGCAGGAGGGAGACATGAGGGCCAAGATGGCGGCGAGGACGCAGCGATCGATGTCCACAGACGCCGCGCGTGGCTAACTCTATTTATACACATTGCATGCTACTTCACACACTAAACGTGCGTAAATTAAAACAAGCCGTTAAGCGGGAGTCTTCGACAGACTTAATAAAGCTGAAATATGATACAATGTATCTTGCT